AGAAGAACTAACAGCTAATTCAGAGATCGATGAAGCTTTCCCTGAATAAGTGTTTGGACAGCCCTATTTTTGACCCTGGTCCCACATGTGAAGATCCGCGTCATTAGTGGCCCACAACTTGCAGCTGCTTTGCAAAAGGCTCACGTGTGTCTGGGAGGTATGTACTTACTATCAAACAATATTTTTTAGTTTGCAAACTGTTACTTTGAGATTGTATTGCATGCTCAAGGGGTGAATGGCTCAAAAAGCCAAATCAAATGATTAAGAATAGAGTAAAGGAGGGGGTAATCGACCATCACCAGTTTTCGGCCGATCCGTTGGATGCATGGTAAAATCCCTTTAAAATCCATCGCATAACAGCATATCATATATCCCACACATACCATACCATGCCAGAGTCACTGAAGAACCACATTTGCAATGGAAAATATATCCTAAAATATCACATTTTAGCAATGTAATCGGCGGTCCCGCTCCCCGAATCTGAAAAATTAAGTACAGTATCTTTCGCGTGTAAGGAATATGGGTACCATAAAATGAGCTTTATTTCAAGTATTTTTCAGATTTAGAGTCCGATTTTGTGTGAGTCGCAAGCTCAAAAGTATCTCATCGCATGTATTTAATCAATGCAGCCGGATACCGCAGCGCACACACGATATCTCTGTCTAATTCAGATTCCAATTTCTGATCACCACAGAGGTAGTTTTCGGCACGGGAAGCTCCGGCTTGGGATACCTGCTCCAGCCGCTAGTGCTATAGATCAGTGGGGAAACGCATGGCGCGCTTGCTTGCTTCCTATTGACTTTGTACATGCGGCCGAAAACTGCCTCGCTAGGCCGAAAACTACCTCCGAAACAGTGAAAATTGAAATGAATGTTGTCATGGCAATTCATGATTTTTTTTCTGGGATTCTTTCTTTGTTTAAATAATAATAGTATTTGCTTCATGATTTGAACAAGAAATGATAATAAATAGGAAGTAAAGAGTCCAAAAAATAGGATTTTGTCTTAAGTGGCCGAAAAACCCCTACTTTACTCTATGGTGAATCGAAGTGGGGGCATCGAAATTGGCGTGAAATCTGTGAAAATGTGTATTTGTGTAATATACTACATGCATGTCATAACTAGCACTTTGTTATTATTTGGGGATTGTGCTTTTCAAAATATTTTCCCTGTTCCATAAAGTGTTTTGGATATCTTTTACAGGGCATGTCATTCCTCTGGAGAATTTGTCAAAGAGGAATGGGTTGAACTGCGCCATGGTCCTTGGTTGCTTCATTTGCAAGAAGGAGAGGACATTCTCTTCATCAGAAAATGAATGCGAAGGACGTGGAAAGTCTGCAGAAATAAACCGCAGAGCTACTCTGGCAGCAACGGAGGTTGGTTTGGCACGGGATAGCTTGTGCGACTTGCTGACCATCCTCGGAACAGCCCCACTAGTCGAAGCCCCTAGCTACAACAGGCACATAGCCACTTTATCTTCCTTATCCCAAGAGGTTAGTCACCAGCCTTGTGTTTTCTTCATTACATTATCTTAGCTTTACGTACATTTAATCCAAACATATTTTTATTTCTTAGTTATGGTCGATAGACAGTATAATACATGTACATCAATATCCCTTCTTGTCAAATCAAGGGATGAAAATTAATCAAATCTAAATATTTGTAATAGGGTCTAATAAGTAAGGGGCCTGAGGGAACTTGAAATTTACTTGTTATTTATTACAAACTCTTTTTTTTTTTGCAGACCAGTAAGGATCAGAAGAAGAAGGTGGCAGCATGCCTACGTCAAAGGACCATGGACAAGGATCTGACCATCAGGGAAAATGATTATGTGGATGTGGCAGTGCCCTACGATGGAACATGGCATAGACGAGGTTACACATCGAATCATGGGGTGGGGGTAGTGATACCGATCGATACAGGGGAGATGGTTTGACACAGAGGGTCTATCAAAATCATGTAAACAGTTTGAGTATAGAAAGGGTTGGGTCTTTAGTGTTCTCAGCCAGAGGGACCTTGATCGCCTTCAGAGACTCCAAAAATGAGCAGCAAGGCTTGTCTTTTCTGCTCCTCTTCGAACTCACATACAACCTCTTTGACTTGAACTTCATTGTACATGTTTATACAATGTTTTAGAACATTTCTGTGCTGCAACTCAGTGCCTTAGTTTTTATTGTACATGTTTATATATTTTTAACTTGCCTTTCATTTTAGTCATGTTTACATACACACTATATATGACATTTTAGTTATTTAGAGGAACTAGGGTGATATATATGTGGGTATTTATTACAGCTTAGTAGAATAAGTCCAAGTAATATGTGTTGCAATTATGAACTTGCCTTTCATTTGAGTTTTTATTGTACATGTTTATACAATGTTTTAGAACAATCCTGTGCTGCAACTCAGTGCCTTAGTTTTTATTGTACATGTTTATATATTTTTAACTTGCCTTTCATTTTAGTCATGTTTACGTACACACTATGACATTTTAGTTGTTTCTTTTTAACTTGCCGATTATTTAGAGGAACTAGGGTGATATATATGTGGGTATTTGTTACATCTTAGTAGAATAAGTCCAAGTAATATGTGTTGCAATTACGAACTTGCCTTTCATATTAGTTTGTAGTGTACATGTTTATGTGATATATTTTTTTTACTTGCCTTTTATTTTTAGTTTTTAGCATATGTACATGCATACAACTTTTGATATAAACCAAATACATCCTGCCACTTTAATTCAATTCATTTTTTTAATAAGCATCATGTGTGTATTGTAAGTTAACATTTAAGTTTAGATTTCTCAAACATTCAATATATTATAGTCACCATTCTGTGTACTATAGAACGCACTACAGCCACCATTCTGCTAACCATAGATCAAGATCCAAACTACCATTCTGAATATACCATTTCAAAATGCTACAATTAAGCGTAACATTTTGTTGCATATTTTGAATGGTAGTGAATGGTAGATGAATGGTGGCTCTATGGTAGATGAATGGTGGCTCTATGGTAGATGAATGGTGGCTCTATGGTAGATGAATGGTGGCTCTATGGTAGATGAATGGTGGCTCTATGGTAGATAAATGGTGGCTCTATGGTAGATGAATGGTGACTCTATGGTAGATGAATGGTGGCTCTATGGTAGATGAATGGTGGCTCTATGGTAGATGAATGGTGGCTCTATGGTAGATGAATGGTGGCTCTATGGTAGATGAATGGTGGCTCTATGGTAGATGAGTGGTGACTCTATGGTAGATGAATGGTGGCTCTATGGTAGATGAGTGGTGACTCTATGGTAGATGAGTGGTGACTCTATGGTAGATGAGTGGTGAGTCTATGGTAGATGAATGGTGGCTCTATGGTAGATGAATGGTGGCTCTATGGTTGATGAATGGTGGCTCTATGGTAGATGAATGGTGGCTCTATGGTAGATGAATGGTGGCTCTATGGTAGATGAATGGTGGCTTTATGGTAGATGAATGGTGGCTCTATGGTAGATGAATGATGGCTCTATGGTAGATGAATGGTGGCTCTATGGTAGATGAATGGTGGCTCTGTGGTAGATGAATGGTGGTTCTATGGTAGATGAATGGTGGCTCTATGGTAGATGAATGATGGCTCTATGGTAGATGAATGATGACTCTATGGTGGCTCTATGGTATATGAATGGTGGCTCTATGGTAGAATATGTAGGTGTGGCCTAATTTGAATAAATGAATAAATTTGTCCCAATTATTTTAATTAGTTCTATGGTAAATGAATGGTAGATCTATGGTAGATTTGCTATGGTGTTTGTATGGTAATCTATGGTAGATTTGCTATGGTGTTTGTATGGTGTACCATAGAGATTTTTTTTGTAAGGGCTCTCTTTCTCATTTCTTGATATTTGTTTGTAAGACCTCTCTCTCTCTAGCTCTCAATTCATGATATTTGTTTCTAAGACCCCCTCTCTTTCTCACTTCTTGAATTCATATTTGTTTCTAAGACCTCTGTCTCTCTCTCCCTTTCTCTCTTTCTCATTTTAAATTCATGATATTTGTTTATAAGACCTCTCTTTCTCTCTTTTTCCATTCATCACTTTGTCTAGTGTAATGTACAGACACATAACATATAAAGGAAATTATACACCAGTTTTACATGAATTCATTTGCACTTTATTTACTGCTTTACATTCATATACTTTTTTTTTCGTGAAGGTAATCTAATCCTTCAATGTCAGAGAAGTAATACAAAAGATACAGGAGTATGTGTATGCATAAATAGTTATATAAAGAAGAAATATGTAGTAAAAGTGAAAGCAAACAATAGTAGAAATTTGAACAGATAATTTGACAGTGTGTTAAGATTTAGAGGCAAGAAATGACTATAAGAAATTTTTATTTGAAAATACATGCACATGTAGATAAAAAGAGATCTGAACATACGCGGATTCATGGGCGCAGAGGCGTGCACCGCACTTTACTTTGGAGATAACGAACTGACAGTGACAGTGACAATGTGACACTGTGCAGCGACTCACTTAGTCTTACTCTTAGTTTTGCTAACTATGGATGCCTAACAGTTACAGTTAATCGTACTCATATAACTACAATTCAAAACTGGATTTACAGTATTCATACCCGCAAATTAGGCGTCTGCATTGCCACTCCGTCATCATCCTCGATGAATTCCATCGTGCAGCAAGCTTCTTAACTTGTTGTTCTGAACTTGAAATCCTATATCTTCTCCCTTAATCTTCAGTATTGCAGCTGCGTACGGTGTGTATAAATGCTGCATCGACGTACGTCTGTGCATGTACGATTCGACCGATCGAGGAGCGTAGACTAGACTCATTCAAGCAGTTTCATTGCTATTTACCGGGAAAATGTCCAGGCCAGGGTGTAAAACGCAAAGTCGCGACCCGGCCGCCTATCCCCTCGGAAAAGAAACAGCGCCATCTAATCATCAGTGATGATTATATATCTCTAGAACACAACTAACAAAAAAAAGCACAGCCTAGCGATAGCATAGCCAGGCAAAAATATTCGTTTTAGATTGGTCAGGTCAGCCCACAACAACAACAATCGTAAGGCTTGATTTCGACAGCCATGTATGTAGAGCCACTGACCTCTAGAGGTCAGTGTGTAAGGCCCATACCACTAATCTGTACAGAACAGATCAGTCGAGACCGAGGCCGAGGGGCGAAATCTAACATTTAACAAGGCGAAAGAATTTGACTGATTTTGCTGGAATCCGGGGAGGGTTGACAAAGTACCCTACATTCTGTCTACGAGTGGTGCTGATCTGAGCTGATCAGGGTAGACCCTATTTATAATTCCAAGCAAAGCCAAAGCCAAGGCTCGCTCCGTCGAGTGATCAGCTGTAAGTTAGGCCTATTGAGTATTGTGTATTGAGTAGTAGACCTAGATCTATTGGGTAAGAAGGCTATGACTTTTTCATGATTATGACTGTTTAGTAACGTAATCAGTTAATAATACTTTCTTTAATAGACCCTAGGCCAGCTAGGCCAGCTAAACTAGGGTCTAGTACTTAAGTAAAGTAGACCTAGGTCTAGTAGTAGTAGGCTAGTAGACTACTACTAGGGGTCTAAAAAGTTAGTTCTAGTAGTAGAAATCTAGATTCTACATGTATTAATCAGTTAATACTTAGGTTCTAATACTTTAATAGACCCTAGGCCAGCTAGGGTCTATAACTATAAGTAAAGTAGTAGATCTAGTAGCCTAGTAGACTAGATCTAGTCTAGGGGTCTAGTAGAAATCTAGACCCTAACGTTAGATTCTACATGTATTAATTTATCTTTGTTTTACTTACTTTAGTTACTTTATGGTGGTGTGACCAAAGTTCGCGCGTGACCTAAGTTCGCTATCTCAAAAAATCAGTAAGATTACGAAAATCTGATATCACCAATGGAAAGAGGAACATAAAATCACCCAGAATTGAAATTTTCTTTGGAATTGGGTACGAAATTGTGAAAATATTGACAAAAGATCGGCAAATTTTGCAATATTTTGCGTCCGTTCCGAAAAATGATCAACTTACCGATAAGGGTCTGAAAATCTTCAATTTGAGAGCAGATTTCCTCAAAATTGTAAGTAAAAAGTGGTACTAACTGATTGTATGATATCTTGCCTTGCAAATTATGATATTACCTTATTTTTGATGGATCACACTTTTTGATAAATCAACTGTAAACCCCCGTGCGTGAAGTTAGGTCTCGTTGTTTTTATGACTTTTTTAGATGCAGCGCGCACGAACGATCGGACATCGAATTTTTAGATCGCGATATCTCCGAAATCCTTCGACAATAAAATTTTCTAGTTGAACTAATCTGTAGTTAAAAACTTCGCCGTCCCTTTGGTTATAATTGAAATCAATAAATTTGTGTAGAATATGAGAAATCGTAATTCGAATATCACATTTTGTAATATGTTCTAAAATGTCCGCGAACTTTGGTCACCCCTTCATACTCCTTTAATCCATCGATGCTTGTAGGGCAATGCCTGTTCATCGATCATCAGGTTAAAATCATTTCCATCTCTCTTCGGGCGTAAGTCTTATCAAGTGAGCATCTGTCTTTCATAAGTATGTTTAAACTTGATAGTGCAGTGTGTGCATGGAGCAGAATCAGTTCTCAATTTGTTATGTTTATTTAATGAATGCATGCTACACCACACACATACTGTGTCATAATTAATGCGTTAGCGATTTAAATCGCCCATTCGCCCTGATTATTTTTATTTTGTAATCAGTGATTTTAAAAAATTCCATAGACTTGTGAGTTGTGTGTGTTAAGAAAGTTGAAGGGAGTGTATAGCTAGCTGACGAGACTTTACATATTTCCTGTGGCCTGAATCGGGGGGGGGGGGGGGGGGGGGGGGGGGGGGGGGGTGGGGCCAATCGGGTATAGGCCTATATGACGCGACCGCAGCAATCACAAGCGTGCAATGTACGCGAAACCGAAGCGTGAGGAGAACTTTGGTCTGTTAGTGTTATACGCGAAAGATCTGACCATAGAGATTAAGTTGCTGACTCTGTTAATCAAGTCCATTTGTTTACGTGCAGTTGTCCAAAAGAAGACGTAGATGACGTTAACCATCATGTATTTGCCAAGCTATGCACTCCCTTTACAGGCCTGATAAAAACCCGATTTAAATCGGTTTCCCGATTTTTTAATTTTTTTTTCCTGATTTTTTTCCTGATTTTTTTTTTTTTTACCAATTTTTTTTTCTTCCCTATTTTATCCTGATTTTACTGATTTCCCTCTTATTTTCTCTATTCTTCCCTATTTTGCCCTATTTTTCCAAATTTTCTTACTCGAAAGGGGGGAATGTTGTTAGATGCCATTTTTACCCCGCGAATCCTCTTTTTTTTTTTTTACTCACTCAAGGGTGGCGTGGTTGAGGGGAAAACAAAAAAAAACAATTTTTTTTTAGTGCTCACTATCACCCCTGCCTTTAATGTTTGAAATATATTGCTTAGAAAAATTTCATGTTTTATCCTACTGTTGTGCAATTCTGTGCTATTTATACAATAATGAATATTACTTATTTTGTTCTAAATTCAAGAGTCAAGACCTTTTTGTTGACCCATCATCAGCCCTGGCATATTAAAGACCATGGCATCAGTAATGCAAACACATTGTCCACAAAATCAGAGTCCACAGTGATTTTTTTTGGTCCTTTTTGTGTAGACAGAGGCGGCGCACCTTTTCAAGTACCCCGTAACTGCCCCATTTTTACATAGAGTGCCCCTTTAACTTCGTAAGAAGTGCCCCTTTTACTTTGACTAGTACCCCTTCCCCTTTTCACCTCTGATAACTGCCCTTTTATTTTGACATGTGCCCCTTTTCATTCACCAAATGTCCCCATTATCCTTTGTAATAAGTGTCCATTTTCCATGCTCATAAGAGCCCTTTTTAATCTCTAGTAAGTGCCCCTTTTCAGGTACGAGTAGTGCCCCCTTCACATCTGATGATTGCCCCTTTTGAATCTGAGAAGTGGCCCTTTTACTTTATAAGAAGTGCCCCTTCCCCTTTTCATAAAAGCCCCCTTTCCGTCTCTGATAAGCGGCTCGTTTATTTTAACATGTGCCTCTTTTCGCTTTTCATAAAAGCCCCCTTTCACCTCCAAGAAATGCCCCTATTAAAATCTAATCGGTACCACTTTTCTTTTCTTTTCTTAGCTAATGCACATTTTCCTTTATCATATATGGCCCTTTTCATCCTCATAAGTGCCCCCTTCACTTCTGATAATATCCCTTTTAACAATGTTACTTGTCCCTTTCCTTTCTTATAAGGGACCTATCCTTTTTTCATAAATGCCTCTTTTCATCTCTTATAAATGCCCCTATTAAAATCTGATGGGTACCGCTTTTACGTTGACAAATGTCAAGTGCGTAGCTAGGATTTTGTTTTAAGGGGGCGTTAGTGAGCACGCAAAGCATGCAAATCACTTACAGAGCGCGCAGAGTGCGCTCTCTAGGGGGGTGGGCGCAGGGAGGGGCGCAGAAGCTTTAACGTTTCATTAAAGTATAAGAGAAAATCATACGAGGAGTACATAAATGGAATATATACGGACAGCAACGATGAACAACAATCACATAAAAGATTCTGGAAATACGTTAACAGCAAGAAGAAGGACTCGGGTACGATTCCCACCTTGAAGACAGCTTATGGACTTGCGACAGACAACCTTTCAAAAGCTGAGGCCCTCAATAATCAGTATTGGGGTTATAAGTTATAAGATTTAATTTTTTGCACTGGGACCTCACAAATGAATATTCGGAGTTTCAGACCAGGATAAACAATCGATCAACCATGTGTTGATGATCATTAAATTTAAATTGCCTCTTTTTTGTGGTCTATTGGTAGATTGAAACCCCCCAAAATATAGTGGACTCTACAGTACTATCGTGTTGACAAAGTAGTACATCTCTCTCTAACTATACCGGTGAGCAAATTTTGGAGAGACTTTTCCCTTCTTTAGTCATCAAAAACAGGTTGGTTCAATGTCAAGGTTGTTGTAATTGTCTAGATCTGTATAATGTGTATATAGCTATAGGACATGTTGAATCTGTGAATCCTGCTTCATTATAATTTATGTCATGATTGCATTTTTTTATTTTATGCTAATCAATACCAAATTTCATTTTTTTTCTTTCTTCCTTGAAGCTTTATCTCCGTCCAAAAGTGATGGCGCATCGTGTATTTGTGTACGGAACTCTCAAGCAAGGGCAGCCCAATCACCACGTCATAACAGGGTGTAAGGAAGGAAAATACACACTTCTTGGGCAAGGAAGGACAGTTTCAAAATGGCCGCTGGTCATTGCTTCACCTTTCAACATTCCATTCCTGTTAGACATTGAAGGGGAAGGTCATGTGAGTATTGGTATGACAAAGGGAACAATCATCAATATCTATTTGCTCTGTGGTGTGAGAGCATTAAATGAGCCTAATTTTGTTAAAAAACAATGCTTCACTGTATAGTCAAAAGAGACGGGGGGGGGGGGGGGGAGGATGTAAAAATGAATGGTCCAAGTAGGATCGAATTTACAGCTTAGTCTAGCTCAAGGCAGCTGGATAACCTGATTCATGATTTTTGTTCAAATCCATACTCAGCTACAAATGTGGGCTAGCTCTCCATGATGAAAATTACTCTTTGAATTGATTGATTCCAAATTCTTATGGTCAATCGTATATATACTTCAAGCTTGTAAAGTAGAACAATGTACAATTGATTGCTTGAGATTGAAAGCCGGACACGACTCAAACATTGCTTAATTTTGTTTCAGACTTTGACAATCTATTCCTTTAATTTACAAAAATGACAATATCTATACTGGAGATAATGATTTTTTTTTTAGGTCTATAAGATCTGTGGGGAAACTGTTGGAAATCAATTCTCTCTCTCTCTCCCTCACTTTTATTATATTGAAACAATACAAATGATTCTTCAAAATACAGTCTTTTTAAACATAATTCAATTAACTAAATATATGTACAATTCATTAATTACGATCGAAAAAAGAAGAAGAATAAAATCAGTTATAAAATAAAACAAATTATACCCCTCCCCCTTCCCTTCCCCTTCCATCCTTATCCCACCCCACCCCACCATATGCATCTGCACTCAATCTCCCGCATACACATGCTTAGCACACACGCGTACATGTAATAATAATAATAATTATTCTTATAATAATTTTCTTTCTTTTTTCTGTATTGTATTGTATTGAACTCGCAAACAATTATTTGTCAAATTACTGCCGTCTTAATTTTAATTGTGTACCTCTCGCTACAGTAAACATTTTCTGTCCCTGTTATTTTTCAAGTCTCCCAGGAACCTATTCTTTACAAGCTCTGCTTTTCTATAGGTTCCTGCACATTTCACAGTTTGTACTTTTGTCTAGGTTTCCTTTAAATGATATTAGTTGTCAAACAAATATGATGGTTACCTTGTCAATTAATATAATCATTTTTTTTAATTATGAAACAATATGTATTTTATATATATTTTGTTATCTGTATTATTTCTGCATGTGAAATGTGAAATCAATATAAACTCAAACTCAATAAACTCAAAAATAATAATATTGGATTCTTGATATAGCGCACGTATCGACCTTGCAAGGTCCTCAAGGTGCACCACAATAATAACACACAATGAATGAAAAGCTAGGTAGAGTCCTTCAGTAGGATTAATCCTTTTCAAGAGCGTACAAAAGAGCACAAAAGAGCCTTGAGATTGAACATTCCATCTCATTCAGCAGTAGCAGAACACACCCTTAATACTGGACACAAAGTTTGATGGGATGATTCCCACATTTTTTTAGTTTGAACAAACTTTTGGTCAAGAAAGGTGATAGAATCCATCTGGATAAAAAGAATTAATCCTTCACTTTCTCTTTTCTTGTGGTGAGATTTGGTTTTCATTTCATCCAATGCATTGCTGACCCATTACTTCTATACTGGAGAAAATGAAGCTTCTTTTGGGACTATCAATCAATCCTCGCTCTCTCTCTCTCCCTCCCTCCCTCCATCCCTCTCTCCCTCCCTCCCTCCCTCCCTCCCTCCCTCCCTCCCTCCCTCCCTTCCTCCCTCCCTCCCTCCTTCTCTCCCTCCCTCCCTCCCTCCCTCCCTCCCTCCCTCTCTTCTTCTATTTTACCTTCTTTTCACTTTTTTCTCCCGTAGCTATATAGAAACCAAGAATATCGTTAATCCAAATGGTTTGTGTGATCTTTTCCGGTTTGAACTTGTTAAGAGTGGCAAATAAAGGTTCTCTTGCCCTCAAAATGCCTGTTCTTGGTTTTAAATCAGGATCATTTTAGTCCAGACTTTCATTGGTATTACGAACTGGCAAATTGGAACATTGATGTACATAACGAATTTGTCACTTCATAAACACTTGACTGCCAACATGTACCGTAAATCTCTGTTAATAAGACACACTTTTTTCCCGCTGAAAAAAATAATCAAAAGTCGGAGGTGCGGCTTATACACAGGTACAAAAAAATAAAATTAAAAAAAATAAAAAATATAAATATTTCGGCCCCCCAAATAGGGATGCGTCTTATACACAGGTGCGTCTTATACACAGAGATTTACGGTAGTCCAATTAGATCAAAACACCTGAATTGACAAAAAAATTGTTTTTCATTTGCCTTGTTCTAGAATATTGTTGGAGAAGTTTACGAGGTCAACGACGCCCTGTTTGCCGACCTGGACGTCCTGGAGGGTTACCCCGGCTACTACGACAGGAGACCAATCAGCATCAAGCTGGAGAAGAAGACGGAAGGCGTCGAGTGTGCCGATGTCTTGGATTGCTGGCTCTACATAATTAACACTTACAAGCCTTTCATGAGGGACTTGGAGAAATACGAGAACTACGACAGCTTTGGTAGTCATGGCAAGCCGTATCTGAGCAGGTGTGAGAGGGATGAGGGATGGGCTCAACAAATTGATTGTCTGATGAAGGTCCATGCTAAATAGCATTGTAAACCATGTTTCCTAAAAATGTGCATATTCTCAAACTTTGCCTAGTGAATTAGGACTCGTGGCTGTCCTTGCCATGGTCTTTCTTTACAATAGTTGGCTCGTGGAGATGTCTGTAATCATACTACTTTAACAAAATATATATTATTGTTATATTAATATTGAAGGGTAATTAATGAATTGTTGAATTGTACCAACATCGTAACCAGCTGAAGCAAACGTTCATAATTTTGCTTCTCTTGCATAGCAGTAGACAAGCATTTCATCAATAGTTTACTCTCTTGAACCAGGTGTAGTTAATGCTCGCCCCCCCCCCCCTCCCACTCAGTGTTATTTAGGGTACGCGTATGCATGTTCCCTCCCTTTGAAAGCACCCCCTAAGTTGGGTGTATAAAGTCAATACGCACCAATTTTGTGTGTATTACGACCTGGGGAGTGTTTCACAAAGATCCTAAGTAGAACTTAACACTAAGTTGGACTTAAAAAGTATGGACAGCCATTGGAGCCTTAAAATGAAATATATTCAAAAGCAAAAATTGGAGTATTTTAGACTTTTCATCAATTCCACATCAAGAACATGAAATCTCCCATGATAATAGAAAATATGAATGATTTGAATCAACATTTTATGCCTTCTAAAAAAAAATTAAAAAAATGTTTTCAAGGATGCTAATGGCTTCCCATGAATTTTAAGTCCAACTTAGAGATAAGTTCAACTTAGGATCTTTGTGAAACACCCCCCTGGACTTTGTTGCGTGAAAAGTACCCCTTAAAGAGCACTTAATTTGTTTTTTTTTCAGAAGAAATTTTGCAGCGAATTAGCCGATCTTCCGATCAGCCGGCAAATAATTGTGGGGGGGGGGGGGGATGGTGGATATTTAGAATATTGACATTGAAAAATACATTTGTGGTTTATGCAACGGTAAAAGCTCATTGATATCATTTCTCATTTTTGAGCATTTTTTTAAGACTACTGTCAATTCTTTAACACAAAACAAATTGCAATACCTTCCAGCATAACCTTTTAATCTGTCTCCTACTTTACGAGGACTGTCCTTTGTTCTGATAAGAACAGGAACTAATGATGGGTCAATAGGAAGGAAATATTAGCTACTTGCCCTACAAAGAGAAAGATAAAACAGTTAGAATGTACACTCAAAGGGACACCTTCTTGATTCGCAGAAGCTTGTGTAGTGTATGTCACTCGTAGCCCAGTTTCAGCTTCTTGTACTATTTTGTAGTGCTTCTGATACAAGTATATATTTTTGTATGACTAATGCTATCGGAATTTGCCCTAAATCAGAGATAAATGTGATGCATATCATTGGACTTGTGATGAAGATTTTACAAGTATGTGCCTTATAGATGACAAGTTACGGGTAAATTAGTTGGTGTATTATATTATTTTATTTCATATTTGATAGATATATAATGATAATAATAATATAGAATATTTGGTCAGCGCATAATAAATTAAAAATTTATCTATGCGCTTTACAATTATGACAAATTTGAATATATATATATATATATATATATATATATATATAAATAAATCATATATCATTCTTCTTATGAATAATCAATTAAATAGTATTCAATAATTCTATTGGCCACCTGTAGTAGTTGCAGTATATACACTCCAGTGAATGTCACTTATCTCAAGAGCCTCACCTTAAAAGTGTCCCACCACCATTTACCGGTACATTTTTATTGAGACAAAGGAATAAGTGAAGTGTAAAATATATCTCATTGGAGTGTAACCGTTAGCAACCACAACTTTTTCATCCATATCATGTGCAATTCTATTTCAAATATTAATTAACACATAAAAGAATGGCAACAAAAGATGAAAAGGATAACATTCCATTAAAAATGCAAGAGTAATCTGTATAGTCCTATACCAGTGTTAAAGGGTTGTCATGGAGCTAATCTGGACTTTGCGAAGGTTTGACCTTGAAGAGGAGCCAAGAAAGCTAGTGGAGTGTTAATACACGGAGCTCATGATTGCAGAAGATAATTAGATCATTTGTTTTTATTCTCACCAATTGATGGACAACTATCACAGAATTTAGCACTATTCCTAAGGCATAGATGGCTGTTGATGAATTTAGTTGCTCATTTCCCCCCTTTTCTTACAGTGATGATTTGAATAGTCTAGATGATATTCATCCTGTATGAGAACGTTTGACAGACGAACACATGAACTTCTTGTGAGATCTGGAGACTGCGGATGAAAAATGGAGCATTGGTCATTGGGGCAGCGAGGAATTAGCTGCAGAGAGCTTCCAAAAAGTTGCCACTCTCCACCCAGGTTTTAAATGGGTACCGGTAGGAAGGAATTCCTTGAATGCTGTGAGCGCCAAAATCGGCTGCCTAGCAGAGCCGGGGTAATAGTTGGAGCACCTTGAGCACCATGCATGGTGGATATGTGCGCTATATAAATATCCAATATTATTATTATTATTTCTAAATCTTAAAAGTACATATGGAAAGAAGGGACAATATGTGCAATTTCACGCTACACCAAATCGCTCTTTTTAAGGAAGAGATTTAAAAAGAGATGCAATGAATGAGAAAAGAAAAAGTGATTTTGCCATCAGACAAGATTTTGTATCCAACCACTGATCAGAGAGAGAAAATATTTATGGAATTCATATACTGTGCAATGTGATCTTTATCAAGTAATTACAACGTCCTTATAACACATTTTCAGATTGAAACTTTGAAATTAATTTGTCTTATATTCTTTGGGAACAAACATGTTTTCTTCACCTTTCTATCCTGGGGGTTGTTTCACAAAGATTCTAAGTTGAACTTATCTCTAAGTTGGACTTAAAAATTATGGAAAGCCGTTAGCATCTTTGAAAATATTTTGTAAAAGTCATTTTGAAAGGCATAAAATGTTGATTCAAATCATTCATATTTTTTATCATCAAGGAGATTTCATGTTCTTGATGTGGAATTTATAAAAAAAAGTCTAAAATACTTGAATTTTTGCTTTTGAATATATTTCATTTTAAGGCTCCAATGGCTGTCCATAATTTTTAAGTCCAACTTAGTGTTAAGTTCTACTTAGGATCTTTGTGAAACACCCCCCTGGTGTGCAGGTGTCCAGTTTGGGTCTCAATTATCTTTTTATGTATCGTAATCAATGATATATATATATATTGTTATGTATTGTATGAATCAAATATATATTGTTATGTATTGTATCAATCAAATTTATTTTTTCATTATTATTTTTGATGAAGGAATAAATGTATTACTGTAAAGATAGGGAATATGTAAAAACATGTGTCCAAAAATAAATATCTAGGACAAATGTCTAACGAGTTATTTTCTTTGGAGAAATTGGAAATTTAATCCTAACTTTCTTATCCTTTATCAGATTTTCCCTATAAGTTCACTACCAGTAATTTGTTTCTCTAATTTTTAATACTACTTTAGCCAATGTGATCTTTATTTATCGTACTTGGTAACACTCACCTTCAGTTATATCTAGGTAACAAAATTATGACATCAGTGTTTGTTTATTAATCTATGGTATTTCTTAGAGTGCAAGCATTTATTTGCAATAATTTAACAACTATATTAAATTAATTTGAAATGAATTAAGTCATTTACTTGATTATATTTAGAAGTGATGATTTAAAAAAAGAGATTTTATAAAGTACTTAAATTGTTATTGTTATTTCTATCTTGATTAAAGGGTTGTATGCTCGACTTGTTTACATGGTATACACCTGTACATGATAAAGGACCATTTCTGAGATAACTGGATTATGGCAGACACTTTCTCATCAGAATACTCCTCTGACTCTCGCCATTATTCAGAATTCCAGAAAGTTTATCAATCAAACATAACTTGGCAACTCTGTGTGTGATTAATTTTATTGGACCTACATAGAAGTATGTTTTTTTAATTGATATAATACTTGTATCAGGATGTACAATTTTGCAAAATAAATATAGTTTTAATGAATGAGTACTCAAAACGCTTGATGTTGGTATCTGTTCTTACATTTGAGTTCCATTACTATAAGGTATATCAAAGTCATAGAAGTGTCGTAGTTAAGTGGTTTAAACACTTGTGTAGAGATGCGAATGTTGTGGGTCCAATCACTTGTGTAGAGATGCAAATGTTGTGGGTCCAATCACGGTATGGTGTCCTTAACCCTTAAGAGGCCAAGGTATTTTGAGGCTTCTAATATCGAGGGGGCATTATGACCCCCCCCCCCCCCCCAAGATCTTGGCTATGGTTGACGATATGAAGATGAATTTTGGTACACATATTTTAAATAAAGTATAATGAACAACATGACATCAATTTTTTTGGGATTAAATTATTTCTAATGTAATATGCACATTTTTTGTAAAATTTATCTCTTGCAGTTTTAGTGTAAATTGGGTGGAAAATTAGTTGTTTGATAGATGAACTACACGATAGTAAAAAACATTTATTGTCGAATAATATACATCGTTTTCAATTTTCGTTGTTTTTTTAATTGTTTTGAATTGAACCCAAGATAGGTCTCGCTTAGTGGAAGTGTAAACCTTCTTAACAATGATTTTGGTTACCCCCCCCCCCCCCCCCCCCCTGGCCTCATTAGGGCTAAGCAAGGTATTTTATCTACATTGCTTCTCTTCACCCAGGTGTTAAACGGGTATCCAGTAGGAAGCAATAGACATAGTTTGCTCTGTATTTTGATTGTCTATAATATGGCGACTGGCTGGAATGCTCCCCAGGGAGTGGAGCATGTGCATACATTTTGTTTCAGCAAGCCTGTATCCAATGACCACGGTAATGTGTTTTTTAATAGCTTATGAACATCGTAGATAAATGAAATGCGATATAAACCCAGAAATTAGTATTATTGAGGAAAAGGATCCTTTTTGTGAAGATGTAGTAGCAATTTGTCTAAAGTGTGAAATTCACAATACATATGATTTAATGTGATACATGTGCTTTCAACTCGACAGAAAACATCCTGTTCCTCATATATTTTTTTCTACCAATTTCACAACTTTAGGGGAAGTTGACCGTAATATTAAGTAAGCAAAATCCGTTAAAGAGTAAGTTGCAGTCGATCAGACACAAAATGGCAACTCGGTTAAATACCTTGCAAGGTCCCCTCCCATTTGCTCTATTCTGAAAATTGTAGATGATCTTATGCACCCTAGAAATAATCATTACAAACACATTTTGACAGAAATTGAAAATTCATGATATTTCAGTACAGATGAATTTGGAGAGGACCTCGAAAGATACATCAAAGAGTTGCCACCTTTTGCTTTGTTGTTTACAACTTTAAAAATTCATAATTGTCTTGTTTTCAATTAGATTTTGCTCAAACTTTCACTAATCTGTTTGTTTATTTCTGCTTTTATTAAAACCAACTAAATATCAGGGTACCGGGTAGATTTTTTTTTAAATGTGCATGTAAATAATTCTTTAGTCAGTGTTTACCATTATCTAGCTTAAGAAGTTTTCAAAACCATGAAACACAAATGATGCAGGCAAACTTATACTGCATAATGAATTTCGTTTTAATGAAATCACATGTACACTGTATACGTTAAACAATATGAGGATTGACAGCTTTCGCAACATAATGCCGCAAGAGATATTTCCTTGCAAGACAGTGAAGAAAAGTGAAGATGTACGATAAGTATGAAAATATACTTCGGCTCAATATGCTACTGAAATAAAATAATTTCTTTGTGTTTGCAAACTATTCTGCATACGGTATGTTTGCACATTACTGTGATGTAAGCCTGTAGTACGCTTCACAAGAAAGTTAAATTATTCTTCATTTTACGACTTGACAGCTATCTTTTCTCCAGTATTAGTAGTTGTGTTGCCTACACCATGATTGAAAGTTGTAAAACCTTTTGTATTATAAAAAGCATTCATAGTTAATAAAGCCATTACCTAATACATGGTCTGCTCTTCTGTAGACAAACCATGTGATACATGTGTATCTTAGAGAATGCAATACGCATAGTGTTAAGTTTAGTAAGGTGTTTGTAATATTAATGACTTGTCAAATTGAAGTACACCTAGAATACCATTCTGAATGCAATAATGCATACCAATATTATACCATTTCATTAATGTGATAAATACTAAATAACATACTAAAAGGGCACTGTACTACGAGTATGAATTATGGAATATTCCAGATTTATTTGGATGATAGGCAAATGCATTCTTGAGTGATCTAGTTATATCCTTAATAAATATATCTTTATCTGCTTTGAAAAAAAACCACATAGAGAGAGAGAACCATATCCGCTATTACATTTTGATAGTCAAAATTACCAGTTGATGTTCTTGATAATATTCTTTCAAATCATGTGGATATAAACTTTTGGCTTGCACATCACATGGATTAGTCCCTAACACTTAGTTGTGTGATGAAAAAAAAAATGGCATCAACATATGTGTTGTCGTACATCAAGTAAATGCCATATTTTTTTAAATATCAAAACATTTTTTATTATACAAGTACATGCCCATTGAAACATACAAAACTGGTGTACCAGAAATTGCGAAATACTCGTAATCAGCAAAGTTTGTATTCCTGCTTTGGAATTTGGATTTTCAAGAAAGGTTGGACAAATATCTGTTGGTACCAGAGGCAGCAACATTTCTTTCGCATCCTTGGAAAGTGCAATTTCTCTGAAATGTATAGAGTTGATTCTTCACTATCGACCCCCTTTGCAAAAAATATGCCTCAAATACTTTACACCTAAACAGCTTGCACATACCGGTAGTCTCTGCTTAATGGTCAAGGAATGCATTATATCTGGCTGATATAAGGCACGAACATTGTATTCTTCAGCAAGAGGATTTAACTCCATGTATCTGATCGTCCTATCTCTTGAAAAAGATAAAGGCGCCCTAAACCTTCACAATAGCACCATTTACAGATATGGTGAAATTTACTACATCATATGCATACACTTAACTGGCTTAATGATAAAAGCTGGAAATGAATTATGTAGTAAACATTTAAAAGTTCACTGATCATCACAAAAATGGAAAAAGATAAAGATTTACTGATAGTCTACATTCGTAACAAGAAATCATAATACAGAACAATGTAAGCATTTTTTCGTGAGCACAGATGGACAGAGATGTAAATTTATAATATTGTATTGTCCAACAAAGTTATTATGTGAAGGGAAGTCCAAGAATCAAAACAAATACACAGGATCCCTCTTCTCTCCCTGTTACCAATACTTGTATACATATATTCATTCATGTGAGGAAAGAAATGTCCATTGGAATTAAATAAGAGTCAAAATCATCCATATGAAAGGTGAATAATCCTAACAATTCAGTTCATTAATCAATGATGTAAACAGGTCTGTAAATTACAATTGGCAACTTAATAAAGTTGAAGAAATATATTGTACCTGATCAGATCATATTTAGTTTGCATCACGTCTCTCAATGTGTTAGGAAGTCAATGATGGCCAAGGTTTATCTGCCATGTAAGTAGAAGGTGCTATATCTAGCCGTTTTACTTCTCTTTTCACATACAATATGTGAGAAGATCCAAGAAAAAGCTTATATATAGTAGACACCGATTTATATGTGTTGTGCCCAATATTTTGGCTAACATAAACGCCCACAGGATAAAAATACAAACCCGTATTATATCCTTCATATATACGGTCTTAATGCTACTGGATAAAAGAAGCAGGAAAGATATATCTGCAAAATTCTTACTTGTAATGTTTGAGAGAAAACAAAATAGAAAGAAGGAAATACATTTAGGAAGCAAAGAACTTTTGAAAATTGATTGAGCTTAGAGGTAAAATATTTGCAGAAGCCTATAAACTTGATCATTCTAAACTCTGTGTGGGTCCATATGGCATATCTTATATGTAAGTAATGCCTAAGGGATAGCTTCAGGCCAAGCTCACAGAATTGGTATACAAATAATTACTGCCATGAGAAGGGAATAGTTGGAACTATGGTCCCCCAGGTGGTACAGGGAAATTAATCATCAAGGGTACCATAGTTTAACCAAAAGCTAAAATATAGGCAGTTTACATTTGGTTTTATATTCGTCATTTGGAACTCGTGTCTAGATCTACTGACGATCATCCGCACCTTACCGTACCGAACACACTCAAATTTTGGAAGTGGAAAGGAATTTGCGTGCATATCAAACGCAACGATGACATCGTCACATTCTGGTGCGTATCTATGACATCACAAGTCACAGTACGCACTTTTTTTTGTGTGATGTCATACGCTGTATACAGTATCTGTGAATCGAGATAATATGCACGGAATCATAAATGTAACGTCGGATGTTGGCCTCGGATGGGAAATGTATTTCATCACATGATGCGCAATGGATCGATCAATTACACAGATTTTTTTTTAATGACAGATAGAAAAGTACATATTGTATGCTCATGATATAATAGTGGCAGATAGTTACAGGTACTCGGGTGACAGTCAATGTGCATGACAACATGATGCTTTCATTGCAAGTCAACGACTCTGGATAATATCCATGCAATAATCACGATGAACTTTGTTTGCGACAGGTCTAGGACATATCGGACATCATTGCTTGAACTTGAAGACGGACAACACATTGATTTTAACTCGATGAAGCGATGCTGTAGCAGTTGGCCTGCTAGATACAACCCCGGAAGAGCTTTAAATTATAATATTATGCTGCTGCTGGCTCGACAGACAATCACACAGTCTACCCTACAAGACGATTCTGTGCCCATACTCGATCACTAACTTCCCTTGTGATCAATGTCTGTGGTATCTAGCACATTAGAAAAATATGTCTCTGTTCACAGCATCTGTAAATGTTCAGGTTTGACCCCTTCCCTCCGTGAAGGAGAGGTCAATTTTCTAGAGCTGCGTAACGATTTCCTAGTTGTAGATTCCCTCCTTTACTGCTGGCACCGTCCACTGCTTGTCCGCCCTTGGTTACAGTAGAAAAAGTTGCGTCCTCCACCTTATTACTGCAATAAACAGACAAGCAGAACAAGATATGTTTAAGAAGTTGAGGTGAGATTGAAAACGAATTCTAGTAAGCTTCAACACTATGACACAGATTTGATAAGTTTGTATTCTCATTACATCTTATTGTCAAATCCAGATGACCTTCTTCAAGTCTTGACGCTGCATAATTTTCATAGATTTTGGTTCTCGAAAAACGTGCGACTCTTGGCTGCAAGGTCAAAAAAAGCTTGCAAAGGATTTTCTTTTCTAATGAATCATGTTGTGGCACACATACATGGAAGACCCATTTGAAAAACTACCTGTAACATATTGTTTCAAACTTATTTTGAGACATTTCATTGTTAATTACAATCAACAGAAGAAAAGTTGGCCTCAGTTGGCCACCTAACAAGAATCTACATTGCCTGGCCGACAACCCAATTAAAATTTACAAGAGAAGCCAGTTTGGAAAAGAAATAATATTAACTGAAAAAAATGAGCAAGTTGACAACAGAAGTACATCCCAGAAAGAGACAGAATACTGCATGACAATACTAAACCAACAGCTGACTGATGGTGCTACAATGTGTGGGTGTGTGTAATTGGGTTTTTACAGACGTGTATCAATCAGATATGATTATTTACGTCTGGGGACCGACCTTTAATGTCACCGAAAGACGTGCTCAACAGCACTCATTTTAAGAAAGAATATTAAAACTACAAGCAAGGTTTCCCTACATCTCATGACATGCAAAATCCAGATGCCTACCGGTATATAGTTTACTAAAAATGGTCTGATTTCTATCTTATATGACATCATACACACTTGCTTTCATGAACCAGAGGTTTTCACATAATATCCCGATGCAAAAAGAGAGGATGTACCTGTGTTTAACTAGGTCTGAACTTGCAGCTAATGTTGGGAACTCAAATTCACTGTTAAGCTGTGGTGCCTTTCCCTTGCGTGCCATGCCGAGCCTGGCAGCAGCAGCAGCAGGGCTAGAAGAGGACTCTCCGCCAGCTCCAGCACCTCGCCTGTTGGGTGGGACATACTTTCCCCCTGATGTGACTGCTGGCTTGGGTTCTTCCTTGACAGGTTCTGAGGATTAAACAAACAAGGATATAAAGCGTAAGTTAAACAGCTAGATATAAAAATATTGTAGGTGATGTCATGTACCTGTTTTTCACAGTGATCACTCAAATATTTAAGGAACACCAGATTTTAGGATGTTGCCTGATTTCGGGCCTTATCTTGTCTCAGTTAGAACCTTTTAAAGCTTTATGTTGTACCCGATATGTCCATTTGCAGCCTAATTGGGAAAATCCTACTGGTGTCCCTGAAATTTGTACGAAAATGTACCAATAATATGGATTAGCTTGTATCATTGTATGACAGTACTACACCAATCAATATTTTTGTTTTCTGTGGACGAGGGGGGGGGGGGGGGTCAAATTTGAAAGCACACAGGGCTATTGTAATAGTCAGAGTTCTCCTCAACGTAGTACCGGTACGTATTTGATATATTCATCAACCATTGAAGGAAATTGAGTAATCCTATAATGTATTTCTCTTTTTGAAAACACCCCTCCCCCCACCCCCAATAAAAAAAATCCTTGGTATGATCATGATACATATGTACAGTCATGAAGCATTTGTCTCCTGATAATTTGAATATCAACTCCCAAGTGTACTGTGAACGCTGTTATTTCCAGTGATTAGTTTTTTTCGCGCTGAGAGACCCCAGAACATATTCGCTGGTTCTTAAATTCGCGTTGCACACGATTCAGCCCGTTCAAAACATGCATAAGAAGTCAGCTTATATTTTTGAGTTCTAATATTCGGGCTTGCCAATTTTAACGCTAAATCCGCGAAAATTCATGTACGGGAAATATTTCTACTTTTACAGTATTTGATACCTGGTGCTGGAGCAGGAGCAGGGGCTGGAGTTGGAGCGGGGGCAGGAGCTCGAGCCGTTTCAGCCGTCCTGTTCCATGGTCCTGATGCTCCTTGACCTTTGGTCTTTATAATTTCTCCATTTTCATCCACTTCTTCCTCTTCCTCTTCGCCTACGGGGGGTTCATCACTGAAAATAATAATATCCAAAGAGATTAATACTCAATCAATAATACAGAATGTAATTGAACTTGTGATTCACGTGCCATTTTAAATATCAAATGACAAGACACAAACCTTGGTTTCCAAAAATTAATGAGGTACAGAAATACTCTAGAAATACACTGGAGCTCATTTTTCACTAACGGGTCTAAGCTAAAAGATCTCATTCAAAACAGTATGACCCTAAATCTATAAATACTTCAAACAAATAAGGCAGGATCCATTGTTGATTCAAGTTGACTTAATCTTACATGTTAATGGTTTGGTTATTTGTTTTTTGTATTAAGAAAAACACAGCAGCAAATTTTATAACAAAATATAAATATATCTTTGTGTAATTAAAAATAGATTGAAAGATAAATTGGACAGTTTCCCGACCCTTCCCAGAACTAAACACCACCCCTAATCTTGCCCTTGTCTAATGTAGGAGAGTCTATAGCGGTATCACTGTAATACTTACGTCACTTGAAGAGCCTGGATCTTTAAGCCACTGTAATCCTTTTGTGAATCATCTCTAAAGTCTGTCCATTCATCATCATCCTATTAAAAAGGGATAGAAGAAACATACCTTATGTTTATCTCTCGAATGTTTCCATAAAGTGCTTTTATTAAATTAAATACGTGCATCCACCAATCATGTAAGCAATAATAATTCAGGTTAGAATCAAGCACCACTCGATGCAACAACCGAAAGTTTTAACAGAATCACCTCTCACTTCTGTACACTGATGCTGATGCTGATGCTGAAATGTCAAATCATATCATGCAGATAATGACTATAGCTTTGTGCAGAGGACTGGGCTAGTGAGTTCACATTATCCACAAAATTCAGGGTGAGACCGTGAGAGGTCTATTTTTCTGAAAAAAATTACACCTATCTTAACACACAGCAAAAACTGATAAGACGCCGTCACTAACCCGCTTAGAATTTCCTGAGGCTGAAGCATGGACAAGAGATCTGGAAGAAGTTTTCTTTGAGAAACAACTTTGACTCAATGACGTTAAAACATTATTCAATTGCACAATTTAGTGACTTAATTAGTTATTTCAGTAGGATTAGTTTATAAGATTTTACCCTTAGAAGTTAAGAGTTAGACTCAGTTAGTTTCAGATATTACCTATTAATTTTACCAGAAATGAACGCCTGGTATGGGAAATTCTTCAATAAATCTGACATTTGTAGACATTTCCCCTACGCAGAAGGTAACCCTTGCCACAGGCACAAGGGGGGGTTAACTGTATGAATATTGGAATTATATTGATAAGCTTGATATGAAATGATAATATGAGGAAGGGAACAGACCTGGTGAATAGCCCTTTACAAATTTTAAAAATTACTGCCTACTGGGCATCATCATGAAGCAGTAGGGGCGATGGTCCGAGAACGAGGATAGTCCGCATAGAGGATCATCTTTATAACGCAGACGGATGCGTCCGCAAAAAAAAAGGATCATCTGCATTTCCTGATCCGCTCATTGGCGATGCGAAAAACGGGTTCCGCAATGATTTTCTTGATGCATTTAACTGTATTTTAACATTGACTTTGAACAGAGACTTTCATATTATGAGCAATAAATAAATCCTCGGGAAGACGGATGGTGAATTGGGGTTATTTTTTTTACCCAGAATCCATTTTTTGGCATCGCCAGCGCGCAACTCGGGAACACAAAACCGCTGATGAAAAAAACAAAAATGCGGACGATCCTACGGTAGACTAGACCGAATTTTTCTGTCTCTTTCGTTCGTTAGCCTCTGATTTGGGTAGGTCGGCTCTCTCTTTAGAGACAGAACAGCCCCATACGCTGTAGTGGCCGCGCGTTTGTACTAAGAAACGTTACACAAAACTTGGCCAAACTTAATCCCTAATTTTGATATTTTACCGGATGCGTATCCGATGCATTTAAAGTCCTAAATTAGCTAAATACTTAACTACTTCGGTTCCACTTACCAACTTGACTGGAATAATCCGTTTAATGGTCCATTTTTAGGAAATTAGGGGTCAAGATCGACATCCATGAAGAAAATCTTGCAGCCGAGTCTCATTCTTTCTAGTCTACGCCGAAGGCAAAATGATTATAACGGAAAAACTGTGCACGAGCTATGACATGCACAGTTTTTCCGTTATAATCATTTTGCCTTCGGCGTAGACTAGAAAGAATGAGACTCGGCTGCAAGATTTTCTTCATGGATGTCGATCTTGACCCCTAATTTCCTAAAAATGGACCATTAAACGGATTATTCCAGTCAAGTTGGTAAGTGGAACCGAAGTAGTTAAGTATTTAGCTAATTTAGGACTTTAAATGCATCGGATACGCATCCGGTAAAATATCAAAATTAGGGATTAAGTTTGGCCAAGTTTTGTGTAACGTTTCTTAGTACAAACGCGCGGCCACTACAGCGTATGGGGCTGTTCTGTCTCTAAAGAGAGAGCCGACCTACCCAAATCAGAGGCTAACGAACGAAAGAGACAGAAAAATTCGGTCTAACGGTAGACTAGTTATTTTTTTAGAACGCAATTTGTCCGCGTTTACGAGGATATCCTTGTTAATGCGGACGATCCTAAATCTCGGACCAGCTAGCGCCCCTAGGCCTACTGATACTTGTTTTTAATGGAAACATTACATTCAATTTTATTATTGCCAAATATTAATAATGAAATAATCTTTTTGCTAAATCATTACAACTGTCATGACATTAGGGCCTATTCTTGTCCCCCTTTTTCAAGTATTTTAATATAATTCTTCTAAAAATAAAAAAAATGATCACCTTAAAACGATAGTCTATCTGTTCTTCTTCATTTTCTTCCTTTACTTCTTTGACAGCCTCGGGTGCTGTACTAACTGCAGCCTTGGGCTTTTTCGTCGTGACATCAGCGGATACTGATCCGAGGCTGCTCGGGCCGGGGGTTGTGTCTTGTTCAACCATTTTTTTGGCTACCTCGTCGGTGGTCGTAATCTTCTTGCTCTTTCCTTTGCCTTTGGCACCTTTTTTCTTGCTCTTCTTAGCGAAGAAATCCTCTAACGACTTTTCACTTTCAGTCATCTTGTAGTTCTGCACAGAAAATAGTTCTAAAAGAGTTCAAATTTGATAAAAACGTTACCATATGACAAAGGAAATGAACAGTCTTGGTTCACATGCCATTCATTCGGTGCATGCCATTACCACATACATATCCACAACACACGTGTAATACGCCAGGAACCTAGACTTATCGCCCTTTCTTATCTCGCTAATTATGAAGTCGACCATCTTACCACATCGGTCATGGAGGATCTTGGCCTGGTTCTGGATTTTGTTGTTCTCTACGGCAAAACTCTTGTGTCCTTCAATTCTGAACATCATTACAGTTACTGAGTAATTGTTGTTGTTTTTAATGGTAACCTTTCAATGTTATTAATATTACCAAATATCCCTTTTGCTAAATGTATTCTTGTCCACATTTTCACGTATTTTAATATAACTTATTTAAGTATTTTAACTTATTGTCTGTAGGGGACCCCACTGGAAATAACCTCTCGAGCTTTCGTGGGTTATCCTGTTCAAGCTGACTTAATTTTTATTTGTTATTATGTTATCAGTTGGTTATTGGTCAGGTTTAACTCAAATAAGTAAAAATCTACGTATAGGCCCACCGTTGAGAAAACTAGTCTTGAGAGCAAAACATGCAGCTGAGCATAGAAGCCCCGGCAGGCGCGGATCCAGGATTTCTTAGGGGAGGGGGCCCAACTTTTTTTTTTTTTGCTCCCGAAAATTTGAAAATCGCGCCGGCCGAAAAGTCGCTCAGTGGGGGGGGGGGGGGGGGGAGGATGGTACAGAGCACATTTTTTTTTTTTTTTTTTTTTTTTTTTTTTTTTTTGCTCCCGAAAATTTGAAAAACGCGCCGGCCAAAAATTCGCTCAGTGGGGGGGGGGGGGGGGGGGGGGGGGGGGGGGGGGGGGGGGGGGGGGTAGTGAGCACATTTTTTTTTTTTTGATCCTCAAAAAAATTTCAATTTGCACCCCCCCCCCTTGAGCGCCAGGGGGGGGGCCCAACCCCCAAAAATCGTAAAAATCACGTGATTTTACATGATTTTTTTCTCAAGGGGGGGGGCCCGGGCCCCCCGGGCCCCCCCCCCCTGGATCCGCCACTGAGCCCCGGGCCCCCCCCCCCCACTCAGAGGTCGGAATGACCGCATGCGTGTTGCCAAAATGTCCGGTAAAGGGGTACTTTTCGTGCGACAAAGTCCGGCCCGAGAATTGTAAAAAAAAGGGGTGTATTTGACTTTTCACCCGGAGATTTCTTTAAAAAGGGGGGTGTTTTCTTTTTTTCTCTCATCTCTTTGGACTCCTGAGAAATTATTCCGAATTTAGGGGGGTACATTGAGCATTTTTCCTGATTTAGGGGGGTCTCCAAGGCAGGAAAAGCCCGCGAAAAGCCCGCGAAAGGGGGGTTCGGAAATGTTGGCAGTCCTCAGATAGGGGGTGCTTTCAAAAAGAGGGTACGAGCATATGCGTACCCTAAATAACACTGAGTGGGGGGGGGGCCGGGATAGAAGCAGACTCATCTAGTAAAAGTTTTAACGTAATTGGACACTATATAACAATAATTTAATGAGGAAGTTATGAAATCAGTCATGTCACTGTGATGTGGTGCCGACAATTTTCAACTCGTTTCAACACAACTAAAAAAAAAATGTCAATTTTCAAAATATAGCCTAGGCTACATCACATGAATCATAGTCTTTTCTTTTCAGAGGAGCCAGCTATCCGTATATTTTGAGCAGTGGCCAAGGGAAAAAGCAATAAGAGAAAAACAAAAATTAGTGATACTTTTTTTTTACATGACAAGTTAACGTGTTTCTCGTCCGGACTTTAAAAAAAAGGAGGAGGCAGGGCATTACTATTTACTATTTTGCTATTTTTTTTAATTTTTGTCTCCAAGATGGCTCCAATTTGCTCCAAGATAGATGGCCAAGCCACAGATATCGTGCTATATGAGAGTATTATACTGATGCAATTTATGACAACACAAATGATTTTTATCACTTTAAAAGATATTTAAACAACTATATTATAATAAGTCGTTTGTAATATAATCTTAATAGTGCATCTAATGTATTCGATTTCGTATGTTGAGAGAAAGAGAATCAAAATATAACATTCCAAAATAACAACAAAATCAATCCAACCCCCCCCCCCCCCCAACAACAAAAAAAAACCCACTACAGCCAATGTGGAATGGGTAACTCTCTAATTCGCTTGCACAGTGTTTGTGTGTGTGCGTGTGTGTGTAATTGGGACAAAGGTGTGAATTGATACTTAATTTCTGATGTATATCTATATAGCTTACATTCTTAAATTTCGTAGCCTTTCATTTCTTGATGAAAGGATATAATCAAAATGTACATTGCCCTCTTTTCGAGACACCTGTAAAATTATGGATCTTCAGTGACTGGTCCCTCAGAAACTAGTGCTAAGCCAGTCACAGAGAATATATGATTTCAATTGAAGCCTGTCAGTACATGGTAAAATTGATTTTTATTCAAATATTTTTTTGAAATATTTCCATATTTTATGATGTATTGGCATTATGGGCTATAATGGTTGGAGCGATGGATGCAGTTAACAGCGTTGTTGTATTTTGTGGATTTATCATTTTGAAAAGGATGCCAATTAGTAATGTACACAATATTGTCCGTTAACATATTTTTTCTCTATCCCTCTTTCTCCCCCTCTTGTATAGGCCTATAAGGAAAATATGAATAATTATATTGGGCGTTTTATCAGTTTTAAACATGGAGAGAGGAATGGAGAGGGAATAAATCAAAACGAACGTTTAAGAAACCTACTAAATTTTCATTCGTGATGAATAAAAATGATAAATCAACTCTTTGACGTTGATCGATTCGTTCAATTTTAAATGAATGTGGTGACTAGTGATTAAAAGTTTGAAGAAAAAAAATAATCGAACAATTTGTTCTGAGGTCATTTTTTAGACACGTTCTTCAATTTTACAAAAATGCGGTGACTTCTCCTTTACGAGCAGATGGTCATGGCAGATTGACAACCTTCGATATTCTATAAATATTGTAAACTATCTAGACAGTACTTCAACAGAATAGAGACACTTCGTCACATCAAGCTACGAGAAAGTATAATCTCACCGAATTATACTCGAACACCGCATCGAAATCAGGTAGGCCCAACTACCCCCATTATACGTTATGCCTGTTGAATATTTGAGGCGTCTTTCTGATTGCGTCAGTTTGAAATTGTATTGATAATGATATCGATTATTTAGGAGCGCTAAAACCAAAAGTACCTTATCGCTAATACAAAATAACAAAATGTGAAGAGAAACATAAAACTCATGGATAGGTAAATCATACTTTATTACTGAAGGAAGAATAATTTTTAAAAGAAATAGGTTACATTTTACACGTAGGAGATGTAACAAAAAAAGGACCATACATATAGTTTGTTGAACACAAGTTAGTGTTTAAACAATAATATTCTGGGTAGGTACATTTTACCATGGAGTTACTACACTGTTGGTCATATTTTCCCCCCAGTTTAGGGAAGGATTTTAAATTGTGTTTAATTTCTAATATAGATCTAGATAATGGCATACATTCTCAGATTTTATTGAATATTGATTTGTGAGTGTTTGTTTTGCGTGACTGCTTAATCATATGTGTGCTACTATGCTAATCAGATAAGGGACCTACGTCCTTAAGTCATAATTGACAGTAATGAGGATTAATGCCTCACAAAAGGGCACTAATATATAGCTGATCGACACGATTTTTATCCTGGGGCCTCACAGTAGCCTAACGAGGCCATTGCTTAGCCCCTGAATCATGACTGTACGCAGTGTTTGCTAGGGTACGCGGCCCCTTCCACAAATCCCCCAAAACGAAGAAAATGCAATAAATTGTCAAAAATTCATTGCATTTTCCCCCGGCCCCAAACAGGAAAAATTCCTCTGTAGGGCCATGCATTATGGCTCAAGGCATCAATGACATGGGAGATAAAGTAATACCATATGGCACTTGTGTTTAAAGGAGAGTTGGTTTCTGTGGCCAAGAAAAGTTCTATCTATATGTAAATGAGACAAAATGTGAAGGTATAGAAAATCCACATTTTTAATCACGAGTTAAATTATATGTTGATATGTGTATGTATTTTTACGCGTAGATCATAATCAAAATATTATTATACACGGTTCAGCATTTGCTCAAAAAGCTATATAGACCATGATTAAGGAACAACGTACCATAACTCGACTGTCTCCAATAACATTGATAGCGGCTTCGAAGAGGATCTCCTAGTAAACCTATACACGACTTTTTGTTAGCAATGGAATCCAATGACCGGGGTAATTATGTAAGGCGTTTAGACACATAGGAGCTCTATACAAACGTGACTATTATCTTTAAACTTGAAATCCATTTTACATAACCCAGGAAAATGTCAGACAAAATCCATTAAACTATAACTCCAAAGCCTGTGCCTAAATTAAAAACTTTAAAAACACACACTAGTAGATAGAAACGCACTCTCTTGAATGCTATCAATATTTTTGTAATTAGATTATCCAAAAACTCTGTGGAAACAACATTTCCCATACGATGAGGTAGAGTAATTGAGTGCCTAAAACCCTTGGGCTTCCAAGGGCTCCGACCCCTGAACCCCACGCCAATTAGGGGCCTGCCAGTGTCACAATTAGGTATCAAAATAATGCTCATCTGACCGTAATTAAATGCCTAAAACCCCTGAACTTCCGGGGCTCTGCCCTCTGGACCCCGCCTAGGGCCCTAAGGCGGACCCCTGAGTGCTAATCTGACCATTATTATTGCCTTAAACCCCTGACCTTCCAGGCGCGGACAAGGTATCAACATTATGTTCATCTGACCGCAGGCGCGTAGCCAGGGGGGCAGTATGGTCCACCCAAAACGCCGGCCAAAAAAATAAAGGAGTGAAAAGGAAGAGGACGTATGAAGAAAAGGGAGTAGACAAAGAACATTTTTGATATTCAGACAAGGATTAAGAGTCGAGAACGTTACAACGATTGGTCTTCTTTCTCTATTAATAAAACGTCAAAGGGGGGGGGGGGGGAACGAAATTTAGACAAGGATTAAGAGTCGAGAACGGTACAACGAATCGTCTTCTTTCTCTAAAGATTGAATGAAACGTTAAAGCTTCCGCGCGAGGGGGAGGGGGACATAATTCAGACGAGGATTATTTTTGGGAACGGTAAAACGAATCGTCTTCTTTCTCTAATAATTTATTGAAATGTCAAAGCTTCCGCACTTCGCGGAGGAGGGTGGGTGGAAACACGCCCCTCCCTGCACCCACCCCCCTAATTACATCACTGCTGGTCACCATTATGTACCAATATGTGGCTCGCATAATTTCAAAATTGGGCCCCCCCCCCCTAAGAAATCCTGGATCCGCGCCTGCAACTTCACACTTCCAAATAACGTGATCAAACTTTATTCACGCCATATTCTGCACAACTTGCCTTAGTCATTTCTCCAGACATTTCCAATCCAACCATAGTCTTACTTCAGACTCTTACGTGTATGAAATATGAATCAACACAACATTATTTCAAGTACTAGACTTTCAGAAAGTGAAGAATAAAATTATGACTAAATTGAGACATTCTGAAGCCTTCCCGTCTTGTATTCATCAGAGCTATTAAACCACAATGCCCGTATTTTCTGGCAGCCAATCGTCTCGAAGCCTTTTATTTTTCGCACCTTTGTTGTTCAAGTTCATTTTCCGTTAAAACTTTGTCCGGTTCGACTTTCTCTTCATTCTTGATGAGTGGTAAAAGGCCCGGTAAAAGGAAAATTCCAGTACGTCACTATTCTATGCTGATACTCTTAATTGTCTTGCAATAACACCGTATAGCTTTGACCAAATTACCCGCCCCCCCCCCCCCCCCCCCCACTCAGTGTTATTTAGGGTACGCATATGCTCGTTCCCTCTTTTTGAAAGCACCCCCTATCTGAGGACTGCCAACATTTCCGAACCCCCCTTTCGCGGGCTTTTCGGGAGACCCCCATAAATCAGGAAAAATGCTCAATGTACCCCCCTAAATTCTGAATAACTTCTCAGGAGTCCAAAGAGATGAGAGAAAAAAAAGGAAAAACACCCCCTTTTTTTACAATCCTCAGGCCGGACTTTGTCGCACGAAAAGCACCCCTTTACCGGATATTTTGGCAACACGCATGCGGTCATTCCGACCCCTGGGTGGGGGGGGGGGGCCGGGCCAAATTATCAAAATGTATTCCATGTTGATTCTATTTTCCTTAGACTTTGAAAATGGCTACAACAACCCTGATTGCTCTCTGCTTTCTGATTGCCTTGGCCGTGGCAGCAAGTGTTTTAGTCGAGGACTCAGATGAGATCAACAATTCTGGTGAGTTTAATGTCGAGGGGGACATAATTATGCGGGACGAAACAATCGAAAGTAAGCATTTCATGTTTGATGTTGTCAACCAACCGTCGAATTACTAAAGCATAATAATTACAAAACAATCAACGTCAAGAAATTTCCAATAGCCGTATAATTATGCTTGTGCGGTCACCTATTAAAATGTGCCAACATGACCGTGTTTGTACATAATCCGAACAGATTTGAAGAAAGAGTTGTTTTCAAATTATATGCAAGTAATTCTCATTCCATTCCCTCTAAAATAATATCCTTAAGAGGATCTAAATACGTAGTTCATATTATTCACTTTACATTGGTAAACAAAACAAAAAGGAAAAATATTGTAATCAGTTAAAATCCAGGAGTAAAACGTTGAAGAGCATTTGATAATGTGATTTTTATCTAAATTCAGTTTGTTTAATGTGCCATATCGTAAAGATATTGAACGTTTTCCCTTGAAAGTAATTTACTATACCACAAGCTTATTTTGAGGGCGGGCGGTATTTTTTCTTCTTTTTTTCTTCTTCTTTTGAATAGTAAATAGTAATTTTTCAAAAAGGAGGCGGCGACCAGAAACTAGGCGGGCGGTGAAGAGAAACACTTCATTGTGTTATTTGGCTATAATAGGCCTATCCGCGACTCCGTCACAGTCCATTGACTAAATTGACAATTTGAGACTACGGTATAGATATTGACAGTGATCTCATATTTCTAACAATTCTTAACTATATATCAATTAATTATTTTTAGGTCCGATGTATTTCAAACTTTCGTTACTCTGTTTCTGCTTTAATATAAATAAACTAATTACAATTTATTAAGGTTGGATTGCCCATTATTTTTTTGGTATAAATATAAAGTCGTGAACCATCGATGCCTACCATGCTAACGAGCGATATCATTAAGGGCGAATTATCTTGGGGCGAGAATGTCTAAATATGAGCGCGCCGTTGGATAATCCTCCTACGTAAATGTGCGGCTGGTTTCTGTCAACTCGGTTTAGTCCCCAAGGGGTATAGTGCGAGCATGACTCGACACCAACCAACCTTTTTATTCCCTCCTTTTTCCATCTTTTTCCCAACGTTTAATCTATAAAACACGTTAGAAGTATGCAGGGAGGCGAGTTTGTAAGCTATTGTTTCGTGCTCGGGCCTGGAGCTGGCTAATTACCCCCCCCCGCCATATTGTGCTGAGTTTCAGGGGTACAGCCCCCCCCCCCCCCCCCCCCCCCCCCCCCCCCCACTCCGGGGTCGGAAGGACCGCATTCGTGTTCCCAAAATCTCTGGTAAAGGGGTACATTTCACGCGATGAAGTCCGGCCCGAGAATTGTAAAAAAGGGGTAAATTTGACTTTTCACCCCGAGATTTCTTAAAAGGGGGTATTTCTCTCTCTCTCTCTCTCTCTCTTTGGATTCCTTAGAAATTTAAAAAGGAGGTTATAAGATAATATATCAGAAAGGGTATGTGTTTTCTCTCTCTCTCTCTCTCTTTGGACTTCTGAGAAACAAACAAAAAGGGGTTATAAAATATCTTGAATATCATAGATAGGGGGTATACATTGAGCAGAGTTCCTTATCTCCAAGACAGGAAAAGCCCGCAAAAGGAGGGGTGCAGGAAATGTTGGCAGTCCTGAGATAGGGGGGGGGGGTGCTTTCAAAGGGAGGGAACAAGCATACGCGTATCCTAAAAACACTGAATGGGGGAGGGGGTAGGGCAGCCGCAGGGACAGATGGGCGTAAATCCTAGGGACAGGCAGGTCGACTACTTCTGGAAGTACAATTATAGGAGCGGTTCTCGAAGAGGATTTTTTTTTTTGGGGGGGGGGACTTGGGCCCCCCAACCCCTGTAGAACGACTACTGCCTGGAAGTCAAGTTTTTGGGATGGTAGTTTGAAAAGTGAAACGTCATGTTTATCTCTAACAGAAAAATTTATGTAATGTATAGTATTTTGTCTAGTTTCCTACCCACCAAATGTGGAGTTCCTCAAGGATCAATTTTAAGCCCTTTGCTTTTTGTATTATAATTAATGATTTAACCAATACAACAACTTTATTATCATTTTGTCCTATTTGCTGATGATACGAACATCTGCTGTTCACATCCTAATTTAAACACTTTAGTAAAATACATTTAATAATGAGTTACCAAAATTATCTCTATGGTTTCAATGCAATAAGTTATCCCTTAATATAAATAAAATAAATTTCATGTATTTCAACCAAGCAACTTCTCATGTCATTGACTTTTCTTACAACATAATTATAGATAATGTACCTCTCGAAAGAAAGAGAACAACAAAAACAAATGTTGGTGTCATTATCGATGAAAATCTAAATCGGATTGAACATAATACGTCATAATTATCACTACCTCTATTTCTAGGAATGTTGGTTTATTATATAAAATGAAGAAATTAATCCCATGTTATACGCCTGTTATGCTTTATAATTCATTGATGTTACCGTTTAATTGTAATTTAGTATGGGCCACCAGAGCCAAACCAAAATCAACTCTATTTATTTATTGTATAATAAAAGAAAGCCCTTCGTATACTGGTTCACCATATTTATCTCACACAAGTCCAATATTTTACAAACTGAAAACCCTAACAGTATTCGACATAAATTCGCTACAAAGTTTACTGATCATGTTTAAGTATTTTATATACTCCCTCTTTCATTTAAAAACTTTTTATACTATGAATAAAGCTATTCACTCTTACCCTACCCGTTATTCCTCAAGTTTTCATCTAGTAAACCCGAAATTACTTATTGCCCATAGATCCATAAGACACCATGGTCCTGACTTGGAACTCTCTCCCCGTAAATCATGTTGCTCCCTCTACTCACTTAAGGCCAAAGTTAAAACGATGTTATTATCTGAATACTCAAGGTGAAATTTATAGTCAACTCTTCATTCTTATCATGTCATCTCTTCCTTCATTTCATTCATTGTCATCTTCATCATCATCATCATCATCATCATCATCCTCATCTGCATTGTCAATATTACCTTCATCAAAATTTATATTTTCAAGTACCTATCCGTTTCTGCTTAATAAATGTGTTAATATAATACTTGAGTTTTGTCTGGGGCTGTCGTATAAGCAATCTGCTTACAATGACAGTCCTTCTTCCGCAAATAATTTGATAATGTTTGAGGAAATTTAGTATTCATGACAGTTTATCATTTCGTTTTTGAAAATAACAATTGATATTTATATGTATTCGCTTATTTATGATTCATTGTCAGAAAAAAAAACTTGTTTATGCCTCTTTGTATTGTTGTTTAATTTGATTTGTTTTGCGCTTTTTTAAAATAAATGTAGGGCCTTTATACAATATGCCGTTTAGTCTTTACCACCCCTTCCCATATGGGAGTTGGCCTATATATAGGATGCGAGTGCAAGGCCAATATTAATAACTCGATTACTTAGGTGATTGCAATCACTTAAGTCAATATGACAACTAATGGTTAATATTTTCCCACTTAAAGACATTTTCAAGCCCTTTCGTTTTGAGGGAAGTTCTAAATTAGTATTATCTTTCAAATGGGACATAATAATCCTCCGCTTTCGACAGTGAAAAGCAAGTCTACCCTTATTCCTGGCAATTCCCGGGGGAGGGGCCGGGGGTTCCCAGAGTTGGTTGGACGGGGTTGTACCGCTCAAGCCTCGTAACACCTAGCCAGTTTTAAGGGTCATTTGGGCAGATTTTTCACAATTTTCGGGTATTCGCCATGCAAACACATGGAAACTCTGAAAAAAATTGAAAAACGGACAGATGTTTTAAAAGTCATGAGTGATATTTTTGTAAAAAATGGGACCCATGTTTGTTTAGGGATTTTTTGTGAAAAAGTGACCCATAAAATCGGCACATCCCGTATATCTTAATAGGTTGGTACCGCCCTCCCCCCTCCCCCATCCGGGGGGGGGGGGGGCTATTCTATACTTTGAATCATTGTTGGACTTAATGAGTGCCTTAAAAACCATCCATGTTAGTACCCGCTACCACTGCAGATTATATTCTTGTTATCTTCTTCCTTTTTATTTAGGCTCCCCATTTTTACATTGTTTTAACCTTGCCTGTTATATCATCTATATATTTCAAAACTTCGTACCTATTTTCCGTACATTATACTTTATTTGAAATCTGAAATTTTTAACCTTTAACAGCGATGAGAGCAGAGGAAGCACTGGAGAGCCAATCTTCCTTTGATAGGGAGCAGGTGGAGAAGGAGCAGGAGATGGAAAAGGTTGAGGAGACGGAGGAAGATGAAGAGGAGGACAAAGAGGAGAGAGAAGACAAGAAGGACAACGAAGAGGAGGAGAAAACGGAAGATGGGGAGAAAAAGGAGGACGAGGAGAAGGAGGAAGACGAGGAGAAGAAGGAGGAGGGGGAAGGCGAGAAATCTTTTGATTAGAAAAGTAAATTGATATCTTCGAGGCATGAATCTTTTCACAATAATTTGTGGTTCAAACAATAATCGTTAAATCTGTTTCGGGATTATGAATTTAAAAAGAATTTAACAAAATCACACTATAGTTCACAAATTAGAAATTATTATATCCTGCATCACAAATTTGTTGGCTTTTGATTGGTTGAGAGCTTGTCACATGACCAGAAATATTTGACCTATTTTTAGAAAGTACTATATAAGAGTACTATTTTGGTTTACTATTAAGGAGTTGAAAAAAATGTGAATTTTTTTTTTGAATTGAATTAATTTTTTTTTTTCAAATCTTAATTTAATGAAAACAAAATATTTTAAATCTTTTAAATAAAAATTGAAATTGTTTTTGTTCTAAAAAAATGTTTCCCCAAAATGTGTTGTTTTTTTGTGTTTTTTTTAAAATAAATTTTTGATGCAGGATATAAAACAAATATACAATGCCTTCTATTCGAGGTACTGGTTAAACTATGGGCCTCGGTGACTCCAAAAGTACCATTTGCTTCGGGGCTGCGCCCCTCAGCAAATAGTACTTTTGGAGTCACCTCTTGCGCATAGTTTTAACCAGAACCTCTCAAGGCAATGTATATTTGTTTACTATTCGCAGAGAATCGTGTTTTTAAGAAGAGGCAGTTCAGACGGGATCCAATTTTATGAAATAATTTTACTAGTTAAACATAATTTTGGCACTTTAATTAAACAATTCAATTAAACAAATTGGATACTTTTCTTTCACGAAATCTGCAAGTCTTTGCTTTTTACTATAATAATTATCAACCTTCCTTTTTTATGTGTTCTTTTATCAAAACAGTTCAAAAATAGACCAAACCAAACCTTAGATCAAGATAGTTATGTAAAGTTCCTTAATTAAAAGTAAATTAAATTAAACTAAGTTCTTCCATCGCCCGATTGCTGCAATGGCCGTTTCATTAACAAGGGCCAGGTCTTCATTTGTGCAACCCGTTCCGCCACAGTGCAAGATGTGGTCCATCGTCTGAGTCTCTCCGCAGTCGCAAAGAGTATCTCCTTCCTGGGCATAGCCCCATGAGCATAGCCCCATCTTGCCATCTTGCCATCTCGCCATCAACTATAGTGCTATTATTGACCAACCCATCGAAAACGAATGGATACTTTTGGATGACTGTAACAACCTTGACGCACCACACCAAGTTTATTCCCATGATATGACAACAGACTTACTTGATTCAATCACAACCAAATGATAAAGAAAGCAATATTGATGAGGACAGGCACAAGATGAGGCTACAACGGAGGCTACCAAGACGGAGTCCATCATTTTGTTCCACTTTATTATTGTCCAATACGAAGACATATTTGATTTTTTGTTGTTGCTTTGATTGCTTGGCTCTTTATAGGTTTCTTTAAATAACATATGAAATAATTTGTACTTTATTGATTATCTAAAAATTTGAGTTTGTTCTTTTATCATTGCTATATTGAGTGTTGCTATACTCTTGTTAGTTGTTACAATGTATCTATGTAGTGATCTCCCATGAGTACTGCAAAACGGAATGGGGGGGGGCCTTCACGGTTTCGGTGATTTAGTTTGCCTGCCCCATTCCTGGCAACTTGTAAATGCTCATGGGAATCACGATAATGTTTTTTTTTTAATGATTTTCATCCTTTGTTTTGTATGATTTATTCTTCTATGTAATCCTCTAATATACACTTTGTTTTGCCGAATAATAATAATAATAATAATAATAATAATAAATACTGTTTCAAAAACTTTTTTTTTGTGTGTCTGTAAAGAAATCAAAATAACAAGTGAAGGTGATGGTGTCGGTCATAATGATAATTATGATGAACATGATGATGATGATGATGATGATGATGATGACGACGACAATGATGATGATGATCATGATGACAATTATTATATGTCTTGTGGTGGCAGTTGTGATGGTGATTTTTTTTATATATTTTTTTTAAATAACAAAACTTTTAAGACTAATCGACTTCTGAAAACTGAATAACCAGATAATTCATTTGGAATTAGTAAGACAAATAACATCGGTAGTTACTATACGAAAATCTCCATGATTCTTTAATTTAAAAAGAAGGAGATATTTCTGTTGTGGATTGGTGATTAGGGTGACGCGAAATTTTTTATTTCTCAAAAGGGTGCCGTGACTACAAAAAGGTTGGAAATCGCTAAAGATAAGCCGTAATGAAATGGTTCATTGTACGTACTATACGTACTATACTATACGTTAATGATCAGGTAGAGCGTATACCGTAAATTGGCTTGGGGTCTAGGGGCAAAGCTCAGGGGGTATGGGCATTTAATTACGGTCAGATGAGTTTTGATACCTTATTCATGACACTGGCAGGTCACTAATTGGCGTGGGGTCCAGGGGGCTGAACCCACTGAAACTCAGGGATTTGAGGCATTTTATAACGGTCAGATAAGCATTCAGGGGACCGCCTTAAGGGCCCCTGGTGGGTTTGAGGGGCTGAGCCCTCGGAAACTCAGGGGTTTTAGGCATTTATAATAACGGTCAGATAAACATATTTTGATACCTATTTTGTGACACTGGCAGGACACTAATTGGCGTGAGGTCCAGGGGTGGAGCCCAAGAAGCTCAGGGGTTTTAGGCATTTAATCACGGTCAGATGAGCATCATTATGATACCTCATTATTCTGTGACACTGCAGTGTCACATAATAATTATGGCAGGTCACTATTCTTTCTTTTTCTCTCTTTCTTACTATTTATCTTTGATATACTTTTTTTTTAAGTATGGGGGAGGGCTCGAGGCGTTCCGCGGGCCCTGACATGCAGGCCGCTAAATAAGCATATTTCTTGCCTGACTGTAAATTTAGGAATTTGACATTTTCGAACAAATGCATAAAAAAGTATAATTTACTTAAAAGTGAAGAAAAAACTCGGAAAATAATTTCATTTCAGCAAAATTTGTATATCACAAGTATCAAATTATAAATTAACCACGTTTGGATTATATTTTATGGGGCAACTGCCCCCCCTTTCAGTTCGCCACCCCCCCCCCCTCTGATCTACACCTTGTTGGCCTTCCCTGTACTGATCTCCTCTTTTCCTTTTTTCTGTCCCTGTCCCCCTTATTTTTGTTGATGGGGGGGGGCGGGGGGGGGGGGTAACAGCCTGGAAGGCCCTTTCGCCCCCCCCCCCCTCGATCTCCTTCTTTTCCCACGTATTCTTTTATTCTTCCTCTTCTTTCTTTCCTTTTCTCTCCTCTTTTCCTTTTCCTTCTCTCACTTTTTTTTTGTTCTGGGGTGGGGGGGGGGGGGGGCAAGATCTGCTCCCCCCAGATCGATACCAGCTTTATATCGATACAACTTTATATAAGTTGTATAGAACATAGAGCCCCAAATAATATCATGATGGATTGACACTATAGGAAAGGCAAGACAATTTCGACCCTGATTCACTTTGCTTGGTTGAAATTATAACGAAGCCGAAATAAATGGTACCGCTACATCACTCAACGTTAGTTCGATCAGCGGATAGGTGATTTCCACCGCTGGTGATTTCAGTCGATTTGTTCCGGGGGATAGAATCTGCGCGTCTATTCGACCCCCCCCCCCCCCCCCCCAGAACCTAGAGCGAGCGCGAGTTGGCGCTAGAGCATATTGACGACACGTTGCGCAATACACAACACAGGATCTAACTTAGACTCGGAGGTTGTTATTTCGACATAAAGAGCAAGGCAGCTTTTGCTGCAAGTTTTCTAGGATAAGAACTTGAAGACGACACCAGACTAGTCCAGAGCTACAGAGAGACAGTATTAACACAGTCGTCCACAGAAAACCGACAAGAAATACTAAATTCAAAAGAGGATACCGAAGTTTGTCGAGAAGTTCAAGTATTTAGTGGTGGTAAGTATGGACCTGGTTCCTCTTCTTCTAACTCCAGGAAGCTCCGACACCGACGCCGACGCCGACGGAGCTTCCTGGAGTTAGGCCTACTCTTCTTCAAGATAATCTGCCTCTTTCAATATATTGACCTCTAGTGCTGTATACCTGCTGAAATTAGGCACTCCAGCAAAACATAGACTAGAGAGTCAATGCTAAATGCGTATTGAGCTCTAGCTAGCACTGCTTTACGTGTTAATAGGCAGCATTTGAATACATGAATAGTCAATACACTCATAACACACAGATGCACACAATCATGCCGATGCGGCTGATCGGCAAGTTTGACAGTGGACTCACAATTTGAATTTTTAAATTATTCTTTCTAACATCAGAGAGTTGAAAAATTGTATTTTACTGCTATTTAGCTGTCATCAATCGTCACTAAAGTACTGATTTTGAGTGAAATCAGTTGAGTTTTGTACAGTGGTGTTTGAAAGGTTGAGAATCAATAGCACAGCTTTAAATACACAGCCAGGATAGTAATGCATCTGTGTGGCTGAAAGGCAGCAATTGCACACAGTGCACATATATTCACATTGCACACCATTGCACAGTATTGCACACTAATGCAAATCATGAATACAAAGTTGCTGATTGGCAAGTTTGACAGTAGACTCATGATTTGAATTTTCAAAGAATTTTTTCAAACACCGGCTAGTTGAAAAGTGAATTTAATGCTATTTAGGTGTTATCAATTGTCACTAAAGTACCGATTTAGAGTGAACTTGGTTGAGTTTTGTACGGTGGTGTTTGAAATGTTGAGAATCAATAGAGGTCGTCTAAACAGTTTTAAATACACAGCCAGGATATAGTAATGCAGCTATGTGTGCCTGCGTCTATGAAACAAGGGGAGGGGCACGTTAACACAACGCAGGCTTCAGTCATCTGCCTGGGTTGGATTTGAGACCAAGATCTTTCGTTCAACAGGCAGAAGCTTTCCTGACTGAGCGTACTTGCCTTTTGGTTGTATTGTCTATTGGCAAACCGCAAAACCAAAAAATGATAATGATTAAGCACCTATTATTAGAATCAAGAATCAAAGTTAAAATTACACTTCATTTTTATTTTCAATATTTTCACCTCTGACATCAATATTACCTCTGACATTTTTATGCCTCCGTTACGAAGTAGCCGGAGGCATTATGTTTTCGGGTTGGCCGTCCGTCCGTCCATACGTCCCGTTCTCATGATCGCGTTATCTGAAGAACCAATAGATGGATTCCTGCCAAACTTTGGTCATGTATGTATCTTGCAGAGCCGATGAACTGATAAGATTTTGGGGTCACGAGGTCAAAGGTCAAAGGTCACAGGGCTCATTATGTATGCAAAAACAGCTTGTGATCGCGTTATAAATCTCAAGAACCGATAGATGGATTCCTGCCAAACTTAGGTCATGTATGTTACTTGCAGAGCTGATGAACTGATTAGATTTTGGGGTCATGACATCATGAGGTCAAGGTCAAAGGTCATGCGGCTCATTATGTATGCAAAAATAGCTTGTAATCGCATTATCATTAGAACAGATTGATGGATTCCTGCCAAACTTAGATCATGTATGTACACTGTATCTTGCAGAGCCAATGAACTGAGTAGATTCTTGGGTCATGAAGTCAAAGGTCAAATGTCATGGGCTCATTATGTATGCAAAAATAGCTTGTGAACGCTTTCTCATTAGAACTGACAGATGGATTACTATTTAACTCAGGACATCTTGCAGGGCCAATGAACTGAGTAGATTTTAGGGTCATGAGGTCAAAGATCAAAGGGTCATATGAGAAATTGCTTGTAACCACGATATTCTGAGAACCTGTTAATGGATAACAATGAAACTTGAATTTGAAAAATTTCTTCTGTTTTGGTTTGTAAACTTGCTCTATGACGGAGGCATCATTTTTCGACTGCGTGCAGTCGAAGTTCCATCTAGTTACCTCTGACATATTTTCCTCTGACTTTTTTCCTCTGAAATTTTTACACTGAGCCGCTTTGACTTGGTTTAAGTAGATGGACTAAATAATAAAAGTAAGCAGAGCCAGACTAGACCGAAAATCAATCTTTTTTGTTACCATTTTTTCCCCTTGTAACAGGCACTAATTATTTCATAAATCTTCTAAGACTTATGTTGGACAATATTATTATAAAGGGCAAATATTTATGATGGTTAGTTCTAGAGATAACTATTTTCCATTAAATCCGAAGGCAAAAGAGAAGTCTTTATGTTTGATATTAAGTCCAACACCCCCCCCCCCCCATCATGTCTCAAAGTCTAACTGCCCTTTATACACTGGGTATAATCACCCTCTTCATCAGATTTAAGCACTAGTATGAGTCTATTTCCTGGTGAGTGCTCTATCCAGGGAGTTGGAACTCCCTGCTCTACTGTATCTTTACACTATTGACAGTGCTTGTTACTTTACCAAGACTGGGCCAAATTTATTATGATTTTGATGACTCCAGAACCTTGCAGTTCACACCAATACTTACATGCTACATGATCAACTTTTTCTGATCCATTCCACACCTTTTCTTTCACAATGCAATCGCATGACAAGAACTCACCTTTAACTTTAAGTGCCTTGCTTCGGGCATAAGTTTCATGCTAAGGCTGAATCCCAAGATTTTTTATCTCCCTTTGAATGTTTCAAACATTACTCCAACTCATCTACTAAGATGATTTTATTTTTTTTAGATGAAAGAATATACATCATTTTGCAAAGACATTTAATTTGAGAATGTTTATCTTTACTGTATGTTGGAGACATATATTGACAACTATATCTTAATATACTGTTTTGTCGTCACTTTTGTGTGTCTGTACATATTTTGACATTGTTTTGTTTTTCTGTTGCAGATTCTGTAGGTGTCCAAGATGGCGGCTACCGTCCGAGAATACAAGGAGGAATTGAAGTACCTCAACAAACTGTCTGACAATTGCTGGCAGATAAAGAAAGGATTTGTTGATAACATGAAGGTAGGTAGGACCTTTAGTTCTCACTCAGAAATCGGAAAGGATATCATTGTCATTCTGTTAAATAATAATAATTATAATAATAATATGGATTTATATAGCGCTTAACACAAAATACCGTCTCTAAGCTCTTTACAGATATCATTTATTTATTTATTTATTTATTTATTCGTTTTATTTAGACAGGGTAACTCTCTCAGTTAATACTGTTTTTCTGAGAGGCCCTGTACACAAAAAAATGAACACAAATACATGAAATAACAAACATTGTTAAAAGACGTATACATGATTTTATATATATCAGGGTTATTTGTTTGTTTTGTTTATAGTTATTATATAACCCTATAATATACAACAAAGCAATATTTGTCCAGCTGATACAATATGAGTTTATAACCTGTTCATCGGATTCATTCACGCACAATGAGCACCATTTTCACTCCCTGGGGACTAGTGGGGAGTAATCCTACCATGTGGTCACCATAATGGCATATGGAAATTACTAACACAATGGCTTTTGTCATCTTACCAGGTCTCCATTTTTCTCCCGGGTATTTAGTGGTAAATGTAGATTCACGCCTTGTCTTAACTAATCATAAATGATAAACCCATGGTCCCTATCCTTTACCTCCTTCATGTTCAATATGTGTTTCTAAAAGTGTATATTTAGACCAAACTGTGTTTATCACTGGTTGGGTATAAAGTGCATATTTTATGAATGTGCAGTGCAGAAATTTACCTGAGTTTTGAAATGATATTTCGTTAATATTTAATGATTTCATTGAAAAAAAAGATATCCATGAAAAAATATCCATCATTTCACATAATCTTTACTTTACTTTTATGGCATACAGGTGGAAGGACGTTTTTATGTCGATTCAAAGTTGGAGAAGCTGATGTTTGAAGAGCTGCAACAAGCCTGTAGATCAAAAGGTAATGGTTAACTCACTCCAACTCGACTGAGTGAAGATGGACTATCTCATATTGCTTTTGCTCAATTGTATTTTCCCTACCTTAAATTCAGTCTCTGTTCTATGTCATCTTAGATCTCTTTAATCCTTATTTAATTTTATAAGATGATGACTAAATCCTAATCAAATGGTTGGTTGAGAGTGTACATGTGACCAGGCATTTATTTTGCCTAACGCGTAATATGGATAATGACCGGTCATTAGTAAAATCATGTTATAAAAAATCATATTTTAAAACAAATAAAACATAATCTTATAAAACAAATAATACACATCATTCTGTTAGGGCATTAGTAAAATTACCCAAACTTGGTACCTTCAAAACAGTCCAAACACGCTCAGCTATCACCTCGGGCGTGTTAGACTGTTCCAAAGGTGCCTTGTGTGGGTAATTCTTACAAATGCACTCACTCCTGTGTATTATTTGTATACTATCCTCCATTTTTTCCCCTCCATTTTATTTTCTAATTAGTGTTTGGTAATTGTTTTTTCCCTAAGGCTTTTGTAGATACTAGAATTAGAAATGATATTGGATCGATCTGTGTCAGTCTTGTATTTGTTGTTAGTTGGTCACTATTATAAAAGATGAGTAAATACTGTGCACGTATATTACAGGTGTTGGAGGTTTTCTACCAGCAGTTAAACAAATTGCGAACGTAGCAGCACTACCAGGCATTACTGGGTACTCGATAGGACTACCAGACATCCATTCCGGTTATGGCTTTGCTATTGGTAAGTGTTGATGATCTCCAAGGCTCCATGCAATCATACTGTTTTAGTGATATACATGTATATATATGAATGTTACAAAAGAATAATCAATAGAATCTGTGCCTGTATTTGTCAGATTCTGACAGAAACACAAATCATTTTTTTTAAAGTTTTCAAAACACCTGAAAATGAAGAATATTATTCCAACAAAACATGAAACGGGGTTCAGGTTTGCAAACTGTACTGTCCGCTGCACCTGTTTGAAATATTTTGTAGGAAAAAAAAGGTATTTTTCTTGCTAATAATAGTAATAATAAAAGTGTGGGGTGATATTTGGAAGGAATATGAAATGAAAACCTGACTCCTTAGGTTAGTCTTTATCTGCAAAGTGCTGATGATGCATTGATTTCTATGGAAGCTAAATTTGGATAACCTATAGTGCTGATATTTGAAGAAATTGGTGTTTTACAGGTAATGGCAGCCTTTGATATGTCAAACCCAGAGGCTGTGGTATCTCCTGGTGGTGTAGGGTTTGACATCAATTGTGGAGTGATAATTTGGATGGAATATGAAATGAAAACCTGACTCCTTAAGTTAGACTTCATCTGCAAAGTGCTGATGATGTAAACTAAGATTTGGACAAGCTTTAGTTGTGACATCTCAATGTTCTGTTGTTTTACAGGTAATATGGCAGCCTTCGATATGTCAAATCCAGAGGCTGTGGTATCCCCTGGTGGTGTAGGGTTCGACATCAATTGTGGAGTACGTCTCCTGAGAACAAACCTGACCGAGAAGGATGTCAAACCTGTCAAGGAACAACTCGCACAGTCTCTCTTTGATCATATACCTGTAGGGGTTGGCTCTAAGGGTGTCATTCCAATGGGTGCCAAGTGAGTATCATTAGTGTTTGATTTTAAAGGTCGTCTGTACTAGTTTGGCTATGAGAGATTTGACCACCCAGGGTGGTCACTGACAGGTGGCTATCTCATCAACTCAGCTCTCAATTAACGTAAGAAAAAGAGGATCATGGGGGACCAATGGTCACCAATTGAAGTTATAGGCATTTTTTTCTATATAGAGGGAGCAAGTAGCTACAAGTAGTACAGTGAGGCTTTAATGGTTTTAATTAAATTTTGTGAATTAACATTAAAAGTATAAAGGCGACTTAATGATGTGATCTTTAAAAAAAAGGCAGAATAGAACAGCTCTTTGATATAAACGATGTTGTGAAGAAAATCCTATGAAGCAGATGAGTGCAATTTTAATTTAGAAAAACCTGAAACTTGAAAGTAATATCCATTCAGTAGTAAGCGGCTGTGTACAGTGTAAGAATTTTTACATTTTGTTATTGTATAATTGTAGTGTGTGATTGTTGATGCCATACCTGCTTTGTTTTTTTCTTACAGGGAGTTAGAGGAAGCTCTCGAGATGGGAATGGACTGGTCTCTCAGAGAAGGTGAGTGTATCTACAGTTTCTTGTCTATCAGGGCTGGGGAACATGTATTTCAGTGGGCATGGAATGATTGATATGAGCACGGGATAGGCATGATAGGTTTGATCTAAAGTAGTCAGAGGCATTATGTTTTTGGGTTGTCTGTCCGTCCCATTCTCGTGATCACGTTATCTCAAGAACCGATTGATGTATATTGCAAAGCCAATGAACTGATTCGATTGTGGGGTCATGAGATCAAAGGTCACAGGGCTCATTATGTATGCAATAATAGCCTGTGATCGCGTTATCTCAAGAAATGATTGATGGAGTACTGCCAAACTTGGGTCATGTAAAATTGTATGTATCTTGTAGAGCCAATGAATGCATTATTCCTCCTTATGTCTGTGACTGACTGATGCTTGTATAAAGTTCTTATGTTGTAGATGGGTTGCTATATGGATTGACACTCCTTCATTGCTAATATTTTCTAAGAGGGCAATTACTAACTCGAAGGCTTTTGGCATCCCACCAGGCCCACATTTCTCTCCTAAGTATGGAGTGGTAATTGTAGATTAATGCCTTGCCAAAGGAAATTAGTTTCGTGTCGGAGATCGAACCCACAACCTTTGCATTTCAAGTCGAGTGCTTAAACCACAAGACTAGGACACCTACACCTCTAAAACCTTTGGGTTAGCTAACTTAGCTTATTTCCCAGGATGTTAGTCTATCCACTTTCCACGTATATAGGACAGTGATTTTGCTCACATCATGGCCTTCTCATTTTAGAAGTTTGAAAAGGGTAGGAGATCTAGAGCTGGTTATGAATAAGTATGGGTACCGTGATCTGAATCTTTTTTCATTCCAAGGAAAGATATCATATTATGACAGATTTAGATTTTATTGATCCATTTATGTGTTATTAATATGAATAATAAAGTTTTGGTTGTTTTGTAGGGTATGCTTGGGCAGAGGACAAAGAACACTGTGAAGAATATGGTCGTATGTTGCAAGCAGATCCCAACAAAGTCAGCGCTAGAGCAAAGAAACGAGGGTTGCCACAGGTAAGAATGTATTAGATATTGGATATTTAAGATTGTTTTAACTTAGTTGCAAAAGTCATATCAAAGTGAAGTCTACCATTGGGTTATGCAGCTGAAATTCAAGAATACCTTGAGTAGCCCTGTTACGGTTGGTGTTGTGTTCTGAATGTACCACTAATATACATACACAGATGTTAAAGCCGTGAATTGTCCAAAATATTATAATGAAAATAATAATACGTCTTGTTTACCCGGGGTAGCCTCATCAGTATTAATACTGCTCTCCCTTAGGGCCCTACAATCATATTATTACCCTGTTTCTAGCCGAGCTACCATGAAAGGGCGCTCAAGCATTCAAGGAATTTCTACCGGGTACCCATTCACCTCATCTGGGTGTTGTGTGGCAAATGTAGATTAATATTTTGCCAAAAGAATCCACTAGACCAAAGTCAAAATATTCAAAAAGGTTTTGTTGTTGAATTCTCATGAAAACCAGTTCTAATGTTTTATTCAGTTCATGTTGATGTCACTTGCTCGATATTGTGTTTAAGTGATGGTGTATTTCTTTGCCCTACCTATATTGCAGCTGGGAACACTCGGGGCAGGCAACCACTATGCCGAGATCCAAGTCGTGGATGAGATCTACAATGATCATGCAGCTAAGAAGATGGGAATAGACCGGAAGGGTCAGGTCTGCCTGATGATACACAGCGGAAGCAGAGGACTGGGACATCAAGTAGCTACAGGTAACATTCTTGTACGACTTGAATTTTATCAGGGCAACAAACCATGGACTATCTCCCCAACCCCCTAAAAAAAACTACCCTTCAGACAACTTCCTCTAAGGATGAGTATTTTAGTGTAATTAATAATAATAATATTCCGCTTTTATATAGCGCTTAATACAAATGTCTGTAGGCGCTTTACAGATATACTATTACCCCGATCATTGGATTCAATACTTGCCCGCACACAATGTGTGCACAATCTCCACTCCCTGGGGAGCATTCCAGCCAGGCGTTACGTGACGCTAAAAAAATACAACTTCTCCCTCTCCCGGTACAGTTACAGCAGGACAAATGTCCCTACCCCCTGTTATTATGGCTTTCTAACTGATAACTTCCTCAAGGACCAAGCTATTGGATAGTTAACAGGTAACAATGCCCCAGGTCTATATGTCTAGTGAGATTCACTGGTGTAGGTCAACATATATGTAGGTAGATTCAATAATTCAGGGACCCGTCTTACAAAGAGTTGATATCAATCACAACTTCAATCGCAACTATGTTGCTATTGATTAAAAGATTTGCGATTGATTTGGATCAATCGTTACTCTTTGTAAGACAGGGCCCAGATCTTTCTTCTTTTTATGCCTCCGCCACCGAAGGTGGTGCCGGAGGCATCATGTTTTCGGGTTGTCCGTCCGTACGTCCGTCCGTCCCGTTTGACCGTTATCACAATATCTCAAGAACCATTTAAGATTTAAACTTAAGACTCGGGAATAGTATTTATCACCATAGGAAGACGATCTGATTAGATTTTGGAGTACGTAGGTCAAAGGTCACAGGTCACAGAGGTCAACTTATGAAATTCCTTGTATTGAGTTTGTTAGCGCGATATCTCAAGAACCATTTGAGATTTAAACTTCAAACTAAAGGATAGTATGTATCACCATAGGAAGACGATCTGATTAGATTTTGGAGCACGTATGTCAAAGGTCAAGGGTCACAGAGGTCAACTTATGAAATTCCATACATTGAGATTGTTATCATGATATCTCAAGAACCACTGGAGATTTAAACTTCAAACTTAGTGATAGTGTGTATCACTATAGGAAAACAATCTGATTAGATTTTGGAGCACGTATGTCAAAGGTCAAGGGTCACAGAGGTCAACTTATGAAATTCCATACATTGAGATTGTTATCATGATATCTCAAGAACCACTGGAGATGTAAAAACTTCAAACTTAAGGATAGTATGTATCACCATAGGAAGACGATCTGATTAGATTTTGGAGCACGTAGGTCAAAGGTCAAGGGTCACAGAGGTCAACTTATGAAATTCAATACATTGAGATTGTTATCATAATATCTCACGAACCACTGGAGATTTAAACTTCAAACTTAATGATAGTGTGTATCACCATAGGAAGACAATCTGATTAGATTTTGGAGCACGTAGGTCAAAGGTCAAGGGTCACAGAGGTCAACTTATGAAATTCCATACATTGAGATCGTTATCGCGATATCTCAAGAACCACTGGAGAATTTTCACTTCAAACTTAATGATAGTATGTATCACCATATCATAATATCTCAAGAACCACTGGAGATTTAAACTTCAAACTTAATGATAGTGTGTATCACCATAGGAAGACAATCTGATTAGATTTTGGAGCACGTAGGTCAAAGGTCAAGGGTCACAGAGGTCAACTTATGAAATTCCATACATTGAGATTGTTATCATGATATCTCAAGAACCACTGGAGATTTAAACTCCAAACTTGTTTAAATTGCTCTATGGCGGAGGCATCATTTTCGACTGCGCGCAGTCAAAATTCCATCTAGTTTTCCTCTCGTGCACTGGCCAATGTCAAATTAATGAATCCGGATGCTGTTTAGATGCCCTTATGCAGGTCTACTTACCAACAACTGATTAAATTGTTTCATTATTTAGATGCCTTGGTGCAGATGGAGAAAGCAATGAAGAGAGATAAGATCCAGGTGAACGATCGTCAGCTAGCCTGTGCTCGCATCCACTCACAGGAAGGTCAAGATTACCTGAAAGCCATGGCAGCCGCTGCTAACTATGCTTGGGTCAATCGGTCAAGTATGACCTTTCTCACCCGCCAGGCATTTGCTAAACAATTCAACACCACACCTGATGATCTTGATATGCATGTAATCTATGATGTCTCCCACAACATTGCTAAGGTGAGTGTTTGACGATTGTTTTGGGGTACATTTTTTTCTTCTTAATGATCTGAGCTAAATGAACTTTTGAAAACAATATGAAGATAGAGAAAAATGAGATTGATATTGATATGCATGTGATCTATGATGTCTCTCACAACATTGCTAAGGTGAGTGTTTGACAATTTTTTTAATGAACCGAGCTAAATGAGCTTTTGAAAACAATATGAGGATAGAGAAACTGAAGATAAGATTGATCTTGTGGTTGTATATTGTTTTGTAGACAATATAAAAGTTATAACATAGGAACATATGTGGCCAACCTGAAAAATCTCAAGTTCTTCATTTGTTGGTGAAAGACTTTGTCATTGTAATCAGTACTATACTTTCTTGTAAACAAATATGAATCAAAATGTATGTGGTATAATCAGTAATCAGTGGAATAGCATATGACAGATATGTGTCCAGTATAAGTTTATAAATACAGAAAGTACTTCATTTATTCATCCATTCATTGATGTTCATTACACTTAATGTTGGTAAAGCCTATCGTCATATGTAATTGTTTGGCACTGTATTTTGTTTGTTATAGCGCTTAGAGACGTCGGAGGTAAACGCTTTATGAGCACCTTTTTTATTATTATTATTATTATTGAAATTTATGTGCGTCATTATCAACAAATATGAATCAAAATCACCCTGATCAGGTTGAAGAGCACATGGTAGATGGTGTTCAGAAGACTCTTCTGGTCCACAGGAAGGGATCGACGAGAGCATTCCCCCCTCACCACCCCCTCATCCCGGTGGACTATCAGATGACCGGTCAACCCGTACTGATCGGTGGGACCATGGGTACATGTAGCTATGTATTGACAGGGACCGAGACTGGCATGGCTGCGACCTATGGAACAACGTGTCACGGTGCTGTAAGTAGCATGTTGTTACCCCTTTAGATTTTCTAGAAACTCTTTGGTCAGAGTACATCACAGAATATTCATGCGAACCTAAATCAGTAGTGCCTTAGAAGTAAATTTGGGTGAGACGTAGGGTAGTAACTTTAATAAAACGCTGTGTAGGTTAGTCCATGTGCTTGCATTTTTATTACCGGTAAGTGTTCTGCTACATGCTGAACTCTTATCTGCAATCCACTTCTTTTTCCAGTATGATATTTGAAATCATCACTGAACTTATTTCTTTATCACCCTCTTTAGACCCTTGTTATTGGATTTTGTTTTTGTTTACTTATTTTATATATGTATTTGCGGATGTATGAGAGATGATAAGTACCGTATTTGCCGGCGATAAGGCCGCAGAGTTTTTGGAAGAAAAAATATCAAAAAGTCGGGGTGCGGCCTTTACGCTACAACAACAAAATTCAGCGTTCAAAACAGCACGTCCATTTGAACATATGGACTATGACAGTAGGATGACTAGACAATGGAACAGGACAATTCTAGAATAACTCCACACAACTTACCGACAATTTTATGATGCATAGTTGACATTAAGACGAAGAAAAAAAAGCATAACTTATTTTTCTAATAAAAATCTGCCGATAGATCTAGATCTAAGTCTGTACCATTTCATCGCCAAAAAAGTAAAAAGAAGGGACAGACTGTTACTTACGGAGCTAGCAGATGCCACACAACGCAGCGTACGAAGGTGCTAAGGTGGTTAGGTTAAAAACGCAATTCCGGATTACACTGCACATCATGGTAGGGGTATTGTAGGATACCAAATATGCGTGCGATACAGTACTAGCTTAAAAATCGATGAAGATCTGCTAAATTACGATCATTTTTTAGGTAAACTTCTTGTAAATTTATAAGAATATTGATGAATTTGGTATCAGTTTGTAAAAAAAAAAAGAGTGTTCTACAAGATAATTACAATTATTTTGTTTGGTCCGTTTTTTTTCTCTCTTTTTTTTTTTTTTTTTCCTTATCGCCGGCAAATACGGTAGCACAGTTAGAAAAGATGAATGTAACTAAAAATGAGCATCTGAAATGAATATAATTGATATTTAGTGGATTACCACTAATATAAGCTCACTAGATTCATTGTTTGTCTGCCTCCCCTCACCAAAGGTGGTGCCGAAGGCATTATGTTTTTAGTCTGTACGGTTGCCCACTTTCTCGTTATCGTAATATCTCAAGAACCACTTGAGATGTGAACATCAAACTTTATGATAGTATGTATCACCATAGAAAGACAGACTAATTAGATTTTGGAGTAACTAGTAATCACAGAGGTCAATCTCTGAAATTAAAGGTTATTAGCCTTGCTATTGCAATATCTAATCATGGTGACAGTATTACTCTAAGAAACTGATCCAAATACATTTTGGGGCTAGGAGGTCAAGATCATATACCGGTTGACATTTGGTCATAGGAATTCTGTTTTCATCATGATATGTGATGAATAATTCCTATACTGAATTTAGGGCAGAGGCATGTAGGAGAAGTAATTACATTTGTCTTTTATTGTTATGTTTCTCTTTGTGCTTTGATAGGGTCGAGCCTGGTCGCGTGCCAAGTCAAGAAGAAACCTGGATTATCAGACAGTGCTCAAGAACCTGCACGACTTGGGCATCTCAATCAGGGTCGCTTCACCTAAACTCGTCATGGAAGAGGTAAGATTTAGTACAATTCATGCTGCATGTCACAAAGGAGATGGTTAGATAAATATCACATTAGCACTTGTATTGAACTCAAAATCTCTTGATTTTTTAACTTTCTTGAATGTTGTATAAAATAATAGAGAGAACATTTCATGTTTCTGAATTTTCGTATTTTAAAATCAGTTTTGATAAAGGCATGAAAGCTTTAGGGTATAGCGTCAGGTCTTGTAACTGAGACATACAAGAGAAGAACCAGGTTTATGACCAAATTGATATGCTAGTGTTCTTTGATAGGCATTCATCCTCACTTTTCAAGTCATTTTTTGCATTGTTATTGTGTAAAATACAGGCAGCTTGGTAGTAGCATGTTTTTCAAATTTCACTATCAAGTTATCGTTGCTCTTGTTGAAGGTCTTGAGCTTTTAATCTGGACCACTTTTTCATTTTTATTAATGGCTAAATCAAGTCCCTAGAAACCATTTAAAGAAGAAATATTAATGGGTCAGCCATGAAGATATGCTTCCCATGTAAAACCACCACTGAATTTTTTGTCACCAGTATCTTGCATATTTAAGTTTCAGCTTATTATTGTTTTTATCCTTTAGATACTTTAAAATGGTTTACGAAAATATGTTATTATATTATGTATATTTTACTGTGATTATTAAGACACTTTAAAATGAATCCTGATGATAATGTTCATATTATATTTGTTCTTGGGAACCTACAAAAACAAGCTATGCTTTCCAGTAGGCTCCTGTTTCATTTCATAATTTTGATCTTACTTTGTCAACTATATTCTTTATTGTGCAAACAATTGTTATATGAAATGAATAAAAATTTAAAAAATCAATCCTTCAATCGACTGAAAGATTTTGCACAAGTCAGAATCAGTAAACTTTTAGTCCAGCCATTACAAGTTCATAACATATCACTCTAGATATTCATCAGTATCAATGTTTCATTAATGTAAGATGTAATGTAATCTCATTTTTTTACATTTGACAGGCTCCGGAGTCTTACAAGGATGTCACCAGTGTTGTCAATACATGTCATGACGTAGGCATAAGCAAAAAGGTTCTCAAACTTCGACCGATTGCTGTTATCAAGGGTTAAACACCACTATTCAGACTGCTCATTTATCAAAGACTATCGTTACAACAAATCCTATGTCGGAGTACGTGTTACGTGGATCTACAGATGTTGAAGTCCATACAGAAATAGAGAGGAAGTTGAGGTGTGCTCAAAGTCGGATGACAATCAAGGACAAGCTTTACATGAAATCTATGTGAAGATTGAACATTGAAGACGGATTTGTAATATGTTGACACTTGACAGTACTTACCTTTACCGGTAATCGTGTGCTTTGATAAAGGCCAACACTGAAAATGGTTCGTAGTGTGGATGAATGCAATAGCAAGATCATGATTGAAGGTAAACAGTAAAGTGTTTTTATTTGTTATTACCATATTTTCTTGTTTATTAAAGCATCACTAGAAAGATGTGCACCATATAAGTTTGTGTCATACTTCTAAGACAAGCAATTGATAGCTAAATGTATATTGTGGAAGCACTGTCAGACCATTGCTTTTATGGACCCACTGGGAAAAGATCTTTGTGAAGGCCCGAATAGTCCAGCTTGTCCTCTTTAAAAACTTCCAGAAAATATCTTGTTACCTCGATAACTTTCAAAGTATTGAAGCAAAACAAAGCAATCAACGAACATACAGGTGGAAGCATATAAAAATGTAGTTGCATTCATCAGTTTTTTTTAATTTCTCTATATGTGTCAAATTTACCTACTTGTTGTGTACTATACAGTGTTAAGTACATGTAGTGGATGGTGAATAGATTGTACCACTCAGGTTTGCAATGATGAACACAAAAAGACATTATGGTAGTAATGGTGAACAGAAAGAGAGCTAAACTAGAGGGGAACAACACAAAACAACTCGGCTCACTTTTTTCTGTCTGGTGTGGCACACTGCGATTCATATTCTATGATGAGGGACTCTCGATATCATTAGAAAAGAAGAAGAACCTGTGCTCTTTTATGGAGCAGAAACTTAAAAAACGACAAGGCAACTGGAGTTTTAGCACAGACCGTATTCTATGTTTGATTAATGATAGTGTGTAGCTTTTTTTTAATGTCATATTTTTTTTTCCCTCATGGGTCAGATTGTAATACATGTAGTGCTGATTACTGAACACATAGAATGTGGTCAAGTCAAGTGAATTGTAGCCATGAAGAGAACAAAAGAGATACCATTTCAAGTTTTGTATGTCAGGGGATTAGTAAAAAAAAAAATGAGAAAAAAATCTTTTAGATTAATGTGAAATCTATTAGTGCATAGATCTATACCGGTAGGTGAAAATGGTTCAATTTTTAGTTTAAGAAAAGTTTATATTTTGCAAAACCGGTACTTCTCATTTTCATCATTCATATTATTGTTGAGTTCATTACGCACTCTCAGTTGAAAGGGATTTAAAAAATATTTTTTACATGTACCATAAAATGGTATCAATAATGATAGTTTAATGCACTTCTATTGTGCCATATGTCCAGTTATCTGTTTTACACGTACATGAACTATATTTTCTCTGCTTTAGCTAACTGAATTAAGCTTGTTGCTCTCTGGGAATTCAAGGATTGTCTTCCTCGCTGTATCCATTTACCTCATCTGGGTTGAGTAGGAACAAGTGAAGTTGATTAAAGTCTTCCCAAATGATGTTAGCTCCATGGTATTTTTGTGATATTTTGATGCTCAATTAACCAACAATATGAGTAACTAATATGTAGTTGTACTAGGGGTCAGCATTTCAACAGTTTTCATTTGTTTGATTGCACAGGGCTCGTGAAAAGTGAAATCCTGTTTGGATTGAGCCATTTGCAATTTGATTTCTAGTTCGCTGTTCACAAATGTGAACAATACAGTCATAACAAATTATGTATTACTGTGTTTGGGTACAGGTAACATTGCACACCAAATATCAAATTATGTTTTACTGTGTTTGGATTCAGGTAACATTACACACTAAATATCAATTGATGTATTACTGTGTTTGCATACAGGTAACATATATGCACACCAAATATCAAATTATGTATTACTGTGTTTGGGTACAGGTAACATTGCACACCAAAATATCAAATTATGTTTTACCGTGTTTGGATTCAGGTAACATTACACACCAAATATCAATTGATGTATTACTGTGTTTGCATACAGGTAATATATGCACACCAAATATCAAATTATGTATTACTGTGTTTGGGTACAGGTAACATTGCACACCAAATATCAAATTATGTTTTACCGGGTTTGGGTACAGGTAACATTGCACACCAAATATCAAATTATGTATTACTGTGTTTGTGTTCAGGTAAGATTGCACACCCAGATATCAAATTGATGTGCCTTTTAGACAATAGATGCAAGCATTGGTCTAGCTAGGTCCTCATCATGGTCACGGCCTACAATTGTTATAGTTAAAGGAAACCAAAACCTTCATACTAAGTTACTTTTATTGTAAAGTTTAAAAGATTTGAATAAAATCAGTGAAAATTTGAACAAAATCGGGCAAGGAATAAGAAAGTTAGAGCGTTTTGAAATGACTAGTCACTAGAGGGCGGTATTCAATTTGATGACATCATCTGTGAACAACTCTCCATGCCTTTTGTACATAAAATTTCACAATTTTGTTGTTTTCTTCGTATTTATTTGTGTTCTTGATCCGACTTCATAACATGTAAAGTAGAATATCATTTTGCATTCTATATCTTGCTTTCAGGGGAGTACATTATCTCAATCACAAGAAAGAAGGAAAAACATGAAATTTGATGTACAAAAGGCATGGAGAGTTGTCCACAGATGATGTCATCAAATTGAATACCGCCCTCTAGTGACTAGTAATTTCAAAAAGCTCTTACTTCCTTATTCCTTGCCCAATTTTGTTCAAATTTTCATTGATATTTTTCAAATATCTTAAACTTTACAATAAAAGTAACTTGGTATGAAGGTTTTGGTTTCCTTTAAATCACTTTTCTACATTGCCACTCCATACCCTGGAGAGGTGTTGAAAGTGTTACTAATCAAATGTACTGTGCACTAAGAGGCTCTGGTTGAAGTTATGGATTCTCTGAGATGACTGGCAGACGAGCACTATCTATATTAAAGTCAAACTATATCCCTTTTGTATTCATGGTGGAAGTATTACGTGTCTCATTAGCCATCCGTGGCCAGTCCTTGCACTGGAATTTTAGGATTTAGGATATAATGTTTAGAGATAATGTATGTGGACGATAAGTCCTATAAATGATATCCTATTAGGTACAACAACCACTGTAACTAATGATCATATCTGTATGTTAAGTCCTGTAAAGTACAACAACAATGATCATATCTGTATGTTATGTGTGTTGTGGGTGCGCCACATGGTTTACGGTCCGAGACCCATTACAGCATTTATGTCCTTCGGTAAGTTCAAAATCATACATTTGCCACTCTCCACCCAGGTGTAGTTGATAGGTACATAATTGATAGTAAATTTATTCTTTGAAATGCTTTTAGCAGCTGAAGGGAGCTGGGCTTAAAGCCAAGGTACTTGATAGTACTTTGAAGGCAATTTTTATTACAGACATTACCAACAACCATATAGTAGTGGTGGTGGTGGTTATTTAACCTGACTGCTAAGAAAGCATAAATGCTTGTAAGTAAAGCAACCAGACGGACGACGGCTTTAGGTCCTCTCCGAGAGACCTGTTAATGAGGATTAATGCCTTACCAAAGGGCACTAGCACATTGCCTTGGTTTCGCCTTGGTTTCGAGCATCCCTTGTGATAAAAATGTACACAATATAAGGAGCCATTATTATGATTAGTATTATTATGTTGCATATAATGTTACGGATACCGTGTCCAGGATTGATCTTGTAAGAGACAGTGGTTATAGTTTTGTAAAACTTTCATGATCAATGAAAATTAATTTTTACTTTACTTTATATAAAGTAAGATAAAAGTTAACCAAGTTCAATATGACAATAAATATATCTCTGTATCTACTTGTATGTTTGTTGTAATGCTGTATTATAATTTGGGGCTGCTATTAAGAGATAGACCACATTAAATAATGTAACGAGTTACATTGTGGATTGTATGTTTACACCACTTAAAGCCCCACTGCACTACTTACAGCTACTTGCGCCCTCTATATAGCAAACAATGCTTAATCGGTGACCATTGGTCCCCCATGATCCCTTTTTCCTTATGTTAATTGAGAGCTAATTTGATGAGATAACCACCTGTCAGTGACCATGCAGGGAGGTCTAATCCCTCCTGGCCAAACTGATGCAATGGGGCTTTAAGATGGAACATCTTCAGTTTTTACCTTCTCTCTTCCTTGACTGGTATGCATGCAGAAGTGTAGGGTTGGTCCAGCCATTGAGAGAGCATTGGCTTCATAAGTTCATTATGCTTGGTGAGCTAGGGGCAATAGCTGGTCTTATTATGATGAATGCAATGTGATATTAAAGGCCCACTGCACTACTTGTAGCTACTTGCGCCCTCTATATAACAAACCATGCCTAATCGGTGACCATTTGTCCCCCATGATCCTCTTTTTCTCATGTTAACTGAGAGCTGAGTTGATGAGATAACCACCTGTCCAGTGACCTTGCAAGGCAGTCTAATCCCTCCTGTTAACTATGGCAGATACGCTTTAAAGGGAAAGCCTACCCAAATAGACAAAAGAAACTAGAAAAATGGGAGAAGCAAACTGATGAAAGTTTCTGTTAAATCTGACTAAATATAAGAAAGTTATGAATTTTAGAAAGTTTTATGGGCACTTTAAATTGGCTGAATCGTTTATGTCAATATGATGGACTCATACTAAGCCATCTGTTCCAACATATAAAAATGACTAAAATTTAATTTTTCAAAAGTTCTTTGCTCAGGAGGGTCTAGTCTTTTTAGAGGACCTACATGTATAATAATATGCTATCTATACTATATTTTGAGTACCGGTAGTGCCCCAAGGAAGAAGGAAATTTGTGTACACGGCAAATGGGAGAGTTATCCACGTTCTACGTCACAATCCACTGAACAAACTGCCAATTTGAGATTCGCATAGACTTGATGATCTCATATCTCAAACATTTATAACTTCCTTACTATTGGCCTGATTCATTTCAAACTTTGTTCATTCAGTTTCTTTTATTTACGGTTGCTTTCATACAAATCAACTTATTACAAGGGTTGGATTGATGCCCTTTAACAAGGCCATTGATGAAGAGGGTGTGGTAATTACGGGGTTTTATGATGATCGATGATGAATTTCCTTTTCTCTTTTCTCTCCCCCGCCCTCCTTTCTCCCCCCCCCCCCCCCTCTCTCTCTCTCTCTCTCTCTATGCCCTCAGTCTATTTTATAAATGTCATCTGAGGGGGGGGGGGGGGGAGAATGGCCTTTTGTCACCCAATTAAATTGTGAATAAAGTACCAATATGTACTACCTTTCTTCTTCAGTAACAGATCCAGGGCCCGGATCCAGGGTTCTTTGGCCAAGGGAGGCACGGGCCTATATGGAGGTATAATTATTATTTTTTGTGACAAAAAGCACAAAAAAGAAATAATTAAGTATGCAGGGGAAACAATTTTTTTTTTGTTAACTTGATGTTTTTTTTTAATGTTATGCCAGATTCTTTTTTGAAGTGAGATGGGGAGAAATGGGTGATGTGTTCCCTACTCCGATCCCCCGAGTCACTAGAGAGAGAGAGAGAGAGAGAGAGGGGGGGGGGGGGGGGGTTGCGGATAGAACTGTGTCACGTGACAAGTATACGTGGCGCGCACACACACAAGTTACTACTTCATCCGTTGCTCTGTAATGCCATCGACCTCAATACAAATCGGCCTAATATATTTCAACACTCATGTAGGCACCCCGATGAAAATGTCACATTTGGCAATTTGCCATTTATAAAATTGAATTTCCAATTTGTCAATAGGTAAATAATTACTAAAGCAACCGATTTCAATGACTAGAGGTCAGCGAAGGATCGTTTTGTGTTCATAATTCCAAAATAAAATTCTTATGACTTAACTTCTTTTTTTCTTGGGTACGAAATACGAAGTAAGCTAGCGAATTCGTTAAGGCCGAGTTGAGCTGCCGGTACACTAGCTCCACGAGCGAGTGGGGCCGGGGTCGGTCCGAGGATAGCTAGCCACGCCGACTATGCAGCGGGCTGAACCGGCGTCCTTTCGATCACAATTCCCGAGCATACGCCTACGTATATATTGTACGACCTTTGGCCTGACGTGTACCGGAGCCTCCATCTCAAGAGCTGATCTTAGCTGGGAAATTCTCATCTTCTGCAGCTCAATCGACAATTTTTTGATATCAAGTAAAGTTGGATTGGTATCAAAATGAAGTGGGCATTTCTTTTTGCAGCTGCTTTATGCCTGCTTGTGGCAGTTACTGCCGCAAAACCATCGAAGTCTTCGATAAATCCAGACTTGATCAACGCGAAAGTGGAGCGTACAGTAGACGTGGCTTCTCAGCTCGTGAAGATCTCGACACTGGTGACTCTGGAAAATGGTGGTAAATCGTCAGCGGGGTCCTTCGTTGTTGCCCTTGATTCTTCTCTGATTGACAACCTTGCCTTCCTTGGTGCTACTGTAAGTGTGCTGTTTTTCTTTAATATTAGTGAAACTAAAGTCGATGAACAGTGAATGTTGATGAAAAAACTGTAATTTTTGTATGAAATGTTACTTATCAGTACTAGGGGGGCTGGTCCGAGAATAAGGATCGTCTTTGTAAACGCTGACACTCAGACGCGTCAGCAGAAATAACCATCATCCACATTTTCGCAGACGATTTTTATTTCTGATCCGCACATGACATTGGCAATGAATGCGAAAAACAGATTTCACAATGATTTTCTTGATGCATTTCACATTGATTTTGTACAGAGACTTTCACGTTATGAATGATGAATCCTCGGGAAGATGGACAATCCATAAATGTAGACGGTGAACTGGGGGTATTTTATTACGCGAAATCCGTTTTTTGCATTGCCAGTGCCAGTGCCAGTGCGAGCGGGGATCACCAACCCGAAAACCTGCAGAGCGCGAAAGACAAAAAACGTCCGCAAAAAGCGATCCATATATTTTTTAGGACGCATTTTGGTTTACTGGTTAAAGAACTTAAACCTGTGTCTTTGAAGTTTGAGTGATTTGATCGTTAAGAACTGCTGGATCAAAATCTTTGAATCATTCAACAACTTAAAAACCTGACTCATATCAGCCTGTTCACACCTATACTGTAGGAATGGTAGGCAACAGGTTTGGGCAAAAAGTCTGATTCTTATTTTATAAATTGCTCATGTAAAATAAAAACTTGAATTCAAGTACACAATGAAGGGTGTTGGTCAAGGTAGGTCTTGGTTACTGCAAACTCTTGTTGAAGAAGTTACTTGGAACATGTCTCGTTTGAGTAGCCTGGTCCATTGGGTGAATTCTGGGAAACTAATTTTTGCAGAAAACCTTAAAATTAGCAACATGTTTCCCCGAATTCTAGACAAAAATGTCGATCAATTTTAATTTATTTACAAGGCAGTTCTCTTTAAAAAAAATAACCTTTTTACACAGCAGATAAAACGTACCGGTAATAGTTTACCCGTGATGATAATAGAAATTAATGAATAGATAATGATTTTTATTGCAGACTGGCTCTGGAGATGAACAGAGTACTTTGTCCATGGCAGAAACAGCTGTTGAAGGAAGACCGTAAGTATCAAATCAATTTGTGTGATGTTTTTTTTAGTTCTGGGCTTCATTTTTGTATGATGGGGTGTTGGGTGTCCGGACACTTCACAAACACAAAGTCTTCTCTTTCGCCTTTGGATTTGAAGCAAAACATTAATCTAATAGCACTAACCATCATAAATTTTGTCCATTCCATTTTGTCCAACATCAGTCTTTGAAAATTCTTGAAATAATGCTTGTGAACTTCTTCAGATTGCTGGTTCAAATCAATTGTCTGGATACATAAACTGTCTGGATACATAAACTGTCTGGACTATACTAATTCTCTCGGACTTTATCAGAGATAAATATTGCACTCTAAAGTAGCTTGAACGGTATTCTTGCTTAGCCTTATAACTTATGTTATTTTCTTGCCAGTTGCAACTGACTTTTAAGATTTTCCAATTTAACTTCAAGAATGTATCAAATGTCAGATGGAAAGTAAGTGAAGTAACATAATCAAATAGTTCAGTTTTGATTTATTGCTTCTGCACCAAGTGGCATTCTTGCTTAGCCTTAGAAATTATGTTAATTTCTTGCCAGTTGCCACCAACTTTTATGATTTGCCAGTGTAACTTCTTGAATGTTTTGAATGTTGGGTGAACAAAGTTTATTTTGTATTTATTCTTGCATGTATTTTCAGGGAAGGTACCTGTTACAGTGTGACATTGGACTCTGCATTGGCTGGGGGTGCATCCGTAGATGTCAGCATCGAAACTGTATTCACACACATACTCAGGCCCTACCCAGCTAAGATCACTCAGAGTGAGAAACAGTTTGTGGAATTTACTGGCAACGCTTACTTTTTGTCTCCTTACACAACAAAGACACAGACTACAAAGGTAAAGTTGTTTTCTGTTTGAACTAACATGTTGGTGTATGCTAGAGCATATTTTTTAACATTTAAACTAAGCCCTTGGCCAAAAGATTTAGACTAGTTATTGTTTATACAGTAGGCTTGGGGGTGCACCATGTGAGAGAGAGAGAGAGAGAGAGAGAGAGAGAGAGAGAGGAATGAGGAGTCCTCGATAATCTTTCTTGGGGGTGTGTAGTCCTGAAAAGGACTGTTTGTTATCTTTTTCTGCATTTCTTTGGTTATTGTTTGTTATTCATTTTTATTTTAAAAACCAGCACGGTTTTTCTCTTGCAAGTCCATAACTAGCTAAATGAGATATATTCAAAGATTGTTTTAACATGTCCACCCATAACAGTTAATCTATTCCATTGGTCAAATTGGGTATACATTTACTTTGAAATGTAATAAAAGGCATTTCTGTAGTTTGAAGCAAACTCTTTTACTTTTAGTTTGTAAATGACATTAAAACATAGGCACAGCTCTGTTTTGCCTTGTGCATTCGGCCATTTCCTTGTTTGAAGTCCAGAATTTTACATTGATTCTTATTCCATTCTCTCTTCAGGTGGTCATTTCTTCCAGCAATGTGGAGTCATATAGCAAGGTGAACCCAGTATCTCAAAATGAAGATATCATCACCTATGGTCCATATGAAGACACCGCTCCAATGAGTGAGGTAAGCTTGCATTTTAGTCATTGAATAATCCAAGAAAATTGAAAATAAGTTTTCCATGTCTAGTCCAAGAATCTCATAAAAACTTAATCTTGATTTTTTTTTTGTACGTACGTGGTAGTATGAAAGATTTTTTGTATATGAAGTTACTCCAAGTTGTGTAGAATAGAATAATATTCTGTTCACAATTGATATTTGTTTAGATTGTAGTAATAGTTGAATGTACCAGAGTAACCAGACTATTGATAAACCATGATCACTAATGTAAAAAGTTGAACTTCTCCCTTCTTTTGCTTGATGTTTTTGTTTCCTATGCAAATTTTGGTACACACGGTAAGCATGGTTCCAGCAGTAACAGAAAAACCTATGTCACAGAGATGAATCTGAATATTAAAATTTTCATGTACGTTTGTGTTGGTGTTTTTTTTTTAACAGGCTGAATTGAAGGTACACTATGAGAACAATTCTCCTTTCTTGACTGTGACTACAATGACACGTGTTATTGAAGTATCTCACTGGGGTAACATAGCAGTAGAAGAGACCGTAGATGTGAGTCATACAGGAGCTGTACTCAAAGGACCCTTCTCCAGATATGATTACCAGAGAACACAAGATGGATTCTCCTCTGTCAAGTCGTACAAGGTAAACTTACCCTATATGTGATGACAGAATGCTTTGGAATTCTTGACATGGTATACACTGATCTTCAACTCAAAATAACAGAAGGACTATTTATCTATCGGACCAAACAATAACTCAACCTCAAGCCATATTTTCATCAAATGAATAATTTAATTTAAGTACTATATATAATCCGTTGGGTGGTTTGGTCCTTAATGTTTTGATATTATTTTGAAATTGTTATGGTGGATTCTTTTGGAAATATCCTACAAGGTAATGTCCCTGATGAGCTTTAGAGCAAAGAGTTGTTATCTTATTTGGTCTCTGAGAACCGGGGCTTGATCCGACTTCCCTTTGTGTCATATTTCTTTACTTCATGATGGACACTTTCCAACTTCATTTTTGTATTTTCTAAACAGACCATCTTGCCCGCTGCAGCCCGTGACATTTATTACCGTGATGAAATCGGTAACATCTCCACCAGTAACATGGTGGAGCATGACGATTACGTCGAACTGGAGCTGAGACCACGATTCCCTCTGTTCGGTGGATGGAAGACCCACTACTACATCGGTTACAATCTACCAAGCTATGAATATCTCTACACCTCAGGTAATGTAATGATATGGAATAGATAGTACATTGTTTCTTATGGAACATAGTTATCAAAACTTTACTTTTGCTTGAAGCAGCATAGTTACACAATATTTTCTGAGGGCTGCACTGAGGCCTTACCATAGGATAAAATGTGCTACTCAACAATTCCATTGCCCATCCAAATCTCAATCTAGAATTATGCAAGACTGTGAGTGGTCCACCGTAACGTCCGTAAGCTTCACTTACTGTCTCATGTAGATCATTAGCATTACTCTTTTTTTCTGTGAACCTGATTTTAGTATCTCACCATACATCTCATATACAGTGAAACCTGTATATAAAGAGCATTCAAGGGAGACAAGGAAAGTCTCTAAAGCCTTTAGTACAGGTTTCAATCAGATACCAAACTCAAAGAAAATGAAAAAATATGGTCTCAAGAGACAAGTGGTCTTCCTGTACAGGTGGTCGCCAAAGCAGGGTTAACTCTTACCATTTTATGTAACCATCAATATTGTTTAATGCTTTTCCTCTGCTGTACAAAGGAAATTTGTTTTACTTGTGTTTATAACTACCGATTCTGTGTCTTTGCTTGCAGGTGACAACTATATTCTAAAGATGCGTTTCTTGGATCACATCTATGACAACATGAATGTGGATGAAGTCGTCCTGAAAATCATCCTCCCAGAGGGATCCAAGTAAGTCAGAAATACGAGCATTTTACCGAGTTTTTGGCTTAGATAAAATACTTAGCCAACTTTGGTATTTCTGAAATATTTTGTGTGAAAACTGGAAGGTATACAAAATAGACTGTATTGCTAATTTTGCCTCAAGAGATTCTTAATTCTTGCTGTGAATTTGACAGGTATGCACAAAAATGTCTATCAAAGGATCTTCAGACCTGCCAACCAGTACGATTTAGTCGTATTTAGTATTTTCTTCGTAGAAGCAAATACGAAAAAAAAAAAAAAAACTATATATTTTTTTTTCTTTCTATTTTCTGTGTGTTTGTGTACCATTTTCAATGGCAAAATACCCATTCTGTCCTGTAAAGTATCCTACATGCATCTCACATCAGCAATTTTGGGATGTTCATTGGTTCATCGAACACAACAGTGGTGACGAAACCATGCATATTCAACCAATGATCCATAAACAAAATTATTCCTGTATGTAGGAACTGTAAGACGCATTGATCCGCGTAACGGTCCATGTTTATTTTTAAGAATACAACTTTTGTCAGTAAAATACAACTTTTGGGATTTAAGAATACAGTTTTTGAACTCCAGAGGTTGGCAGGTCTGGATCTTTTGTTATCCATCTCTTTTAACACAATGTTTTTTTATTATAAAATATGCTTATATACATGTTTATTGTATTCAATATTTAGAGGTAAACATATCATTTTTATCAGTGTAATATGACCCCCCCCCCCCAAGGGATACTAATGAAATGAAATCTGAGATCTAAATTAACATCTGAACACATTAGTCTCTGAATGTAACTGAAAACAATCGTGAAAAGAGTAGCATTTTATTCTGAATGTGTGGGAATGTGAAATGTTATTAAATGAAAAATTCAACATTTTATCTTTAGGAACATTGATCTGGTGACCCCATACCCTGTGAAGCGTAGTGCTGACGAGAAACACTTTACCTACCTCGATACCATTGGACGCCCAGTCGTTACCGCCTCCAAGAACAAACTGGTGGAACAGCATATCATAGACTTTGAAGTAAGAACGCCTATTTTTCACCACATCTATGCAGACAGTTCTGACTATATTATTTCTAAAGTTGAATGCTGGAGCAGTTGCTCAGTAAGCTTGATACCATTGTATATAGTAATTGTTTTTATATAGAACCTTTCCAATTACAAGTAACTTAGCATAACACTTTTGTGTATATTATCCTTATTGTGAATGTAATTTTTATAGTGCATTCCTATTATGTAAGAGTTATAGATATGAATTATGGATTGGATACAGGTTTACAGTTTTAAGCAAGCTCACAAGTGTGGGGCACACAAACATACAGGCAGTCCTTTTCATGTTTTTAATTTTGATGAGTACAATATACACTCTGTATTGTTGACTTCTGATAATGTTGTCTGATAATGCACTTGCAATAATGTGTAAAATTATGACATGATTTGATTTTTGTTTTCTTTCTTTTCAGCTGCATTACTCATTCCAGAAACTACTTCTGCTTCAGGAACCTCTTCTGGTCGTAGGAACCTTCTATCTTCTGTTTGTCACCATCATTGTTCTTGTTCGCTTGGATTTCTCCATCTCAAAAGTATGTCATTCATAGCAGTAGCTCCTTGGGGGGGGGGGGGGGGGATTTGACCTTTGACCTTCAAATATCTTTCAGAATTAACTGGCTGCATTGCCACATGTGAAAAAAATATACAGGTAAGCAATAAAACTCATTAGAAATAATGTCTTCTGATGAATTTATTCAAGATTTTTCCATCACTATCTTGCAGAGCCGATGAACTGATTAGATTTTAGGGTCACGGGTTCAAAGATCAAAGGGTCATACATGTATATGAAAAATAGCTTGTAATCATGATATTCTTAGAACTCGTTGATGGATTACAATCAAACTTGAATTTTTAAAATTGCTTCTGTTTTGGTTTGTTAAATGGCTCTATGGCGGAGGCATCATTTTAGACTGCACGGAATTGAAGGTCCATCTAGTATTATTTTAGAATGTTGTAACCAAACACCTCCCCCCCCCCCCCCCCTCAAGAATCCTGGATCTGCCACTGCAGTGATGAGATATTGAAGACAGCACCATTCTGCTAATGATGAACAACAACTTACCTACATTGATATGCAATGAGAATAAAGTAATTCTGAAGCAGGTTTATGGTACTCTGGCCTTCTCACTCCATGTATAACCAACTACATGTCAAGGGTTCAGTGACACAAAGTAACGCCATATTTTGCCAAAAGGAGTATTTGATATCAAAATGTTCAGAAAAAGGTGGGCTTTCCAGGAAACAAAGACTTAACTCCACCCAAAACCCCATTGAAGTCAATGGCTAGTGAAACATAGACTTAACTCCTTAAAGCCCAAGTGCTCAGTGACACATAAACCACTTCTTCTCAAAATGGACTTGCGTCTTTGTGTCACTGACCCATCGATGTAAACATATTTCATTTCAAAAAATGAAACTCTACTGACAATGACATACCCTCTTAAAAGCACAGCTTGGGCCAACAGAGCCTTCTACTTCTCTGTACCTAAACTGTGGATTAGCCTCCCGCAATCTACCAGGAGTGCTGAGTCTGTGACAACGTTCATGTCAGCCATCAATGACATCTCAAGAATGAAAATGCGAAAGCTTTCATATATGAAGCAGCAAACCACTGCAGTTTTTTAATGACGTAAAGTGTGACTGAAACTGACAGTCTACAATATTTCTGATGTCATCTGTTTCAACAAACGTGAAAATACTGACTTTATTGTAAGAGCCTACTCCTTTGAACACCCTTTGAACATTTATAACAGAAATATGGCACCTTATATATATATATATATATATATATATATATATGCTTTGAATCGCTATTGTTGTTTATTTCTTAATTTTTAGGATGAAGTATCTGAATCGCGCATGAAGGTCGCTGGTCTAGTAGAGGAGGTTGCATCTCAACAAGCTAAACGTGCCCGTCTCACCAAGCGATATGAAGAGGCCATCTTCAAGTACAAGTCCAACAAGGATGCCAATGGTACATGATTTATTTCTACTCGCATCTCTATCATTGCAGTCTATCGGTGCCTTGAGTGATGAGTATTGCATATAACATAGAGTCAAGAGATCAGCCCTTTTCCAGTTTTTTTTTTTTATCATACCCAAGTGCTCAAAATCCTATTGTAACTCTAAGGGATGTTCACCCTGATATTAAGTTGGTTTTATTAAAAGCAGCAAAATGAGAAAAACAAGTAAATGAAAGTTTGAGCAATATCTGATTGGAAATAAGGAAGTTGACGTCGGTGAAACAAAAATTGGCAACACTGTGACCTATCTTGCAAGTTCCTCTCCAATCTGATCTATACAGAAACTGTGATAAACTTTCATTTTCAGATAACGAAGCAGACTTGTTTTATACAGGGGTTGTATAAAAAACATATTTGCAATAATTATACTTAGAGCCTTGGTCACAAATGCCATTACGAACAATGGAAAAACGGAGATTCGTACAAAATTATCGTTCGTACAAACTTTTGTGACCCTAGCATAAGGTGAATGTATAATTGACAAAATGTATTTATTGGAAAACATATTAATTTGTTTATAGGAGGAGAGCTTGCAAGATGCATCACAGAGTTTCCAACTGGTCTTTGACTGATTGCACCTTCAAAAATTCTTATTTTTTAGTAGTTTTTGCTCAAACTAACACTGATCTGTATCTCTCATTTTCCTAAAATGTTTCAAACAAACATAATGTCAAGGTAGACTTCCCCTTTATTTCCAAGACGTTGTCACTTCTTCTTGCTTCTTACAGTCAATGGGCAATCTTAATTTTGTTGATAAAGCCAAACCTGAACCAATGAAAAAAACTATTGTTTCATTTCAATTTATGTAACCTCTCAGATAATGTGAACTAATATACAAATAGTGACTGCTCATAAGGATGATGGTGGAAATTATCATTCCCAAGGTGGTGTTCATACCAGCGCCTCTAGAGCCAAAACCCTCTGACGTAATGATACTTGATAGATCGTAATGCGCCTTGTCATGTGATATAGTTATGACCAATCTGTGAATGACAATCTATGTTTGAGGTAAATAACATTGATGCTTGTTTTGTTTCATAGCATTCCGTGCCACCTTGAAGAAGATTGAGGGTGAACATCGTTCAGCTACTGATGCCATCAAGGACTTGATTGCCACTATCAGCAAGGAGAATGCTGATGTAGCAGACAAGGTATGTTACATTGTATTGTATCTTCCCCAAATCCTTCGCTCTTGTCACCAGTTATCTACTTTCAGAACTCAACTTAAGACATACCTATTTCAGATTGCTTACAATTAGTCACTGCTTTTTTTGTCTTTCCCAGAATCATGAACAGACATTTTTGGTAGTTTTTCAGTCTCATCAGTGCCTTCGATTAGGCAACTAGATATTGGTGCTTTATAAATAGCTGGATTGGATTGGATATTGAAGCAGTTTACCAAGAGTGAATTGATCAAATGACTTCACTTACTGGTGAACAAAAAAATGTTAACATGTTTACTGCTTGTTTTTTCTATTTGTGGGGGTTAGATGCTTCTGTAGGAACCCATTTTTACCTGTATATACAGTTAGCAACTAAATTATTCATACCCTGATTAAGTTTTGTAATTGTTCAAGTATGTGAAAGATTGATTTGTCCCAAATTAGGTTTCTTGAAAATGTGACATATCAAAGCTTACATCTAGAAGTATTCAACAAAGGCAATAATTCAACTAGTCCACCTTTCATTCATGAGTTACAACAAACACAAAAATCATCAAATTTACAAGGGGCTTGCATAATTAGTTAACTGTAACTACAGAGCAGCAAAACCATCTAGAAATTAGTGTTCTTTGGGAATTCCTATCATAAGAGATAATGATTTGATGAGTATTCTGTCAAATCCCCCTTTTCCTTTTTTTTTTAATAGTAATAATTTGATTAATTTATTAGTTTCTTGACCAAAGGAACTTGAAAATGATTATCCGTCAACGAATGGAGATGAATCAAAGAAACCAATAAATCAGGTTGATTCCCCAAAGAATTGAGAAAATCTTCCAGATTTTATTATGAATCAATTAATGGAAGTAGATCTGCTTACTCCTCACTCCATGACTATCGTCCAGATTGTTCTCCACATATAGTAGAATTTGTCCTCTATGAATATTTCTTTGCTTCCTTGCTTGTGTTACAGATGAATGAGGTGCAGAAGTTGAGCCGTCAGCACAAGGAGCTGATCCAAGCAGCCATTACTAACGCCGAGAAAGTCATGTCTGGCAAGTTCTCCAAGAACCAATACGTAGACATCGACAAGGCCACTACAGCCAAGCGTTCGGAGCTGGAAACCAAGATTGAGTCCTTACTTGGGAACCTTTAAATCAGCTTTATCATTCTAGCTTATTTGACTTTAAACTCTATTAGAGTGACATATGGTCACATGGTTGATGTAATAGTAAAATTTCTTCTGTTTTTTGTAAAGAGACCTTTCATGACATTGCTTCATTTCTAAAAGAAAAGAAGTGATTTTCTTTCCGGCAGTAGTTTTAGAATGAGAGGGTAGGGTGTAGATTTTTTTTGCTCATAAGAATTCACAAATTTCTGTAAATAGTAGAGGTGATGGTGAATACAAGATTTACACGAGTAGAAGTAATGTGATATCTTTGCAACCATTCATGGTTTCCGATAAAAACACACAAGTGACAAACAATAATGAAGTAAAAAAGGGTTGGGGTATTAAACTGCTTAAAGATTGTACATGTGGTATCTATAAAGCTTCTTTGATTAAGAAGGACAAGACTGCCAGTCTTGAAATTATTCATCAAAAGAAGCTTGATGAAAGATAATTAAGTTACTTTTGCACCATATCTTCATTATGAGTCCTGACCAAGTTACATTATTGGCAAATTTGATAATAATTCAATGAAATTGTGAGTTATAGTACAAACAAATTATGAATCATATCTTATCTGATGAGTTGGCAAGTCTTATTGATTTAGACTGTTTTATTATACATCAACAGTTGATGGATGGATGTTTGATATAAAAATGTTTGATTACTGTGCTGAATCACTCAACTAGAAATATGCATTGTTGAAAATAATCATGGTTCCTTGTAATCAGTAAACTAATTTCTTGAATGTTTGTACCGTCAGTTACTGCTTCAATAAATGCTCACAGCTCTCTATTAATGTCCTTAACTTCTTGTATGATATTTGATACTGCTTAAAGATTGCATTTGTATTTTAATAGGGCTATTGAAATGAATTATTGAATGAACTACTAAATGAGTTACTGGAATCAAATTGAACAAATGAAAAAAGTAAATGGTTGAATGATCAAGAATGCAATGAGTGAGTGCTTAAAAGGAGTGAGCAGGTGAATGGTGGGATAATTGAAGTGAAATTTAAGAAATTGAAGTGAGAAGCTGAATGATAGAACTTCAAACGCATGAACGATTCAAATGAGAAAACTATTAGATGATGGGAAATTTGAAGAGAATGACTGACTGATAAAAGTGAAAATTTAAGAAATTGATTGGAGTGAACATCAAATATATGAACGATTCAAAGGAGTAACCAAGGGAATGAAGGATACAATTGAAGTGAGAAAAAAAACTGAAGAAAATGAATGATTGCATGACATGAATTACTGAAGTGAAGATGAGAATGCAATAGACTTTTTAAAATGTATTCAAATTTACTCGCGTTTACCTAGCGACTAGTTTATTACATTCGCCTGCTATACATTATTGCATCTCAGCCATTGGTACATTAGTTGTAGCAAGGTTGGACAAACCATATGGCTTGTCTTTCTCCTACCTACCTGTACGCTCAATGAAATACAATCGTTCATAGCCAGTTGATAAAATCATTCATAATGAGACACTTAGAACGGACGTTTCATTAAATTTGATTACCTTACGAATATGGCCTATTTGACATTATTTTAATCAAGTGTGACTGAAGTGTAGAATAGACCATTTTCGAAATGTAATCACATTTAATGCATAAACCATTGTTTAGTGCCATGTTACAAATTATCTTATTCACCTGTTATGAATAATTGTATTTCAATGGTCAAAATGAGGATTGCAACATTACTTGATGCTAGGTAGGACACACATTATGGTTTGTCCTACCTAACATGGAATGTATGTATTGTAGATTTGTGCATTAAATTTGATTACATTACGAAAAATGGCCTATTGAATGAGTGAACGATAGTATGAAATTAGCGATTTAATTGGGTAAAAGGCTGAAGTGAAAATACAAAGAAACGAATGACTCGATGGGGCCAGATGAACAATGTAAGAATTTGAATAAACATTTGGCTGGGACGAAATGCCCGAGGTGTTCCTCCGAAGCGTCTCTTTCATACCCAGTCATACAAACGAGGCTGACACAGACAATAACTTTATCCCAAATGACCGGTCGGTTTAGCGGTGTTACTGAGGTATATTATGAGGGGGATGTGCTTCCAAAGATAATAAATAATCATTCAAAATTCATCACTATCATAATTATACGCCTATATGCGCAGTGCAATAATATGATTCCTTTTCAAAACAAAAAAAGGTGTATTCATGTCTTTTAATAAATATTCATTTATCTAAAAGAGAACATTAGATTCTCTTTCATTTTCTAGATATCACTCACTGTCTTTGTCTCTATCTCTTCCCTCCTCTATCTAGCAATGTATCTTTCTGTCTCCTTACTCTCTCTCTCTCTCTCTCCCACTCCTTTTTCTCTCTCTCTCTCTCTCCCAATCCCTTCTCATTTCCCCTCTATTTCACCTGTCCTCATGGCTCATGCTGTCCTCATTCTGTCTCCTTTTCCCCCTCTCTCTCTCTTTCTCTCTCTCCTTTTCTCTCTCTCTCTCTCTCTCCCTTCTCGCTTTATCTCCTTTCTACATCTCGTATCCCCTCCATTTCTTCTTCTCCTCCACCCCGCTCACTTCCGGCCCTCTCTCCATCTCGAGGCTGAACGGCATTACTGTTCCTTAATCTTTTCTATCACTTCACTCCTCTCTAAGGAACATTAACATAATACATCGCACCAAGTAATAAGATGGTAGTGTCGTATACTCATGGGCATGAAATTGTCCTTTTATTAAGAAGGTATACCAAACATGATACATCCAATCGTCTTGCATATCATACAGCTGACCACGTCATGCTGTATGGACATGAGAGTGAGATAGGCATCCGATAATTGAGACAACCATTTGCTTAAGCTATTAAGCTAGAGGTCTTGTGAGACGAGTGAGGCACCCCAAGTACATATCTCAAATAGTTTCATTAATGGGATAACCATGAACGAAGTCCCATACACTTGGTTTAAAGTTACTTCTAACCGCACACAAGTCATAGTGACGCAGTCGGGAGACTCCGGACAATATTATATGACCTCTCAACTACAAATACATTTATTGTATATTTCAAAGCTACTAGTATCAAAGCTTACATCTAGAAGTATTCAACAAAGGCAATAATTCAACTAGTCCACCTTTCATTCATGAGTTACAACAAACACAAAAATCATCAAATTTACAAGGGGCTTGCATAATTAGTTAACTGTAACTACAGAGCAGCAAAACCATCTAGAAATTAGTGTTCTTTGGGAATTCCTATCATAAGAGATAATGATTTGATGAGTATTCTGTCAAATCCCCCTTTTCCTTTTTTTTTTAATAGTAATAATTTGATTAATTTATTAGTTTCTTGACCAAAGGAACTTGAAAATGATTATCCGTCAACGAATGGAGATGAATCAAAGAAACCAATAAATCAGGTTGATTCCCCAAAGAATTGAGAAAATCTTCCAGATTTTATTATGAATCAATTAATGGAAGTAGATCTGCTTACTCCTCACTCCATGACTATCGTCCAGATTGTTCTCCACATATAGTAGAATTTGTCCTCTATGAATATTTCTTTGCTTCCTTGCTTGTGTTACAGATGAATGAGGTGCAGAAGTTGAGCCGTCAGCACAAGGAGCTGATCCAAGCAGCCATTACTAACGCCGAGAAAGTCATGTCTGGCAAGTTCTCCAAGAACCAATACGTAGACATCGACAAGGCCACTACAGCCAAGCGTTCGGAGCTGGAAACCAAGATTGAGTCCTTACTTGGGAACCTTTAAATCAGCTTTATCATTCTAGCTTATTTGACTTTAAACTCTATTAGAGTGACATATGGTCACATGGTTGATGTAATAGTAAAATTTCTTCTGTTTTTTGTAAAGAGACCTTTCATGACATTGCTTCATTTCTAAAAGAAAAGAAGTGATTTTCTTTCCGGCAGTAGTTTTAGAATGAGAGGGTAGGGTGTAGATTTTTTTTTGCTCATAAGAATTCACAAATTTCTGTAAATAGTAGAGGTGATGGTGAATACAAGATTTACACGAGTAGAAGTAATGTGATATCTTTGCAACCATTCATGGTTTCCGATAAAAACACACAAGTGACAAACAATAATGAAGTAAAAAAGGGTTGGGGTATTAAACTGCTTAAAGATTGTACATGTGGTATCTATAAAGCTTCTTTGATTAAGAAGGACAAGACTGCCAGTCTTGAAATTATTCATCAAAAGAAGCTTGATGAAAGATAATTAAGTTACTTTTGCACCATATCTTCATTATGAGTCCTGACCAAGTTACATTATTGGCAAATTTGATAATAATTCAATGAAATTGTGAGTTATAGTACAAACAAATTATGAATCATATCTTATCTGATGAGTTGGCAAGTCTTATTGATTTAGACTGTTTTATTATACATCAACAGTTGATGGATGGATGTTTGATATAAAAATGTTTGATTACTGTGCTGAATCACTCAACTAGAAATATGCATTGTTGAAAATAATCATGGTTCCTTGTAATCAGTAAACTAATTTCTTGAATGTTTGTACCGTCAGTTACTGCTTCAATAAATGCTCACAGCTCTCTATTAATGTCCTTAACTTCTTGTATGATATTTGATACTGCTTAAAGATTGCATTTGTATTTTAATAGGGCTATTGAAATGAATTATTGAATGAACTACTAAATGAGTTACTGGAATCAAATTGAACAAATGAAAAAAGTAAATGGTTGAATGATCAAGAATGCAATGAGTGAGTGCTTAAAAGGAGTGAGCAGGTGAATGGTGGGATAATTGAAGTGAAATTTAAGAAATTGAAGTGAGAAGCTGAATGATAGAACTTCAAACGCATGAACGATTCAAATGAGAAAACTATTAGATGATGGGAAATTTGAAGAGAATGACTGACTGATAAAAGTGAAAATTTAAGAAATTGATTGGAGTGAACATCAAATATATGAACGATTCAAAGGAGTAACCAAGGGAATGAAGGATACAATTGAAGTGAGAAAAAAAACTGAAGAAAATGAATGATTGCATGACATGAATTACTGAAGTGAAGATGAGAATGCAATAGACTTTTTAAAATGTATTCAAATTTACTCGCGTTTACCTAGCGACTAGTTTATTACATTCGCCTGCTATACATTATTGCATCTCAGCCATTGGTACATTAGTTGTAGCAAGGTTGGACAAACCATATGGCTTGTCTTTCTCCTACCTACCTGTACGCTCAATGAAATACAATCGTTCATAGCCAGTTGATAAAATCATTCATAATGAGACACTTAGAACGGACGTTTCATTAAATTTGATTACCTTACGAATATGGCCTATTTGACATTATTTTAATCAAGTGTGACTGAAGTGTAGAATAGACCATTTTCGAAATGTAATCACATTTAATGCATAAACCATTGTTTAGTGCCATGTTACAAATTATCTTATTCACCTGTTATGAATAATTGTATTTCAATGGTCAAAATGAGGATTGCAACATTACTTGATGCTAGGTAGGACACACATTATGGTTTGTCCTACCTAACATGGAATGTATGTATTGTAGATTTGTGCATTAAATTTGATTACATTACGAAAAATGGCCTATTGAATGAGTGAACGATAGTATGAAATTAGCGATTTAATTGGGTAAAAGGCTGAAGTGAAAATACAAAGAAACGAATGACTCGATGGGGCCAGATGAACAATGTAAGAATTTGAATAAACATTTGGCTGGGACGAAATGCCCGAGGTGTTCCTCCGAAGCGTCTCTTTCATACCCAGTCATACAAACGAGGCTGACACAGACAATAACTTTATCCCAAATGACCGGTCGGTTTAGCGGTGTTACTGAGGTATATTATGAGGGGGATGTGCTTCCAAAGATAATAAATAATCATTCAAAATTCATCACTATCATAATTATACGCCTATATGCGCAGTGCAATAATATGATTCCTTTTCAAAACAAAAAAAGGTGTATTCATGTCTTTTAATAAATATTCATTTATCTAAAAGAGAACATTAGATTCTCTTTCATTTTCTAGATATCACTCACTGTCTTTGTCTCTATCTCTTCCCTCCTCTATCTAGCAATGTATCTTTCTGTCTCCTTACTCTCTCTCTCTCTCTCTCCCACTCCTTTTTCTCTCTCTCTCTCTCCCAATCCCTTCTCATTTCCCCTCTATTTCACCTGTCCTCATGGCTCATGCTGTCCTCATTCTGTCTCCTTTTCCCCCTCTCTCTCTCTTTCTCTCTCTCCTTTTCTCTCTCTCTCTCTCTCTCCCTTCTCGCTTTATCTCCTTTCTACATCTCGTATCCCCTCCATTTCTTCTTCTCCTCCACCCCGCTCACTTCCGGCCCTCTCTCCATCTCGAGGCTGAACGGCATTACTGTTCCTTAATCTTTTCTATCACTTCACTCCTCTCTAAGGAACATTAACATAATACATCGCACCAAGTAATAAGATGGTAGTGTCGTATACTCATGGGCATGAAATTGTCCTTTTATTAAGAAGGTATACCAAACATGATACATCCAATCGTCTTGCATATCATACAGCTGACCACGTCATGCTGTATGGACTTGAGAGTGAGATAGGCATCCGATAATTGAGACAACCATTTGCTTAAGCTATTAAGCTAGAGGTCTTGTGAGACGAGTGAGGCACCCCAAGTACATATTTCAAATAGTTTCATTAATGGGATAACCATGAACGAAGTCCCATACACTTGGTTTAAAGTTACTTCTAACCGCACACATAGTGACGCAGTCGGGAGACTTCGGACAATATTATATGACCTCTCAACTACAAATACATTTATTGTATATTTCAAAGCTATACTCAGGTTTGTTCCATGAACATCTTGTCAATTCATCTTTCCAAATACAAAGAATTTCTTTGAAATACTCACTCATTTAGAATGTTGAGGTACGCGTTGGAGATTTTATCCATGCATTATTTTTATTAATACCTCGTGCAATCTCGGATGCTTGTAGAGAAAATTTATTGAGAATTCTAATAACCAGAGAGATAATCCATTTTTATAAAAGCTGCACAAAATTTATCAATAATTACAATCATATCAAATTGTAAAAATCAAATATCAAATATTGTGAAATATAAATTCACAATGCACCATTTTATCACCGTAGGATGAAACTCACAAATGGCACTTTTTTTAATCATTTCATTCGTCAACCATATAGTGTTTGAAAACAACTGCATGGTCCCAATAAAGAAGGCACATCTCTTCATATAATAATTTCAATACAACACTAAACCTTGCATAAGGAACTAAGGAAGAATAACACATTTAGACATTGTTTTCACTTGGTATATTGATCGTCAGCTTCTATAAAATACACGTCACTACAACGTCAAACGTTTTCGGAAATATTTCTAAATATTTAGGCATGGTTTTCGGCAAGTTAGGTGCAATCTCGTAACCTAGGATTGTATCATTTTGATTTTAAGTACTTTGACGCAAAGAAAGCAAGATCAATTGTTAAGATATAAATTATCAATCATCTAGACATGCATATATCGACTACAAAAACCTAGCAGAAAGAACAAATAAAAACGGTAGAAAACATTCAAAAGATAAATATTCTATCAAACATAATATACAAATGCACTTAATATATACACTTACATCAATTTGAAATATCTTAATTGAATACCATAATGGCAAATTTAGCAATCACATATATACATAATTCATATATATAATTGTATGCTTACATCAAAGTAAGCAAGTTATGTTCATTGAGAATTTATGATAGATTTCGCAAAATTGAGACACGAGGTATTTGGTAATACAATCATGATTGTGTCATTATGTACTGGGAAAAAAAACCTTTTTGAATGAAACAACGGATCATTTTATACAATCAACCCCCTCCATTATCTTATCGCGAAAACGTGAAAAATGTTGATTGTAAAATATCCTGTTTCAGTATTTCAGTGAGGCTATAATTAGGTAACAACTATTATGTGTGTTCACGTCCTAAGGCTCCTTCATGATACAAACTTTGGTCTATACATTTATTTTAGTATTTAAAATATTTCAAGAAGTTCATGAAAAAGTTATTAACCAAGAAATCAATATCGTGAAAGATATATACACCAATACAACTGCAATTCTTTCTATATATCGCGAAACTTTTCTATAATTATTCAGCCTTAACCTGCTGATTCTAGAATATCGCCAATTTTTTTTTTTGGGGCATAAACAATAATTCCTTACTGTTGATTTTAAAAGCAGTCATAGTACACAATATAATGTTCAGCGTACACCGGGATAGAAACTCATGAGTTACCGTGACATTACAGAGGCTGGCAGCCTACGAGATCGCCAATATCGGTCTCACGAAGCATCAAAATACTTTATCAGAAGACAGGCGAGATCGACGTTGTCGGTCTCGTTGACTGTCGTTCTTGTGAGCTGTTGCCATGATTTTCATGTTATTAACTTCTGTGACTTTTGTACTTAATGGCCAAACATACAACTATCGGTACTTAGTAACTACACATCGTATACCAAGTTTAATTATCGCGATGACAGAAAAGAACATTAGGTAGAACATCTAGCAATGAAATAAAAGTGTCTCCGTGGAACCAGCGTCGTGGACTGAGGCATTTCGAATAATCAATCAAAATTGAAAGACATGTAAATATTACAAAATAGATTGTCGTGCCAAAATCAAATCAATTATTGATGGTGAACCTGCAAAATTATAAACAACTCTATGCTCACAGCACACTGCACAATGTGAACATCTGCAATCGTATACCAATGACTTTTGTGTGATAACTAGCCTAGTCTTGTCATCTGATATTGTTCTACGCTAAACCTACAGACTCGTTTCAATAACTCCCATGCGTCGACGTTGTTCTATGCTAGGCAAAGACCAATGTTCGTTTGAGTTTACCACTGGGTCAGTGTTGATTTGCATCATCTCGTCAACAACACTATGTGGTCTTTGCTGCCTCCCATCAACTTGCTCAATGCCATTACTTAACGATTCGATTCCTGGGAAACTACTCCTCTGTGAGTTCACCATCGCCTCGCTTGCAGTCCCCGACTGTACTGACGCATAAGGTTGTCCAGGGTTTACGTTGTTTACCAAGCGATCCGTAGGGACCTGATGGTTGACTACAAACTGTGGAAGACCTATCCGGGTCTCATGGTCTGGGTGTGACTCTGACGGAGTTGGTTGATGGTGCTGTGTCCGTTGTAACTGGACGTTTCCTGTCGGCTGTTGATCATACCCTGTATGTTGGACATGACCAGGAGGATGCTTAGTAGGAGAGTTAGGAGTAGACTTGGATGTGGTTACTACTGGCTTACGACTAGACTTGTTCGGGGTAGACGGTGTAGACTTTACATATCTTGGTGCTTCTGGGTTACTTGAATTTGACTTGGATGTTTGGTCTCTTGTGACGACAGGCTGATACAAACCAGTACTTGTTTCTTGTGGGCCAGGAGGATAGTGTACTTGTTGCTCGGGTACTGGTGAGCGCCTGTTGGCAACAGACGGGGGAACTGGAGAGTACTCAAATTCTCTTGACATACTTGCAGATAAAGGTCGTTGTGGGGCGTTTGAGATCATGGCAGAAGGCTTGCCGGAAGTGACCTGAGAATCCTTCAGAGACGCATTTGTGAGACCGACCAATGGTTGGCCATTGGTCTCTGAATGTGTACTGATGTTAGGATTGCTAAATGACTGCTGAAGATGAGTCTGAAAGCCACCTGGCAGTTCCGAGTTTGACCCAATATCTCCGTTCGAGAGATGCTGCGATGCTTGGTGGCTAGGGCTTGAAGGTTTTCCTTCCAGCTCTCCTGTTGATCGGGATGATGTTGGAGGGGCCATACCAGTGGGCCACTTGACGGGTTGGTCTATTGGAGAATGTTGTGATTGCTGTGGTGCAGCGTGGTTCGCATTTAGTTGTGATTGGCTCACATTTGGTCGTGTCATCCTCGCAAGAGCAAAGCCTCTAGATGAACCACCATTTCCGATCTTGGACATAACCACCGATGAGGAAGAACTCGTGGAAGAGGGTTTCTCTTGGAGAAGTGTTGATCGTTGCGGTGATACTGGATCCTTTCTCATGGACGAGCTTTGAGCAGGAACATCCACGTTTCTGACAGTCTCTGCGGCCTGATTTGATATCATGGCCGGAGTAACATTGATCCCCGTGAAGGAGAACCTCTTAAAAGCAGTGTCATTGGAGTTGAGAACTGCCAATCTTTGTTGATCACTTGCCATTCCCAGTCCTGTTGAATTAGCGACAGGGGGTGGTGAGGCGAGTGAAATAGCTTGCGATGGTGTATTCGTAGGTGTGTAGGTGAACTGTCGTGTACTGACCAAGTCTGTAGCCACCGGTGAATAGGCCCTGGGTGGAGGACGAGGGGGTGGTCCTCTAACACCACGGGGTCTAGGGACCGGAGGCTGAACTGGTAGTGTTGGCGAAGAGGAAATTGAAGCTGGTCGAGCAGATGGAGCTATCAACTGCTTGGTTGGATCACTTGGATTCTCATTCTGTAAGATACAATGGTTGCAAAATAAAAATTAGTCTTTATAGGGGTTACAAAATTATTAAAATAATGTGGGATCAATTACGATAAGAGACATTACGTTAACTTCTTTAACTTTGTATCATCTTAAGTCGACGGTACATCGCACCACTTTGTATACATTGAGCATAAATAGAACCAAGGGCTAGAGTTGGCCGACAGCTCACGAGACCAAGAGTTTTGATTATGACCAAAATAAATTGAGGATTCACAAGACCAAAATTGTTGCTCTCGATTGCGCCTTTTCTCGTGTGCTACTGTCCTTATACAGTCTCTATATCGAACGATTTCGAAATTACTGTTTGCTATATTTGTCATGACTCACAAATAAAATATCAAAACCTTGCGTATTGTTCTAGTTTTCTTAAATCCAAATATACACGTAATTCACTTGATAATGTTTATGTATTACTTGAAGTAATGTTTCTAATAATTATGTATGTGTTATTGCATTCGATGTGTACCAGTAATTTTAACAGTATCCATTCACTAACGGCGCAACCCTGTTAATATAAGAATACAAGATAATCGTGATGTAAGAAATCAATATTCTGTCGATTTAGTTATATAAGCCCATTATTACACAGCAACAATTAATACAGAAATTGCAAAATATTCTGCAAAAAAAAAAACACACGAAGTAACATGTTGCATATAATCATTACATATCACATCAATACCATTTTAACACCAATATAACAATGAACAAGTGAGAAACTTTAAAGCACAATAATATAGAAATAATATGTTAAGTTGCAAGCATTGGTAATATAAGGCAGTCTGTTGGGACATCTGAAAGTAAAGGTTAAATGATGAGAAAAGTGCTTGGAAGACAAACAAAAAATGATGTTTAAAAAATGTATTGTACATTTTAGAGACATTATATAGCACATAATTTATCAAAAGTGTCTAGAAAGTAGAAATTAATGGATATTAAATGAAAACAAAGAAACTTTTCTTTCAAAATGGAATGTGAAATCTCTCCATCCTCCAAGTATATTGCGCACTCTCGAAGCACTCTCTGAAAACAAAGAAACACAAGGAAATACAAATTTCTAAATCATTACCGTATTACCTTAAAGATTACAGTAAGTTTTTTTTTTTTTTGCGTGTTTAAAATGAATTTATGTACAAACCAACCACACAAAAAACATCTAAAATGTAAAATAGTACTTGAGAGCAGTTTGGCGTCTTTTATATGTCGTCATTTTTAATTTTTTGGTTGCTATTTGACATACAGAGGTTAGGAGATGATAATCGTTAAAACTCTTTAGAGACAAGAAGAAAAAAAGAAAATACAGCTTATTTATATACATAACTGACACATAAATACTGTAAAATGATATATGACGGGCGAATTATGATGATCGAAATCCTTGTATTTTATCCAAAGTGAAGTCACATGTATCAGAAAATAATAAAGACATAAACATTTAAAACGTACAATATAAAGAAGCAAAGCAAGTTCGGTGAATCCATGAAACCATAAAATAATAACGGACTTACACATGAAATGAACCATTAACACAAAAACAATGAACAAAATGTATCCATGTAGGCAACAAAAACACACACACACCCACGCACACAAAAGAATATCACATTTGTGGTGCATGTTATAAACTTCATCAGAAGATGGTGATTGTTTAATATTGATACCAGGGGGGTGTTTCACAAAGATTTTAAGTCGAACTTAACCCTAAGTTGGGATTTCAAATTATGGAGAACCATTTGTAGCCTTATAATGAAATATATTCAAAAGCAAAATCCAAGTATTTTAGACTTTTCATAAATTCCACATAAAAAACATGAAATCTCCCATGATAATAGAAAATGTGAATGATTTGAATCAACATTTTATGCCTTTTAAAATAACTTGTAAAAAATATTTTCAAAGATGCTAACGGCTTTCCATAATCGTTAAGTCCAACTTGGAGAAAAGTTTAACTTAGGATCTTTGTGAAACACCCCAGGTGCAAGATATAAACCCACACAATGCCAGTTACATAAAGACACAAGGAGAGATGGAGGCGAACCTTGCTGGGTATTGAATCTTGTTGTAGAAGCCAGTTCATCAATTGAGTATTGCGACCACTGTCGGGAGTGGGCGACAGCGGTGGGATAGGGTGCTGTAGATCGGGATGGGACATACATGGGAAGGTGAGGTTACTTAAAACTTTTACCAGAGATCACAAAATAGATGACTTATGAAGATAAATCTTCAATATAACTGTCGAATGCTTATTCAACGCATGAAGTGGAAAGCAGTAAATGGTCGCGTTTTTAATTCAACGTGCGCATGACAATGTTGAATGTTCGACTTTTCGTTGTCAAATTATTTTTAACGATCTATATATTCATCAAACAAAAAAATTGATTATTGATTACAATTTGTAAATGAGTGACAGCGGTGGGATAGGATGCTGTAGATCAGGATGTGGGACATAATGGGAAGGTGAGGTTACTTATACAATAGATCACAAAATAGCCAAACAATACTAAATGACTAATGAAGACAAATAATGTTCAGTCGACAGCTTATTCAACGCATGAAGTGAAAATCAATAGATGGTTACGTTTTTAATTCAATGTGCACATGCATGACACTGCTGAATGATCGATTTGTAGTTGTCTAATTATGTTCCGATCCTTATATTCATCAAATAAACAAATATATGGTTAATTAAATTTTTTTATCTGTTTTTCACGTTGATTACAGATTATACAGACTCATAACACAATAATGTAGAAATACATTAGTAGGACCACTGCGGGAGTATGGGGTCTGCATCTTAATGGACACTTCCTAAAGTTACTTAAAGATAAAGTTGAGTTCTGGTCATGCGATTGCATTGTGAAAGAAACGGTGTGGAATCGATCAGAAAAAGTTGATCATAATCGTGTATTGATGTGTACTGCAAGGTTCTAGAGTCATCAAAATTATAAGTAATTCGGCACAGTCATTTTAAAGCTGTTACTTGTCATTATGTAGAATATGAAGGAATTTGAAGAGCCATGCTTTTCACAAGTTTTCAGGGAATATTTTTAATTTCTTTCTTCGATGTTCTTCCACACGTGCATATTAATAACAAAGATAACGCTCACAAATTATTTGTCACCTCTCCCCAGAACTCAACCTTCTCTTTAAGCCCACGAGATACACCAACCAAAGTGTGCGTATATGTTTATACTGCTTTACCTTGATCAGTCTCTGGAAGTCTTGTACAAGATCACGAGAGTCTTTATTCTCCTTCATGGCACTGTTGAGACGACCTTGTAAGCTCTCGATCTCTTTTACGAGTACATCATTTTGCTTCAGACATCGCTTTAGTCCCTCCCTAACACGATATACAAGGAAAATAACGGTGTATTTTAACATTCATCAATATTATTCTGATACTCCAACGTGCAAAAGTGTTAGATTGTCTCACTTCTGGTGCAATTGAGCATTTGGGAATAAAACATTACAGTTACCGTATATCACCCTTCTTGGGAAAGACACAAAAGCAAAGCGTGTTCATTTTTTGCATCAAGCTTGGCAACCAATCGATTATAATCGGTAATTCATGAATTGTATTATTCATTTCTGTTTCCAGCATTTAATTTGCTCAAAAAATAGAAATAAATTATTTCTATCTAAACGAATGATTTCCGACTCCATGTTTGTTCCATTAAAAATTGCAAATTTCACAGTAGCCTACGTTAATGATGCCATTCTTCAATAGTAGTTTGGTCCTTTACGAATCAGACAATCATATCAGGTGACCCTTCCACTTCTTCTTCTTCCTCCCCTCCCTCTTCCTTTCCCTGCACATCCTCCTTCTTCTTCTTCGCCATGAGTGCAAAATAGGAGAACGCCCCACATTTTTCTTTTCTTCTACTGTTGTTCCTGAAATAATGTGACCGAAACTCCTTGGAGCCTTTACAGTTATGAAAATTGCAACAGTGAGACGGAGGGGAGGGGGGGGGGGGGGAGAGCGGGGGTCAGAGTAGGATATTGCTATACTCTTTCTCCTGTCGAGGATTGGCCTTTCATAATTTACCTGGTGTGGTAAAGCTGAAACCTCTCGAAATCAAGAGTAGGGTAGTCTGTCATCACACAAGCGACGTCCTGCACGTTTAGAAACTCGATCCTAACCAATAAAGATGGCTCTTCCTTCGTACAGTAGTCACCGTCCAATGCCTTGGCCTGTATGAACACAACGAGGAAAGAGTGATTAATGAAGAATATTTAGATGGAAATTTCTTTGGAAAATAAAACATTATATCAAATAATAAGGGACAATGATAAAGATATACCACATCATCACCAAAGAGAAATTTACGGAAATTTGCTATTATAAACACGTTCGTCGACAGAGAATTTTCAAATGAAATTATATTGATTTTTTTAAAGAAAATCCACAAAGCATCCCGAGGTCTGACTGGCATGAAATGTACAAAGTATGAAAACATTTATATTCTAAGATATGGTGCAACTTTATCTTTATGTATACATTATAATCATGAAATAATATTGAGCGGAGGGGGAGAGAGAAAGTGTGATACAGAGAGGGAAGTATCAAGTATGTTGAAAGGGTGAGGGAGAAAAGTGAAGGGGGCAGAGAGAGATTGAGGGGATATTCTACAGGAGATTGACATTTATGAGATGATTGTTAGGTAATAATACAATCAATTGAAGAGGACAAATTAAGAAGCAAGTATTTCCAATTGTCTGAGGGACTGAAAAGGGATGATTATTGATCTGTTGCCAATCAATTAGACCTACAAAATGAACACGCATTCCACACACTGTCCAATCGATGCTCCGTATCAGAGACATGCATATGCCTCCAGCTATAAGGAGTTGGATTCGCTCCTTCACAGTCTATTATTCTGTTTCTACTTCTCTACAATATAGTACTGCAAAGATGTTATTCAGGTATATGATACTGAGGATTCAACGAACCGTTGTTCAAGAACATTCAAACAATACCTTAATCAGTTTAAAACATGAATAAACATTCATTATAAGCTTGATGTCCTCATCTCTCTCTCTCTCTCTCTTTCTCTAATAATAATAATAATGAAAAAGGTTACTTATAAAGCGCTTACCACCGAAGTCTCTAAGCGCTATACACACAAAATAGACTGATATACAATTACATCTTATACAAAACTGAAAATGCAAATAGACATACAAATTACAATACATATGGAATACACGTCAAAGTGAACAGAGTTAATTAATCATCAAACGCAATTTTGAATAAATGTGTCTTGAGACTAGTTTTGAATAGGTTAAAAGTTTGACAGTTTTTTTACATTTAAAGGTAATCTGTTCCAAAGTTCAGCAGAAGCTTTACGAAAGGAGCGATTACCATAAGAAAGAGTTGACACAGAAGTAGATACGAGGTTTAATTGTGAAGATGACCGTAAACTGCGTGAGGGTTTGTATTCCTCGATTAATTCTTGCAGATAAATTGGTGCCGATTCATGAATGCATTTATAAGTTAAAACTAAGATTTTGTACATAATGCGGTACCTCACCGGCAACCAATGCAATTCGCGAAGTACTGGGGTGATGTGTTCACAAGAACGCATGCGTCTCGTCTTCTTCTTCTTCTTCCTGTTTTTCTTCTTCTTTTGAAAAATTGGCAAAGTAATTAAGACATTATTTGTTATTATGTTAGGCCTGCGTGTCTCAAAGTCCTTTCATTAAACTTATGAGGTAAACTTAGGTTAATTTAGTGATCAGTTATGCATACTTGAAAATTCACATTTTCATTGATTTGATAATTCATTGTTTTCAAAAGAATAAGTTTGAGTATAAGAAACAATAGTTGCACCGTAATGGTGTCATTATTTAGGCAGTATGCGTGGTAATTCCTTTATTACTAATTAAATTTTGGCTTCGTTGTATATGACTGTAAGTTGAGCAATCAATCCAAATAAAAAAGCCAGTGTTTCATGTCATTATGAGTATCAGCATCTGTACCAGTGTGATATACATCATAATGGATGGGGCACAGCTTGCAGGTGTGTCTATTTAATGACTTACCACCTCTACCTACGTGGAGGTATAGTATTGATATTGTCATGTCATTAGTATCGGTAAGATGATACCAGCTGAGCTTCAAGTTTGCATCACACGTTCACAATATTTGGAATCACTTATTTATCGCAATCCCAAGCTTCTTCTTCTTCTTTTTACTCAAGTTTGGAATAAAGGACTTTGTATAGGCCTTCATCACATTCCCCGTTAAATTCATGCATATTTCACTTTCCACAGGTAGACCTCTAACGCTTTTACTCTCACCTTTAATAAAATAAAATTGAAAAAGTACTTTCAGGTGAGACTCAAAGGGCGCTTTTCCCCTATAATGCATCAAAAGGTAGGGCGAAACAAAGAGGATGATTTTGAGCAGTTTAACTCATTCCCGCTCCATCTTCGGAATCGTCTGGTTATTGACGCTGAGAATTATAGAACATGTTGAAAGTATAAATATTGTAAGGTATGCAATTATGGTTCATTCATGGGCACATATCCTCTGGTAATTTGTCTCTCTTCGTGCTCTTCATCCCTTGGTATACATCCCAACTCTTAAAATAACGATCGGTTTCTCGTCCTGTTACATCACTCGCCCCTGCACCGATGACGAAGAACAATTATACCAGCAGCATCGATCGCAGTCGTACACGGGGTACACGGGTCGTTGTGGTTCGCTGATTGTCCGTGTCTTGTTCTCGTACGGATTGTTAAAGGAGAACTAACCCCACAGAATAAGTTTGGTTATTCTGAGAGATTAATTACATTCTTTCCCATCAATCTACAAGATTCCCCACCAAAGTGTTTGAGAAAGGCACAAAGCAAGAATAAAGTACAGTTTCTCAGCAAGACGTGGGCATCGCCATTTTCTTGGTTATGCGGAGTTGTATATCAACTAATGTATTCAAATTTATGGATGCTTCCTTCCAAAGTGTTTGTGGTGTTGAATCGTTTTATTCACCTGCTATTATTATCCTTTGTACTTCAATTGCCAGAACGCGAATTGCATAAATAAGTTGGTGCTATTCTGGGGTGAAGGTTTCGCATAATGAAAAAGATTTTGCAACCGCAATATTTTAGTATTTTTAAATAAATGAGTTACAGATGCAATTGTTGCCCTATTATATATTTTCACCAAAAGTCATTTTTACCTTCTCGGCTATAATTTTCCCCTCTAATAACGGCTGGTGTCTTCTTGAAATCGTGCTGATGAATATTATCAATTTACATTACGATAGAGTGATAGACAGATAATGTTTGTCGATGAGATTTTATATTTTTCGCTACTCGAATAATTTGTCGAGGAGATTTTCAGTATCTTCGTCCTCACCTCCAATCCACTCCTCCCCCTTTCGCTGCTCCTAACCTGGTTCTGCCTTTTGCATTTTATGTGAACTTGCATACATTTGTAGATTTGCGATGTTGTTGCCATGCTTACGAGCATGGCTATTCTTTTACATCTACGGTCTATCATACAGCTACTATCACATTCAAGTTTAATATTGAGCGATTCCGATTCTCTACCGTGCAGCTGCTATATCACATTCATGTTTAATATTGAGCGATTCCGATCCATACTGATATTGAATACTGATGCAGACATACATGTACCAGTCATTTCCGTTTTGGTTCACCGAAAACATCTTCTTTGTCTTGTTTATATTTAGAACAGTTTCCTCTGGAACGATGTAGAGTTTATGATATTTGAAAGAGAATTTTGTATGCCGAAGTTTTATTAACTGTGACTTTCAATCATTTCCCCCAACCTTTCGAGTTCATATTCTCATATAATACGTTATAATTTTACGAGCTTGTATCCATGGTTTAGTCACTGACCTATCTCGATAACAAGTTTTTTTGTTCCCGAATCAATATACGTCATGCTCTTGGATGTTGGCATTCAATCGAGGAATATTGAACTCTTCAAAGAGAAGAAGAAAAAAAAAACACGCAATATTCACTCATCATGCCCAAAGGCAAAGCGAAACATCCATGGTAATATATATCAACAAGCATTATCTTCAAATGCCCTACTTGTCAGCGCGGAGTTACGGGGGTGGGGGCAGAGGGGGATTTCTTATTATTGCAATAAAAAACTCAATAAGATTAAACCATCCTTCTTTTTTCCCTTACCTCGTCAGAGATTTGGGACACAACGCTCTAATGTTTTCGAAAAACATGGGAACACTGGTAATTTATACCAGATCGGTTTTGAGAATGATTGTGCATCTTCACCCTTTCAGATAGTCTAGTACCGCCCCCGCCATACCCTTTTTTGGTTTTGTTTTTAAATATTATCTTACACTACCAGCAACGCATTTAAATTAAAGAACTACTACTTTATTATATTTAGGTGCATGGTATGTGATGTTCACCTCGATCATTATTGATACCAGCATATGTGATGTCCTAACAGAAACATGTCATGCCATAATAGATACTGTTTGTTTGTTTAACTTGATTTTTTTCTTTTATTTTGTAAGTTTGCCCCCCCCCCCCCAAAACCAAAAAAAGACAACTCACTACAACAACACACAACCGAGTCATATAAAGCTCATAATGATAATAAAGTCCATTTATATAGCGCAGCTACTAGGCTATATACTCTACTGCGCTTAAGTAATACAAGGTATCATAATTATTACCCCAGCTGTAGCTAAGCTGCCATAATTTAAGGAATTTCTTCCCACCGGGTACCCACTTATTTCACCTGGGTGAAGAAAGGCAAATGAAGATTAGTGTCTTGCCAAAGGTGTCGCGGCGGAACTCGAACCGTGAACCATGAGACCCACAGTCCGATGACGTACCCACTAGATCCCGACACTTCTATATTAATGAATAGTCATTAAACCCACTCAATTAGACTTAATATAGCATTTTCAGTGAATACTTTGCAACTGCAATTTCACAAGCCGAAAGGAGATAGCACATTATGTCTGCTACATTACATCGGCTAAATTGGCTCATATAACATGCCAGCTGTTACTATAATTGAATGTTGAATCCAACACGGTTGACTGCAGTGTAGATGTAGTGAGTAAAATTCAAGATCAATATAAATTCATTGATTTTCCCTTCACATGCAGAGAGTAATCGTAAGCTATATGGATATCGAACGCTCATTCCCCCATTCTATTAATATGCATGGAAAGTGAAATTATTCGTGAACGAATCTGTAACGACCTTCTGTTGATGTCGAAGAGTATTACTTCCTATACATTAATTCAACCGTCAAAAATGTACTCGGGTATATGATCATTATGCGATGAATTATAAAATCTATATTACTTGCTTCCCATCACTTAAAAGAATGTATAGGTATGGTAAGATTAAGAATCATCTCATTCATACGCACAAATTTTCCTTGGGAGAAGTTTCAATCGTCTTATTTAATTGTTTTAGAATGCACAAACATTGATAATTTACTTATTTGTATCTACTTGATTAGTTTTGTTGAAATAGTAGGGGCGTAGACCTGGGGCCCGCGACAGCCCCCCCCCCCCACCCCCTTTTTTATCGAATAGAAACGAGACGTGTAAAACATAACAAGAGAGGGGAGAGGGGGTCGGATTTTGACATTCATTAGTTATCTTCATGTCCCGCATATTGTGTTAAATTTAATGGGCACTTCGTCAAAGCCCCCAAAATGTGAACGCCATAGAAACAGTTACTTTTTTCGATTAGTTGAGAGAAGGAGAGTTGACTCATACCTGAAACTAGTTACACACTTATCTGTTGATGTCATATTAACAGTATACATGTATTTGCTTAGTCTGGGAATGTGTTGAGATTCCCATGGCGCATTATTGTACACGAGGCGATTGGGATGTATGACAAAAGCAAGGTGTTCATCTATACATGCTTCAGAAGAAAAAAAATGTTCATCGAAGTCTGATTTATACTTCACCTGTATTCACAGCACGACTTGACATTCGGAAAATCAGTGCCTTAATTCAGATTAATATACGGTCGCCACTATTTTCACGTATTCAAACAGGCTTATATCACGTTGTCAAGTTCGACGTAAAAATAGAGAAGAAAACCAATCGTTGCATCTTGAATCATCTTTATTGAGACGAACGTTCGACCTTCTCCAGTGTCATCTTAAATCTAATAACCTCGTTGCAGAAATTCACCTATATTTTAGAACATATATAACATCTTACAAAATGTAAGCTTAAAGCCGTTAAGACTATCATTTTCAATGATCCAAAGTACATAGTTAATAAACATTCACCGATGATTCATGAACGATTAATATTCAAAGTCCATTTGTGCATTGTACTACTTCGCTTACTCTGTAGCTAACTTTATCATAATTCAGTTGTATAAATGGCAAGAAGAACCCAGATTATAAGACATAAATTATTACCCGGCTTAATGATTAATTTATAAATACACAAATTTAAAAGAATCAAGAATATGAAGAAGGTACATCTCCCTTTTTTGCGATTTACCTCAATATTTACATGACTGTGAAAATGTATTTGTTTAAAGCGTAGTATATGCCAACGATATTTGTCCATGATTCAAACCATTTTTCTTGATTGAGTGTTCCGTGTTTGCGAAGCCAATACGCTAAAACGAAATTTCGATATTGATCCCGTTAATGGGTACGAAGGTCGATAACATACATGCCCTATGTATTAACAGCACTCGTGGTGTACGTATATGGACTCAGTCAGACCATTTAATTAAGACGATCTATACACAGTAAAACCATACAGGGGTTATTGCTGTTAGGACGAATTATTGTGGATGGTATCAATATTCATTCAATTAGGACAAGGGCTCCATTCTAGCAAAACGTTGGAAATCTCAATACGAAATTTCTAATAATCAAGCTTCCAATATCCCGATATTATTATCCATATATTCCGCTTGCTGTCCACATTAGTTCATCAAAAGATAATAAAATGAAATTTAAAAAAAATAGTATGTACAAATAGTAATGTAAGTAAATAGTATGTTAAAGGGTGGGCCCTTCAGCCCTTATCAAAGTATATATCCACATCAGCACACACAAAATGGAAACCAACTTACCCATTCTCAAACCAATGGTTAGAGGATGGGTGGCACAAATTAAAAGTTCCTAAGCTAAGGCAACCCGTCCCGACTAGTACCACACAAAACCTACAAAGTAAAATGTATTATGCTATAATCATGACCAACAGAAGCTCTCAACCCACATTTTGATTTTATCCATATATATTTTTTCCAATTTTAGTTGGACCATCTGTTTCATATTTTTCCAAATTACTTGAAGCTTGGGGTCAACGTTTCTGACGATAAAGTCGGTAATTACTATTTGAAATAAAATAAGCTCACGGTATAATTGTGTTATTTTAAATGTGTGGGTGTTTTTTACAACACCAATACGACGAATTTGCTTTGTGGATAATGTATAGAATTATCACGCTAATACACTAGAAAATAAATTGAAACACTGCCTTTAAAAGACATTTTAGGAACCAGTGTAGCAATAAACAGCAGTATTTAAAAAGACACAAAGAAACGGCTACTTTTTCCCCATTCGTTCAGGTACACACAATTTATTCACAATCGATATTGCCTTTTTTGAGTTTTCTCATTTTGTTTGAATTAAGGAGCCGTAGGAATAAAAACCCGGTATATTCTGAGCCAGTGCATTATAAACTTCAAGGGGACTCTGATTCCTGAATATTACATGCATGCTCGTGAGGATCTCGTGCATGGCAACGGCACACAGGCAACGAATGTGTATAGTAATAATAGTTTTAGATGTATACCTCGGTGGGAAGGAATATAATTCTGAGGGGAGGGGGGAGGAACTAACTTCACAGGCAAGCGATATCCTTTGCGAAATTCAAAAGATAACCATTCTTACGTCTCAAATTAGATTAAAATAATATCCAACTTAAATGGTTCTCCCATTTTGGAAGCATATTTAGCAAATCATGGGAAGGGGGTGGAGGTTATCGCCCCCACCCCAACCCCTCCCCGTTACGCAGCAACTACAGTTTTATAGCAAGCAATATTTAGAGTAATATAATCTGTCTGAGTAGACGCTTCGAGCGTCACTTTCAATGCATGCACGACACACTACTCTATAGATTTTCTAATTGAATTCGGGGATTATTGAAAATGGCAAGGTTATTCTAATAATGGTGCTACTTCCGACGGGAGATACATCTCGAATTCTCGATCAGTCACGGACACGGGACTGGAGAAAGTTATTACAATTGGTCGATTGATTCATCGTTAGTGCCTCGTCAACAGAATCAAAGAAATGTATGTCTGGAAAAGTTCAAAATGCGTTTTTAATTTTAATCATAATTATAGAGGTTGAAAACAATGCAAGAGCTTTTCTGAAAACGAATAGAAGTACGTAAAGAGGTTGAGAAATCATGTTGAAAGTTTCGTTGAAATAAAAAATCATTAGTGAAGGCCTACTAAAAGCGAGATTAATCTCGTTTGTATACTTCTTTTTGTTGCGTGTTTTTTTTTAATACACTATAATATAAGGAAACAATAATATCGCAATTTACTATTTTTACAGAAAAGGTTAACCTTTCGTTATCAATTTAATTCACTTTGGACGTATATTTCATCACACAAAAATGACACAAATAAGTTAACTCCTACTTTTCAAATCCTAATTAGGCTTACTTTGATGACGAGATGACTGGGGAGTGAGTTCGACGGGTATCCTATGACCTTACCCTGGAAGTTTTATTTCATCACAGATTCCATGCAAGAGAAGTGAGATCATCCTCCCTATCTTGAAACTTTTTAATACAATTTATTTAAGAGTAATATTTGCTTCTTGCGTTATTTTCACATTTACAGTCACTGTGTTCAATATATTTCAAGAGGATAATATTTATAAACAATGTATTGGGAGTAAAACGTATGTCAATAATTCAAAGTAACAAGCTTATGACGGGCACGTCTAAATTATTCAAATGAGACAAGAAAGAAGGAAAGTGACGGACGGATGGAGAGAATGGCAGACAGGAAGAGGGGGAGGAAGAGGGGGAGGAAGAGAGAGAAAGGACTCATGAAATGAGAGGAGGAACAAACTGCACCAAACCAATTAATTATGTAACTTACCTTCAGAAGTGGAATCTGTGTAGACATGCTGTAGTTAGTCTGCATCAGACCTCGCGAGTAATAGCCCGAAAGTGGACAACCGTTGACTGCAAGTGTCTTCTTACGATCAGTTCTTGACAAGACAAATGCCCTCCACTGGATGAACTTGGTGCATTCTTCTCTCTTGGTCAGTCTCGACTGGTTGGAATTCAATCCTGGAGCGCAGAATAATCTATTCTTGTCTTCAGCGTTGAGTCTGAGCGAGAGGAACTGGGAGGCATTAGCAGCTGCAGAGAGTCGCCATTGGTTTCCTCGATGGTCAGGAAAGACAGCGTCTTCGAACACGAAATTGTCGGTGTGATAATACCCTCTTGTTGTGAGTCTGACCTCCGGCTGAGCGAAAGGTGTAATCGAGACAACCTCTACACCCAAAGGAACAGCACCACGATACAGGAGATTGTCACTCCCATCCAACGGTTCGAAGGCCTTGAAACGACCATAACCTTGCTCATTCTTGAAAGAGAACTCGAATGTCTTAGAGCTGTGAGGACATGTGCGACTGTGTCCTAAAAAGAAGCGATACCGGATACGACATCCAATGATTGATGTGTCACCTTCGTTACCAAGGAAACGGTGAAGGTACATGGAGACATGTCCATCGGCTTCTTCACGGTCTCCAAGGGGATAGAGCGAGACGTAGAACTCCATTCCTGCTAACGGAAAGTTGGCAGTAAAGAAGGAAGGGTATGGTTGCTCTCTATGACTCAGCAACTGAGTGAAATCAACCGACTGCTCGAACAACGATGAACAAGATTTCATGGCAAGTTCGATGATGACGATCTTCTCCGGTTCTAATAAGAATCCTTGTCCCGGTGTGAAGAGTTCTCTGAGAGATGCAAACTCTCGCTTACCCCAGCCAGGTGACTGGGGAGCACTGAATTCAACCTGGCTTCCTTCTGTCACCAAGCTTTTGGTAGGATCGAGGATGTTGCGGGTGATGATACGGAAGTCGGCTCGACATCGTACCCCTTCGGAGGGACTTCCCCAGTAGATGTACACTCCAAGAAATTCAAGTCTCTTCCCCTCTGCATACTTGCAACTAAGATACCAATCTTGTCCTTGGTAATTAATAATGGTGGAACGGACGGAGCGAGATTTAAACTCATCGAGGTTCATTAGACCCAACTTAAAAGTGAAAAGTTGGGTATTTTCGCCGTCATTTAGAGGCAGGGTGCGATATAGTTGCAGTGTGTTAGCCATCATTTAGTCGTTTATATAGCCATATGGACTGGAATGAATTCAATCACATAATTTTTTGCCTATGGTATTGATAGCTGAGGAGATGGTACAAATAACCATCTTAATATTCAATATCATTATTGTCCAATCATCATTATGCCGTGATAAAAGAGATAAAGCATATTGTCAAGCATAATCCTTTCTGGAAAAGGTAAGAAAGGTAACTCTATGAAATTATTATCTTGATATATTCACCAGGCTTGCTACAACCATCCTTGGACAATTCGAGCACAAAATCACTCAACGGATGAAAATAAATGCTTGCAATTCACCCATGACGACATACCTGTTATTTTCCCGCGATTGAGTTGAACGATTGGAGAACAGATGCAAAGCTATATGCATTCGGTTCCATCATAGTCATATCACATACACGATGTTAATGTCGCGTTGATGTACAGTAACGATGTGAAAATATATGTAGTTTCACCTTCAGATAATATTCCAACTCTAAAGAAAAGCAACATTAGCTATTGTGTGAGGTGTTAGCTGATGGCTTCACATCGGCGGGCCAGCTTGCAGCTGAATGAATACACTATACCCTCGATGAAGGCGGCTTTATATAGGGGCCGGGATAATAACGATCCATGCATGCAGTACACGCACGCCGTCTGCTCCAAATCTCTCCTCTTTCTACCTCCCTTGCATACACTCGCACCAAATGCGTCAATCAGGAATATACCACCACCACCGATGCTCCCTGTCCGAACTCCATGGTCCTGTACAGAAATATGAAATAATATCTCCACCTTACAATCTGCCTCGCATGAAGTTGCTGTAATATACGGTGATGTCCACTTGTGATAGAGTTATATGCTTCAATACCGCCTGTTTGCACTGCAGTGTTCGTAGCGGGTTCGGTGCGTTCTACTCTTATCGATTATCAAACAAAAGAATTGCAGAACACTCTTTGAATAGTGCGACTTCACGAATGACCTTTGTGTTTATTATATGAAAGACATTAACAGAAATAGACAGGGAGGGTGATTCTCCTTTTGAAATATGGGGAAGTTGTATTATTCTCACCGCGGTGGCTCGTGTCGCCTTCTTCCGGTACAGACTCGGAGATGAAATGCACATCTCCTTGGTGAATGCATGCGTATCAGAAAAAAATCAAAAAGTTAAGCTATTCCTTTTGGTTGGATTTTCATTTTTGTTGGTATTTCTGTTTGGTCGATGCTGCAGCTTTTGGGCCTTCTGAAATATAGCCTAGAATAAAAAAAAAATATGAAACAACAGACTTATACATCGTTCTTCTGAAGCCGAATGACTAATATTACGAATAGAACAGACTCGCGGGAGATTAATAATAGGCCTGATTATTGAAAAGTCTGATAAATCTGTGTGATAAGTTAAACGGACGTGTTAACCAAGTTGTGTCCCTCATGCTCGTTGGCTCTGAACATGATGAAATGCATAAACGAAAAAAAACATATAGACCTTACACCAGTGGCATTATTGGGAAACATAAGGATTACAACAACAACAACAAAAATCATAAAATCGCCTAACGCACATTTTTTAATACTCGACTAATTTCGAGGGGTAAACATATCGCTAGACCATTTTAAATGGAGGGGAGGGGGGGGGGGGACTATGTACCGACAAGATAGCTTTAAAAATCGGTCAAGCAAACAAAGAGTGGGGGTCATGAGACTTTTCAATATGCCGACAAGGATAAATGGGTTTCGGATATGTTTTGCCAACAAACCAAAACTATTTACGACATCATTAATTCACCATTAAAAACACCTCGATGAAAATGTCGAATGTGCTGAATTGTTCAGAATATTTTAAAGTTCGTCCTGGTAAAGACTTCATGGTAGACAAAGCGTGTATCATTTATATAAACTTGAGAAAGTAAGAACGGGACGGGGGGGGGGGGCAAGGATTTTTGCCAAGGAAGATTTGTTTACAAAAATATGACTATATAGCGACCACCCATGCTGTGTTACATCATTGGGGTCGTAGCCACCGAAAATTCATATTTTTCGTCTATATAATGTTGGAAGGTGATAGGGGCAAACTACCTCCTTTCGAATATCCTAAACTGTGGATCTTTTCGACGGAGTGGAAGGTGGAAGGGATGGGAGCTAGTCGTCCGATGGGACCAAAGGGGAACATACCGATTTAGCATTCTGCAGAATATTGAGAGCTTGCATTCCCAAGTGCTTGTAATAACATAAAAGAAGGCAATTCTCATTCTAAGATAAGATAAGTTTAAAAAATATGTTATGCACAAAATGGATGATTGTATATCTTACACATTATAGTCGAGAATTTCTTGTTATAATTATTTTGAAGCAGTTTACATTTTGTAAAAATGCTCTCCATCGGCGCTCATTTTTTACTCGATAACGATTTATCGCTCCGTAGGGGGTGCTAGGCCAGTCATGCATGGATGTCAGGTTCAAATGGGGTCGCAGAAGTTTGGGAGAGGTCAGATGGTAAACAAGATCGAATCACACTCAGCGGCTGATCCAACATTTTCCCAAAGTGGGGGGGGGGGGGGTAAGCCAACGTTTGCTTTCTCGATGGGGTCCAGGGACGTTCTCGGCTTTTAGCAATTTATAACAAACATTCTCTATTATATACTAAGGACAAGAAAGGTTTTCTTTGGAACCCCTTCTATCTCTACGGGGGGGGGGGGGGGGGTCCAGTGGCCCGCTTTAATTAGGGTGTCTTCAATTTTTGAATTCATCGTTATTATTGAGTCCAAATGGCATTTCAATTTGTTTTGGGACCTTTCTGCACTTTTATTAGCAGTAATGAAATACGAGCAGGTGTCCCATCTGGTGTGCAGACAGTTCTATTCGTTTAAACAAAATATCACAATTCATAGTTTGGAGGACTTCAAGATTCTTTATTTGCGTTCGCTTCTTCAAGCATATTTCTGGTGTTGAGAACTGAAAAGGAAGAAATCAAATGACCCTTTTGTATTTGAAGTGTATTGACTCAATCGGAGAGAGCGTGTGATTTAAACACAATTCGGTTTGGAAGGTTGCTGGTTACTTGCTTCGTTATTGTAGATGACAGATGTACAAAATATTTGGGAAACACTGATTTGAAGTGCTTTTAGTTTTTATGTTTCACAATATTTTATGTTTCACGGGAAGCATATAGCCCAGTGTTTACGACTCTTTTATTTTCGTGTTTTTCGTTAATAATCCAGTGACCCTCATTCAACTCCCGATTTGGTCTTTTCAGATAATGATTTCATCCAGATAATGACTTCTTCAAGTCGACATCAGACAGTTGAGTTTGATATTGACGATGACCACCACCACCACCACCACCAAAGAGGAGACCACTAAGGCACTAGCTACCACCATACACCTAGGAGGAGACCATGACCACCACTACCACCATACACCTAAGAGGAGACCATGACCACCACTACCACCGAAGAGGAGACCACTAAGGCACTAGCTACCACCACCTTGGAGGAGACGATGACCACCACCACCACCAAAGAGGAGACCACAGGCGCTATCCACCAGCCAGGAGTAGACGATGACGACGACCACCACCACCACCAAAGAGGAGACCACTAAGGCACTGGCTACCACCACCTAGGAGGAGGCGATGACCACCACCACCACCACCAAAGGGGATACCACTAAGGCACTAGCTACCACCAGCCAGGAGGATCGAGACGATGACCACCACCGCCATCAAATAGGAAGGCACTGGCTACCACCAACTAGGAGGAGACGATGACCACCACCACCACCACCAAAGAGGAGACCGCACTAAGGCACTATACCACCACCTCAGGAGGAGACGATGACCACTACCACCAAATAGGAGACCACTAAGGCACCAGCTACCACCAACTGGGAGGAGACAGGCGATGACCACCACCACCACCACCACCAAAAAGGAGGCCACTAAGGCACTAGCTACAACCACCTAGGAGGAGACGATGACCACTACCACCACCAAAGAGGAGACCATTAAGGCACTAGCTACCACCACCTAGGAGGAGACGATGACCACCACCATGCACCACCACCACCAAAGAGGAGACCACTAAGGCACTAGCTACCACCACCTAGGAGGAGACGATGAGCACCACCACCACCACCGGGCACTACCACCACCAAAGAGGAGACCACTAAGGCACTGGCTACCACCACCTATAGGAGGAGACGATGACCACCACTACTACCCGCGCCATATAGCGGCACCATTGGAAACGAACACCACCAAAAGAATGAGCGCATGCACCCGACAACTAGTGTCCTTTTGGGACACTAGCGACAACAACGGCAGCGCAGCGCCACCAGAGGGCGTGTAAGTGTTACATAAGTGGAGATAATAATATTTTTTTATCTGAGCTGTCTAAGCTAAGCTGACTGGACTGAAAAGAAGTTTTTCTCGGAAGATTGGTCATAATGACAGATTTAAGTTGCATGGTAAGCACAACATTAATACATCCATTCTTGTTTCATGCCCAGGTTTCTTAAATTATTTTCTGTGGGTGTAATTTTCGGCTTATCTTGCGCTATCCTCACTAAGTCGGGCCGGTGTGCGATGGGTACTCAAGGCGACACCCGGCTCCGCAGCCACAGCTCCCCCCGGCACGGGCTGGTATGAAGGGGATCGCCGGGGAGCCCTATTTATGTTTGCTCACCTAATATATATTTCACTTGAAATTGACAATAGTTTTCTATTATATTTTTCCTTATGCTTGATTGCATCTTATTCCTTTTAATTATTCTATAGAGTTAGTGGGCCGAAGGTTTCTTGATCTTCAAAATTTGAGCAAGCAGCATGCAATGTCATTTTCACAAGCGCCGTGTTCTCATTTTGCATAAACAAAGGCGCACTCGTCCACTTTACACGCAGTTCAGGATTTTTGATGTGACAGTTAGTATTTCAAGACTGGTAGAAAAAAGTACTGAAATGGAACATTTCTCTTGTGTTGGCCCTCGCGTACACAGATAACGCGTGGCGCGCGCGCCACGCGTTCCTGATGGGCCCGACCTAGCGCCACGCGTTCTTTAAAAAAAAAAAAAAAAAAAAAAAAAAAAAAAAAATCAATTTTTTTTTTTTTTTTTTTTTTTTTTGAAAAATCAGAAAATTCCGGATTTTCTGGTCCTAGAAATCCCCCAAAATAGAATATTCTGAATTATTCGTAAGGGTTGGCAGGTATGGTATTAAAAATTCATCAAATTACTTGTAATACTTGTAAAAATTTTAATTTAAAAAAAAAAAAAAAAATTTCCCTCGGGTCGCGCCACGCGTTTTCTATTTCTTGGCGAGAGGCCTGTAGTGTGATGTTCTCACTCTAGCCTCACTCATCCGGCATAGCCGTATGTGACCTTTCAAACATTCAAGGCAGCTTTCTCCTTTAGGCTTTACTGCTCCCAAACTCTTGGACAGGTTCCTTCCTTATCTGAAATCTCTCCCAAGAGTCCCAACAGACAATATAGGCTAACAGTTTAAACAGATTTTAAAGACATATGTAATATCTATTCTGAAACTGGTATCCAATGAACCGACACCGTCACAGACTCACGGTTCATTATCTTGTGTATCTTTTTAAACTTTTCTTGAATGTTGACCCAGGAATAGCATCTCAATCACTTTTTATCCAGTGACATCATTTAATCAGTGATATCACATCACATGTTGTACTAAATAAGGTGCAACACTAAAACAAAAGTTACCTTTGAAATTAGAGTCATTTGGTGAAATTACAACATCCATCAAAATCGTCTTTTGGAAATATTGCAAACACAAGATGTACGCTGAATCAAAAGTGACAACCCTACCGTATACAGACTGTTTATGTGGGATTGTGTAAATTTTTGCTAATCAAACTATAGACTGATATTTTCCTTTTCTTTTCTTGATTGGAATGCACAGATGAGACTTCTTTCAGCCCAGCTACTTACATGTCATTATTGAGGGGCATCTCCCCGCTTGGCCTTGGGTACAATGATCTACTTGGTCTCCTTTCTTGGTTTGATTTGTGGAGTTATAACAGTATCAGGGAGAGGTGCCGGTAAGTTACTTTTTTCTGGCCAATCATTGAAATAACATGTAATTTGAGCTATCTCAACTTGTTAATGATCCTATCCAATGAAAATACAACCTTATATCAATGGAAACTGGAAAGCTGAATGAACGTAGAATACAAAATAAAGGAATAAAAAAAGTTTACCTTTCAGTATTGCACAAAAGCAAATTATAACCTTATTTTCTGTACCCCTCCATACTACGGGTCAACCAGGGTAAAATTTGCTGCAGTTACGGTGATGACCTAACATGTGGACCCAATTGGCTCGCCTATACAGCTGAGGGGGATGAGCCATACTTAATTAATGCAAATTCATTGTGAATATGTGTACTCCATATAAGATGATGTCATCAAGACGATAGTTTTTTTGGGGGGTCGACACTCGACAACTTCCGATTTTCAAGATTTAGTTTTCAAATTTTCAGAGAGCTGTTTTTCCTCTGAAAGACACAAAACTATATGTAGCATATGATTTATATTATTTGGCTTATAAGCTTTCCGTTCATATATGATTCATCTATTTCTATTTTTTATTTCCAACATGGCCTTTAATTTATATACAATTTTACATAACAAGGATTGCTATTTTAATTACAAATACGAGTAAAAAATCTTTACTTTGCGGCCACACTTGTGGGAAGTCATTCATAACCATCTGTCCTTGCTCAGTACCCATCTTTTTTAACAGTTCTCAAGATATCAATTTGCTACTTGTTCCAAAAACCCATAATTGTTCCATTTGACTACTTTTAGATGAATCTGAGATGGTTTCTCTCTCAGATTGAAAGATAACGTTGGTCTCCTTTTACATTGCAGATTTGAATTGCACTGGTAATACAACAACATGCATTAATAATGAGGTATGCAGAGATGTCGGATGCGTCTGCCCCAGCAGCCATTATGGTTCTAAATGTGAATTCAAAAGTAAGTACATGAAGAGAAAATGTCTGATGTCTTTGACCATTTCCCTGATGATTTATTCTGAACAGTCAACAGCAAACTAGATTTTTGAAAAAAAAATCACCATACATGTTTTGCTTTAAATGTTTAGTGTTCCATGCAGGCAGTAAACATCAGCTTCAAATATATACTTCTGTGAAATGATTAACATATGTAAAAAGTACCCAAATTGTACTCTAAATACAGGTAGAAAATAGATTACTTGCTGTGCACTTTCACACACCTGCTAACCTGTAAATCAAAAGACATACCGGTACTTGATATTCTTTTATTCTTCAAATCTGTTTGCAAAAACTATGGTTCATTGTGAACTTGCTTTACATGTGTCAATAAATAATTAAAAAATAGGCGTGACTTGTGTGAGGGAACAATTTCAAAGAATAAATGCACTTTGAAATATTAGTGTTCTATATTGTTACCATCCTTTTTTTTTTTAAGGGCCTTTCTTCATTCATATTTACATTTTTTAGCTGTTATATTAAGTTGTACTGTATTTTCTCCTTTCAGTAACCAATGCCCTGATCATAGTTTTGCTTTGTATACTACCACCCGTCTCTTGGCTTGCTGTCTGCTGGTATGGAGCACATTCAAGTAAGGAGATGTGTGTTTTTTATGGGAAAGATAATAGGGAAAGATAATAAAAGGAACAATTTAAATAAATCTCATCACAAAAAAAGATAAAATAGTTTGCCTTAAAATTAATTTGAAAGGTTTTTATTAAAGGTCGTTAAAAAGTGTCATGTGGACATGAGGCATGAGCATTATACAAGAACCCATTATTATTATTATACAGACTCATGTTTCCATAGAGGATGTGCTGATAAGATCAACCACAATTTTTTTCTTTTTACCTAGCAAAGTGTATGATTCTATTTGATATTCAATTCCTTTATTATGTATGATCAATTAGAGATAACCTCTCCAAGTTTCTGAGTCCTACTGTCGTCCATATATTGCAGTGTTTTTGTTTCGTCATAATTTTCCTCCAGATTTTAGAGATTTATATGATCAAACTAGTCAATGTTTCTCTATTTAAAAAAAAAAAATTTTATGTAGAAGGAGCATCTGGTCTGTGGCCTGGTTCACGTGAAAGAAGCAGTGATGAATTTGAGCGGGAAGCAGAAGAAGAAGTCATCGAAGATCATCCTCCGCCAACCTATGATCAAAGCAAGAATTACGACACGGCTGGAACATGTGAAGGCGTGAACGTGACGATCCAGGGAGGACCGGGCTCGGACGATGTGGAACCCCCGCCATCGTATCAAGAGTGGACACGGAAAGCGGCAAGTCTCAGAAACCAAGAGATAGGTCGTGGTGGAATCGGTCTCGTAACAATCAGCGATAATCTCCCGGTGACCAGTCATCATGGGCCAGAGAATGTGGAGAGTGAAGACCAATGTTAGGTCATAGACTACAATCAGTCTACTAATTCATGCTGCAAACAGGGTTAAAACTATTTCCTAACATGCACAATGAATTCAATCTTCAGGGAGGACCTACCCTTGGTTCGTCGACAAGAAATCGTTGACACCTATTAATAACATGATTAGATATGCTGCTTATCCAGTTAATATACACTCTTAGACTCACTCCCTTTTTTCTCTGTAGAGATACACATAGGAACACTTTTGGGTTAATATATATCTCTTCATTCTTCGTTCCACTTTATTTGTTCACTTATCTCGAAAAAGTATTCATGTGTAAGTAGGGATTGGTCATTTTTCGGCTGAATTTCAAAATACTGAAATGGGTGTGATGGTTTATTTCCAGGTGCATGCTTAAGTAAGGAACACCATAAATTGTTCAGACTTGTTCAGGTATGCCACAGTAAATGTAACAAATGTAGATGTATTCAATGAGCTCTGCGTTATAAGATACAAAAAATGTGAAACCTCTTACACACACCTCGGTTCACCGAGTCATGTCTGAACCAAGCTGCATGCTGTCTCAGCGAGCAGATTAATGTCATCATCTTCGCAAGTGGTTTTCTGGATATGCATGCTGTCTCAGCTCAGTAACAATGGTGCTGATAATGGTCAACCATTTAAGATATTGTATCACAGGCAATGCCCACTCTACAGACATTGGCTTGTACACTGTAAACTCTGCGAGCTGAGCATAAATGTATAAACAGTTCATTGATTTTCATTAGAAACAGGGTTGCTACATGATGAAAGATCAAGAATTAACAATATATATTTTAAAAAGCAACAAATCTTTGATCATTTTTTTGGTAAAAAAGTGTGAAAATGAATTTCATGTCTGTTCAGCATTATTTTCATTTGCAAAACAGTCTGGACGAAATTCATTAGCATTTTAAACTTGTTTTCAAGCTCGGCTTTACATTATTTAAGCTAAATGATAAAATTAAAACTCTCTTGGGCACATACCAAATAATGAACAAAGATTTGTTCATTATAAAAAGATACATTGTTAATTCTGTTACTTTACAGATCTCCATTTGAAACATTCCCCATGTAAATATGAATTCAGATAATTACATATTTATTGGAATAACTTAGCACTTAATGTTTAAAACTATCATCAGATCAAAAATGCATAAAATCTGACCGCAATATACATGTGTGTATATAAGAAATGTTGTTTTCCAGCAACAAAAGCATTGACAACTCTTGTGGGTAAATTAACATTTTAGAAATCATTTGAATGAGAGAAATAATTAGCATAGCTATTAAATTCATAATGGCTTCTTTTAGGTATAAATAACTGCAGATTCAGCTGCATATATTTGTGTGTTTTTATGTATTCATCCATATTTCTACATTCGTTTGAGATTGAAATCATTTATATTTTATATATATATTATTTAGAGATGACGAGGCTGAAAGGGAGAGGGAGAGGGAGGGGGGCTAAGGTTGCTGAAGTTAGCCCCACTTCAGAAATAACAAAATTTAAACAAATCAATCATCGATGCCTTAAAGGTACTATGTCCCATTTGCAGGCCAAACAAATGAAAAGGTTAAATTCTAATGGCATTTGAAAGATAATAATTATTTAGAACTTCCCTCAAAACAAAAGGGTTGTAAAATGGCTTTTTGTGGGAAAATAATGACCATTAGTTGTTGAATCAACATAGTGATTGCGTGTGTAATTGGGTTTTTACAGACCTGTATCAATCAGATATGATTATTTAGGTCTAGGGACCGACCTTTAACATCACCATCCGAAAGACGGGACTCAGTTTCAAACCTGTGTCCTCGGCTGAATTAGCAACTTCCATTTTTAGCTGGATTACAGGTGCAGGCCACACTGCCCCTGAGTAATAGTCTGATTTTCAGACCCTTGTACCGAATGGTTATACATTTTGTGCTGCACAAAGATTCAATCAGTCTAATTTTGGCCATTACAAGTATTGGGTTATTGGTGTAAACAAATGCTCATGTACCTGTTACAGCTCATTTTATGTATGTTATTACCAAAGAAAAAAAGATGTCAGTCAGTTACTCAATAGTGTCTGACTGTGAAGTCTAGAAGGTTAACATGTTTCCTTTAAAGACCGTCAATACTACTGGGCCAGAAGGGATTAGACCACCCAGACAGGTCACTGACAGGTGGCTATCTAATCAACTCGGCTCTCAACTAACATAGGAGAAAGAGGATCATGGGGGACCAACAGGCACCGATTGGGGAAGTTTTCTATATAGAGGGAGCAAGTAGCTACAAGTAGGACAGTGGGGCTTTACTGTTTAAATTTCACAGATAGGACATACATGTACATGACATATTCATGATTCCTGCAATATATTATACTCTCTTTTGTCAGGAGAGTGCCTTTTGGAAGGACCGTGCAAAGATTGTAAACCTCAACTATTTTATTGACAAGTCAAGAAAATGAACCATTGTACCATGGTGCTCCAGCTGAACAATTATAAATGCAATGGAATTTTACAATATCTCATTTGATAACAAGACTACCCATATGTACAATAGTGTGCAGAAAGAAGCAATATCACGGTTAAGCATTCTGAAAGTTTAATAACCATTTTGAATATGTACTCGGTTAGCAGGGTTGCTTTAATTTTTAATTTTTTTAATACAGGGTTTATAGCTATATCTACTTCCTATATCTCCAAAGGAAATAAGTGCCTGTGTGCTGTAAATTAATGTTTCCTGTATGTGTGGCTGCCTGATGTGTGTGTGTGTGTGTGTATGTATTGATTTGTGTATGTATGTGCCTAAATTGCATGAATTTGGAAAATGGAGAATGACTTTTCATGTACGATTCATATACTCTGAATTATGAAATATGAATATTATTATTAAACTATAGTTTTGTAAGTTGTATTTGATAATCAAGTTTAATTCCTTGTCAGAATTTAGGGGGAAAATGAATAGAAAGTTTGCCATTCACTATTACCAGATGATATCAAGTTATTGTGATTTGTGATTAAACTACTCAGTTGAAATGGTTCAAGGTGATATAGGTAAGAAGGAAACAGCCAGCAAACTAGAGATCATAAATGATTTATAATGTTGTTATATGATATTTTATATTTCTCATGTCATAGGCACTGGTTTTCTATTGAAATGATGCATAAACTGCCAAACTAAACTAGTTATAAATTAAATTGAACTGAAAATTCATAATTCATTACTGAACTATAGTTATAAATACATTACGACCTCTCATCAGATATGTAGACTTCCGAGAGCTTGAGAGAGAAACATGTAATGAAATACAATTTTTTATGTTACTACATTACATGAACTACTACTCATGACATTAGAGCCATAAGGCCATTGGAACACACAGAGTTACTGCCGTATGGTAAGTAAGTAAGAGGGCAGATATGTGTGTGATATATAGCAGGTGCTTGTAAGATCAAGCTATATTTTATGATTAATATTTACCTTTTTTTACACAAGATATATATATATATATATATATATATATATATATATGTATAATGTATTCATCGTTATTGTACAAACTTGCGAGATTTGTATATTTGGTATCAATTCTTATCTTTTTTTACACAAGAAAATAGATTTTAATATGAAAACATATCTCTATTGTATTTTCTCAGCTTGTCTATATGTATGATGTCAGTAATTGTTTATATGCCATTGCGGTATTATGATACATGCTCCGGCAACAAATTGCTTGTGATGACATTAATCCTGACTAAACCAGTTCCTAAATTCAGCCCTGGATCAAACACTAGACCTTACCCTACCCCAAACACTCCATCCAACCTAAAACACAATTACAGTCCTAACTCTGACCCTATATATTTCTATATAATATATGTAATACCGGTAAATCCTAGAGTAATCGTCGCCAGAGCAAATGTCGGATCACCGCCAATGGCATGGCTCGAGATCAAAGAAAAGTGGCAATTGAGGTGTGAGTACTCCCATTTTTATGACCCAAAGGATTGGCATTCAGGATAAACCCAACACTTTCTCATTGAATAGTCATCATAATGTGTACAAATCAAGGACAACTTTGTTAGGTAGGAAAGGAAACTGGTTATTCTTTACCTTTTGCTTTGCTTTTTTTCCCCCACTTAACTTTCTCTCTTCTTTACCTCTCCACAAATATACCGGTATTTAACTTTAATTAAGCCCCTGTGATCCCTCCTAAAATGTCCAGTGTGGATAAAGACCGATCAGAAAGGTTAAAACTTGGAGAAAAATATCTAATAAATATTTTCATATACTTGTATGACAGAAAGTGAGAAACCTGAACGAACAATGCAGTAACCTCAGCCCCGGACCTACAGCTATTTATTTTCAAGTAGCCTCAGAAGCCTAGATGTATTTATTAATATAGACTATTGATATATTTACATAGTAAGTCTATCAAGAACCAAAATACCAATGAGAAACAAAGAGATTTGATTGACATTGTAGGCCTATACTTTCATCTGAACTTTCTAAGGCTAGAGTCTAGGGGAAAATTCGAACAGAGACGAAAAATCCGTCTGGATTCTGAGCTCAACGCTGTATATGTACGCAGTGTGACATTACCATAAATCAACAAAGGATGTGGGTTAACTTACTTACACATGGGGGTAATCGTAAACGAATTAGGGTGGAATGGTTTTGATTTTGATTTTGGTTTTGGTTTTGATTTCTCTGTATAATAAATAATGAGTCATGACTTTTTTTCAGAAGAAATGGTTGCAAATAAGATTTTTCCAAATACATTTTATGCTGGAGAATTATTGATATTATTGCAAAGATATATTTTTAAAATAATTGCACCCCTGTAAATAATTGTCTACTCCGTATTTACGATGATGTCATTCTTAAATTAATACACGTGCATGCCCTCTACTTCCAACCGCGACAAGTCTCGACGGGATTGCACAACTCCATGAAACTGATCGAAGGGAGAAAATACTATAAATCATGGATGAAAATAGATATATCAACCACTTTACAGAACAGAGGCATAAGAGGCCCATGAGGAAAAAGGACGGACGGGAAGGTAAATCTTACAACATTGTAAGTTTAACGTGCAAGAAAGAATCTCGCCTGTCTTGAGAGCAGAACGGGACAACTCGGCGAAACCTTGCCAGCCCGAGGCCGAGAAGACCGAGGTAAGTGCCCAGAGATTAGGCTAGTGGAAGGGGGCGGGGATCAGTCAAGAAGTACACCATGGGCCATGTAGACGTAGGCATACCAATTTTCGTATGATCGTCTGTCACTGTGACATAATAAGTCATTTTGGGGAAGGGGAAATGTGTTTTCTCACATGTTTTGTCTGTACCTTGTACCTTGTGTTTGTCTCTTCCGAAAGGTCCGCTAGGAACTCTCACTGGAAGTATAACTTGGCGTGACGACATGATAGTCACTATACCCACGTATTTTGTCTTTCATGCATGTTTTATTATTAATATTAAGCTACCTGGTAGTATATTGAAGGCAAAATAACACACTTAAATTAAAACAAAATAATAATAATAATAATAAAATTTAATTTTTATATAGTGCTTAATTAATACAAATGTCTCTAAGCGCATTACAAAAGACTTCTTCCCTAACTCAGATCAGTTTAAATTCTAAATTCATTTTAGTTCTGATAGAAATCAAGTTATAAAAGAAACCCGTACCCGGTCAGATTCCCAGACATACAGCATAGATCTATAGTCTAATCACATAAACCCGTTAAAACAATTCGGTCTCTGACATCGACGGTGCATTGTTCCGCTTAGACCGAAAGCTTCAGTCTCTGATAATAATAATAATACTCAGTTCTTTTATAGCGCATAACACATTACAGGATAGCATGTCCCTATGCACTTCAAATAGAAAGGAAAGAATTACAAGAAAAAGTCATACACATTAGAAAATCCACTTAGAAACAAAGAAGTACATGTAGTGTTGGACGCTGAGTTCATGAGTGTACAATTTTAACATTGAATAAATACGTTTTAAGAGAAACCTTAAACTTGTTCAAATTATTGTGATTTTTCATGGAATCTGGAAGTGAATTCCATAAGACTGAGGAGGCGTGCATAAAAGAACGTTCACCGTATGTTTTTGTTGAGGTGGGAGGAACAATAAATAATGATTTTGAGCTTGATCTTAAAGTACGAGTAGGCCGATATAATGATAAAAGTTCACATAAATAAGAAGGGGCAATGTCATGAAAGCATTCGTATGCAAAAACTAATAGTTTAAACAAAATACGGGAGTGGACAGGAAGCCAATGCAGATTTCGTAGTACAGGAGTAATTGATTCGTATTTCCGAGTTCGGGTCACTAATCTTGCCGCTGAATTTTGAATAGTTTGCAATTTTTTGATTTGTCGCTGAGGAAGACCGAAAAGAAGACTGTTACAAAAATCAATGTGGCACAAAACAAATGCATAATGACGGTTGTAATTCCGCTGAGATTGCATCTGGCTCCTCTGACCGCCTCTATACAGATGGGGAAGTTTGACAAATGTCAGTTTTATTAAAGAATTTCCCATACCGCATTGTTATTTCTGTCTAATAATCGCAATTAACTCAACTTTCCCAAGTTATTGTATTTTATCCACCTCTCAAGTCTTGTGATTTACTTTATTATGAAATGACATGATTATACCCTATATTCAACCATTTTCTCTTTTTTTCCTTTCAGACTTTACTCTTAGGTACCTTTTGTCAAGAATTAGTTACCTTCATATCACATCATGGTGCGCCGAGAAGGGACCCGCTTTGGTATAAATACCAATCACAACATCAAGCGTCTGCCATTTCCATACAAGAATGTCTACGCACAACAGAATGTTGTTGTTGAGGCAAAGTTGGATGCAGAAGGTTGCCAGTCAAAGAAACAAGCTGAGATGACTCTCAAGAAACAGCTTCAGAAAGACACATTTAATACCCAACCTGGTGGTAAGATATGAATTTAGGATTGAAATACTTAATATTTACTTCCATTAATCATAAACAATCAAAATGATTCTTTTCATGTGACAACACTATCAGAAGGAAGTGGATACCTCGCTAGTGGGGTTTATACCTTGAATGTACTTTTCATTGATTGCCAGAACTAAAGTAAGAGTAATAGCTTCCACTTTTCTTTGGAAGAGCTTAAAGACATTTATTCAACAACAGAACATCATCATTATTGTTATACTTCTACTTCTACGACGATACTCAGCAGGATCCATAAGTCAGGATGTAGTGCTGAGGAATAAACTATCTAGTTCTTGGTCTAGATGCTTGGTGGAAGCGCTCCCTTGAAGCCCTCCAGTGAAGTAGCGTCAAGGGTGATCTTTGAAAGAACATATATATATATATACTGAAGGCACAGTAGAAGTCTGCTTATGGTGAACTCTGGTAAATATTGGTTATCTATGAAAGGCAATAAATTATAATTAAATGTTAAATCACAGGCAAGCAAAAAAGTTGCTTTATGCGTTTAATGTAATAATAACATTATGTTTTTTCAATTGAATTAGACAAGACATCAAGGACAATCCCGTTCTCTCTGAACAAGGCCAAGAGATGGGAAGTTATTGAAGATATCAAGGAAGAGAGTCACCATGGCAACCATTACATCATCCGAGAGCATCACATGCTTGAAAGGTCATCTCGTTGGTATGCTTCTCACGCCTGCGTCCAAGTCTTTGACTCCTCAGCTGAGACTCCGCTCAGATCACCCAAGAAGAAATATGCAAAGGCTACCGACCTCATCAAGATGGACAAGACTGAGGGAGTGGTCAAAGAGGAAGCAGATTTCGGAAAGAAGAACTGCAAGCGATCAAGAAAGAGGAAAGCACGTCAGGTTGAAGAGGAAGCTGGAAGTTTAATCCAATATGATGTCAGTCGGGCCGCACCAAGAGAAACCTATCAGGCCTGTGCTATATCTTCCTCTAATTCAGGTAGGTGTCATTACTGCTTCAATGTCATGCTGAATGTTCGACACATGCACTGGTCATAAGTGGTCATGGTCTAAAATGAACCCTGAACCTAAAACTACAACTACACCCAACTCTAACCCTAAACCTACCCTATAATTCATTCAATGCTTTGGCAATGTAAAAAAAATGACGTTAATATTGATATTGATATGAATTTCATTGACCTATGATACACAATACTTAAAAATCTAGTTTCCTCTAGCATACTCTCCTTAGTAGTAATGGGAAAAGAGTTGCTAGATCAATGTTGTTACCTTTGCAAAAATCTATGGATAGTTAAGAACTTATTATATAGAAGCTCGTACAAAAAATGTAAGCTCACCTTATCTCTATATTTTAACTTTTTTGTACAGGTTGCAGACATAGAAACAGCAGGAATCGATCAAAGAAGTTAGATCAGTGCAAAATGAATGACTCCTTCTGCGATGGTTTGTGGCAACTCTCTGATAATTTCATAGATGAAGAAGAGGAGGAGGAGTACTTCCAGGTGGAAAACGAGGATGTACCTTTTCAGATTACCATGGAAACCAAGGAGGCAGAGTCCTATGATGTTGCCATGGAAGCCTTGGTGAGTGGATCCATGAGTTTATCAGCTGTGTGTTACCTGGACCATGGAAGACCCTCACAGTGTAAGCCAGTGAAGTCTACCAAGAATCGGGTGTTCCTTGTTGATGAGAAGGATGCGTTGGCTGCTATCCAATACCAGATCCCAAATATAGAGAAGAGGAAAGAGACGAGAGCCGCGAAGAGAGCCGCTAAGAGGCGAGCAGCCAAGAATGCCAAGAAACATGCCGAGGTGGAGTCAGTGAAGGAACCAGTAGAACCACCACCACCACCACCACCACCACCACCACCACCACCTACTGTCCCAGTGAAACCAAGTGAAGTCATCACTGTACAGGCCGATGATGTCACTGAGGAAAACCTGAGAGGAAAGTTTGGGGATCGCTTCATAAAGGGTCAATGCATGCCTCCTCGTTTTGCCATCAACATCAGCGAGAGTGTCATCGAGCATCTAGCAACCAACCCTGGCAATCCTGCTCTATCTAAACTCCTCCAGCAGACTGGACACCACATCTTCACCATCCTGGAGTGTTCACTAGATCCCTGGCAAGTGATGAGACATGATGGGAGACTGGTGGAGAGCATCAGAATGAAGGTCTCTGGGGTCGATGAAGGACAGGAGACATTGACAGGTGCCTTGTCCCGACTGAAGAGTGATAGAATCACAGACGTGGTTGATGCTATAAGCCAGTCAGTGGCACTGCTACCAGCCGACAGGTAAGATTAAATTTCAGTTCAGGGGCCCGTTTCATAAAACTTATTACCGTATCTATAACAAATGCTTAATTTCTATGATTAATTTGCTCTCAGCCAATCAGATGCCTTAATTTCAGTAGCTTGTAACAGTAGCTAACTTGTTATTGATATCAAGTTTATGTAACAGGGCCCTGGTTGGTTACTGGTGAGGGCGGAACTAGATTAACAGAGCTGCCAACCATTCCGTTTTTGCCGGAATTACTCCGTTTTTCCCTCCAAATTACGGCATTACATTTTTTCTTCATAAAATACGTTTTTTAATTTTTTTTTTTTTTTTTTTACATACCGCCCGTCAAACAACTGCCCTAAAATGGTGATTTGATCACAAATTCAATAGAAAACTCAATTTAAAACATACCTGAAAAAGAAAAATATTCTCAAAAAGAATGAAATGCCGATAATACCAAAATAACCACCAAAAAAATTCCTCCTTGTATGGAAAAAACAGCATGATGATTGAACATTTCTTCATTGGAAGTGTGTCGCGCGTGGTTGTAACTTTCGTTTTTATGAATTCCTTTTTTTGGCTTGAAATTCCTTTTTTTTGCCATCATGATTCCTTTTTTTGGTCGCACAAGTTTGGCAGCTCTGGATTAAAAGCATTCTTTCAAACTCAAATTCTTTTTAACATGAACAAAAAAACTTCACATTTGGCACATGTTGTTGTGTTGTTGTTTTAGTTTTTATAGCATGTATCATTCATTTATGAATATTTACATGTGATATGTTGTGTTAGGTTTGGCGTCAAGATAATCCAAAATTCCAAATTGTGCAAAAGAAGTGAAAATCTACTCTAAATGTTTGCCATACAGTGAAACCATTCTATTTTGTAAAGTGCTTGCTGACATTTTTCAATTGTATTTATTTCTTTCAGCTACCTCATAGAAAAAGAAGTTTCCTGTTATAGCACCAAGCCTACCTTAGTTGTTGGTACTGTGCAGACTACGCTTGGCTGGCATTACCATACAACCAATGCTAATAAAGCTATTCAAACAGCACAGGTAAGAATCATATATGTTTGAATGTCATGAAAAGAAAAATTAACCCTCCATATATATTTTGTCTGATTTGAAAGTACAGAAAAGGTAGTAAATTGATTCACATAAATGTGGAGATTATTGTAAGAACAGGAAAAGAATAACATTTATTTGGAAATGTGAGACTACTGAATTATTTTCTCTCTTTGGCAATATAATCAAAATGTAAACAGGTATAAATATCACACAATGAGATATCTCCCATTTGTTGTGTATGAAAAAATATTTTAATTATCCATAGCTTTCTTAATGCTTGTCTGAATTTTCTGAAATGTATACTTATTTATTCTTTTATTGTTCCTGCTCTCATCCTGCTCAACTTTCAATTGGTTTATTCCTCTTGTCGCTAAGCGACTGAGTTTAGCATGGCATTTTGTATGAATAATCATTGTGAACTATATGCTTCTTTTCCATTGCCCTGACTTACAGATAAATGACGAGGAGCCTGAAGGTTGTTTGGTGTCTTGTGGGGCATCCAATTCTTGTGAGTCATGTAGCATCTGTTATGAGGAGCTGAATGAAGACTACCGGCATGGTACTGCTCTTGTTGCCTGTAATCATTGGTTCTGCGATGAATGTTGGAGGAGCCATCTAATTACTCAGATCAACCAAGGAAATATTCACATCACATGCCCTGTAAGTATTGCCACAGTTTCTGAAAAACTTTCACTGCAAATGGTGTAGAATCAAAAAGAACTTTGATGTAAAACACTGAGTTAGATGATTTTGTAGCCTTTGAAAATAGAAGATGTAGATTATGCTTCCTATACACTGCATTAGTATACAGGTACTGGTACTTGTGGCACGTGGTTCTTGGGTTAGTCCAATAGAAATTATTTTTTTTAGGTATTAAGTAATTTTCAACATTGACAATTTGATTTTTAAGATTAGAGGTCTTATTATAAGAATTTTTTTTTTTTTTTACACACTTTGTTGATGTTGATGTCTTTGTTATTCCGTTGTAGGAGTATAAATGCACCGCGTCTGTGGACAGGGTCACCTTGATGTCCTTGGTGCCTTCGAGACTCTTCTCTCGTCACCATACCAGCCGGATGAACAGTGCCCTCATGAGGCGATCTGAGCTGCATTGGTGCCCGAGTCCGTACTGCGGTCGATTACTGAGTCTGTCCCATCCAAACAGACTGGTTGCTGTAAACTGCGAATGCGGTACATTCTGGTGTTCCGGATGTAAAGAAGAGGCTCATTGGCCGGCTTCATGCAAACAGGCTAAGCTCTACAGACGCGAAGCAAAGAATTTGTTCAGTACGTATCATTAGACATTCTTCAGAAATCGGGTCATTTTGTTGCTTTTTTGGTAGACTAACTAGTATGATTAAAGGCAACTTTTTCAAATTGTGTAATCTTGGTACTAGATATAATTAAATGCTTTATTACAATTTCTTAACTTTATAGAACAAGGTCAATAATAACTTTTATAAATGTAATGCTTCCTGGGAGAAATTTCAATAGTTTAAATATATTTGTTGCTTACACCCAGTAAATATGATCGATTGATCAATAAAGGTCAATAATGTTATATGTTTTGACAGTGACTGATGATGAATACTATAAAGAGCGTTACATTAAAAGCATCATTTAACAATGTTAAACCTGAGATGCATGGCCCTACATGGTATCAGTGTCTGTGATATGGTGTAATATTGAAGCCCTAAAAAAATGCGCTTCAAAATGATCATGAAGTGCCTCAAAAAATACAACTTTTTGAGTGACCGGGTTTACCTACACATTTTTCCCAATAGACCGTAGTGTAATCAAAACTGTTCGGAAAACGCAAAATGAAATTTCGATTTTTAATCATGAATATTTTGATAATCAGACAGGGGATCGGCTTGTAAAAGTCATGGGGTTCCTGACTGACCTAAAGGTTTATTTTTATCATTGCCACATGAGCTAAATCCATGATTTTGTTTCAGAATCTGAGACAAAGTTACCAGATCCCTTTTTAAGGTTTGGACCTAAGACCAGTATGCCATTTCACCGAATCCATGATAATGCCAAACACTGTTGTCTTGAAAGTTAATTCATTGTTTTTGATATCATTTTGTTGATGCAGAGAAGAAAGTCGAAGATGGATGTATTCGTTACATCAGTGCTAAGCCTTGCCCTCGATGTGGTTACCCAATTGAGAAGTACTATGGCTGCAATGAAATGGTATGCAAGTGTGGACACTCTTTTTGCTGGGATTGCGGCAAAGCCTTTGATTCATCTCACTACAATTGTCAGTCAAGGAAATGGCTAAATAAGGTATGAATAAGCTAAGTGTATATTTTCCTTCGAAATAACACGATTTTGATCGTGCTTTACATCTGCAGATTCATATTTTCACTGTGTGTTTTAAAGGCTGTCTGTACTAGTTTGGCTAGGATGGATTAGACAGCCAGGGCGGTCACTCACAGGTGGCTATCTCACCAAGTCAGCTCTAAATTAACATAAGAAAGAGAGGATCATGGGGGACCAATGGTCACCGATTAAAGGCATTGTTTCTATATAGATGGAGCAAGTAGCTACAAGTAGTACATGTACAGTGGGGCTTTAAAATCTTTTTGATTTTTGTTTCCCTTTCTTTTAGGCATGCAACAGTAGAGTAGTCTGTAAATGTAACTTGAAATTTGGAGGTTGTGGGTTCAACTGAGCCTTGTATGGCACTCATGATCTTTCACAAGATGTAAATGTACATTTGTCACTTTGTCACTTATAATTTAGGTGTAATGAAGGTATATGCTGTGTGATGTGAGCACCACAAATGGTAGCCTAGCTAAAGTCATTGTAATGTAATGTGGGATGCCCCGAATGCTGCACAGGAGTCGTTAGTGACATCATTATTTTTCTTGGTTTTAATAGTATGATTTATAGCGTTTCCTTAGTACAATGCCCAATATTTAAAATGCTGATGATAATGAGTAATAATCAATATTATTTAACCTCTATGAAACTAATGTACCCATGTTTGTTATCAGGTTAACAAACTCACAAACCAAAGGACATTTCCTTTTTTTCGTTTCAGGTATATTCCATTCAGCCTGAAGACATTGTAGAAAAGACTGCCGTTGAGCTCGCTATGCTCCATCACAGAGAGAGGACCAGCGCTGCCTGCCATCGTCGTATCAGAAGTGCAAGGAAATTGGCAACCAAGATGGTGAGTTTAAAACCACTTTATCCATGTAGTGTGTAAATCAATCAATATCTCTAAAACTATGAAATTTGTGCCAAAATGTCTTCACCAGAAGCCAGAGGACATCTTTCATGTAATGTCTTTGGCTGATACGTTAGATTTTCAAAAAATAATATCTTCAATATCAACAATATTTAAAAGCTTATCACTAATCTATGCCATATGAAGAAGAAAAAAATCTCTCTCTTTGGTGTTTTTTTTTTTATTTGGTTTTCATGTTGTTGCTAAAATGCTTGTCATTAAAATGCTTGTCATTTGCCACTACTGTGGAATAGGAGAAAAGTCAATAATAATAATAAAATAAAAACATGCTTATAAAGCGCTTACCACCAAAGTCTCTAAGCGCTATAACAGATAAAATACAATGATAAACAATTACATATTAAACAAACCAAAAACTTACAAATAAACCTACAAATTACAATACATATAAAATATACACCAATGTGAACAGAGTGAGTTCATCATCAAAAGTGATTTTTGAATAAATGTGTCTTAAGACAAGTTTTGAATTGGTTGACAGTCTGACAGTGTTTGATATGTTAAGGTAGTTTGTTCCGAATTTCAGCAGAAGCTTTGCAATGATTTATAATTGATTTGTATTCTATAAGCAGAATGTTAATACTCTCTGATAATTAACTGCATTTCAGTTGAAGACTGAGAGAGACCAATCAGGGAAGGATTCAGAGAGTACCTCAACTGTGTCTATGACCACCAGTGAATCCTGTCGTCAACTCATAGAAATGAAGCAAACTCTTGTTGAGGTTGCCAACTTTGTCTCAGAGGTAGGTTGTCATAATTACTGAAAATATGAAGTTCTGGGGTGTTTCACAAAGATCCTAAATTTAACTTATCTCTAAGTTGGACTTAACAGTTATGGAAAGCCATTAGCATCTTTGAAAATATTTTGTAAAAATTATCTTAAAAGGCATAAAATGTTGATTCAAATCACTCATATTTTCTATTATCAAGGAGATTTCATGTTCTTGTTGTAGAATTTATGAAAAGTCTAAAATACTTCAATTTTTGCCTTTGAATATATTTTATTTTAAGGCTACAAATGGCTCTCCATAATGTTTAAGTCTAACTTAGAGTTAAGTTTGACTTAGGATCTTTGTGAAACACCCCCTGGTCTTTGTTGGACAAATTCAAAGAAAGCAGTTTGAAGAATAGAGATGAGTTAAAATAGTTGTAGGTATTTGATTTCATCACTGTTTTTTAGAGAGGTTCTTCAAATTTGTCATTTTACAAAGTACCGGTACAAGTTTATGAGATGCACAGAGAAATCCAAATCATATCCTGTCATATCCCCTTAAAAAAGTAACCTCAAGTTGTTATGATTTTACATTATTAAACTTTTTGATATGAACTTTTCAAACTTGGGATAAAATTTAATTTCATTCATTAAATAAGCAATAGACACACAAACAGCAATATTTTGTTTTATATCAAGAAAAGAAAGACAAAATAAGTAAAAGAGAATAAACTGCTCATATACAAATTATGTGAAAAATATAAAGATTGTAATAATAGGTCATCTGTACATATTGATTATTACTGATAGATTGAAATCACATAAGAACTCTCCCAATAATGGTATAAATGTTGCAAGACATTATGAATATGGTTTCTCCTCTGATTTGTCATTTTAGGCTGAATTTGTGTTGGAGCATCTTGAGATCTTGCTATCAGGTTCATCTCGTGATGGCTACAGGAGGGCACTCCTGGAACACAAGACTAGGCTTCTCTTTATTACAGAGAGACTTCAGAAGGTAATTGTTTTTTTCCTTTTACTTTTGTTATTATAATTTTGTATGGACAAAACGAAAAAGCTCTTGTTTTTTAAGTTGTGAAAATACTGTTTTTTCATTTCCTCCTTCATGACTGTTACACTGTTCTGACAAATAAGTTGATTTAATGTCATGAAATGCATCTAAAAATTGCAATTTTTTAAAAGGCAAATCATGTTTTCGACTATTTCTAGCTATTTTTTGAGGTTCTACTTCCTCTCTCCATTTTTACAACCGTTTAAAGAGTGCAGTGCTCATGGCATTCATGCACATTTTGTAGTTAATGATCAAATTATTTTACTAAAAGAGAGGAAGGTTGTTCTTTAGCGCTTGAAGAATATATTAACGATATTGTTGGTCATTGTTGCGTGCTCATTGACATAATTAATGATTTATTTGTTAAAATGTCATTTAAACTAGTTATGAAACAAAAATTTCAAGACAAGGACAACCAATTTTTACATTGTGTACTTATAACAGATAGAGATGCGATTGTAAAAATTTATTTCCATATTTTTATAACTTATCTTTTTCATTGTGACTTTTTTTCTATGCAGATTTTCAAGCAAGGGGTTACTGTTGATGTTGCAGATGTGGAGCATCTGTTAAACTGTGGGAAAGATTGCTTAAGATGGATTGCATTGTCAACCGCACAACTCACCAGAAGCATCGAATCAACTGAACAGTGAATGACAAGCAGTGAACACAATATTTCTTATACTCTCGCCTAGGTGAGGTTTTGAGGAGGCGAGTTGGCTCAGTCGGTAAAGCGTCTGCCTGTCGAACCAAAGGTCAAATCCAACCCAGGCAGATGACTGAAGCCTGCGTTGTGTGTTAACGTGCCCCATTCCTTCTTTTATAGCACAGGCTATCCTAAGTGGAAAACACAAACACTTCGTCTCTCGGATAGGATGTTAAATGGAGGCCCCGCGTAGAAGAGAGTCACCACCTTTGCACGTTAAGAACCCACGTATAAGAGTAGGGGAAACCCTGGTGTAGTGGTCCACTTGCAAACCTCCAATCAGTTACACTGGGAGGAGAGACCCAAGGGTTACAGTGATTCAGTTCGCATTTCGCCTTCCAGGCACAGGTGACGCCAAATACTTAATAATAATATAAATCATGCCTTATGAATTGTAACAACAGACAGAAAGATGTGACATTGAAGGCGCAATTTGTGCAATATTTGTTCTACATTGAGACATGATGAGATACAATGAATGTATTCAAATTATTTCAAAAATGTAAAACTTCAAGATACAAAATAAGCAATGAAATGTATATACTAGAAGAAACAAGAGAATTGTTATATGAATAAATGTATATAGTCAAACACCTTATTTAAATGCTTTAGAGATTGGACGATATATGAAAGAAACAGAATTGTGTAGCGTGTGACTGCATACAGTGATTCTTTACAGTTTTAATCTTGTAGCATTGGATTTGTTAAACTTTGTAACACTGTTCATACATGATGAAATCTATATTTCTTATATTTTTATATTGTACTTAAATGTCTTTCATAAATTCATATAAACATGTATATATGTATATTTGTATAGATATATAATGATTAAAACAATTGAAATACAACCCTTGAGAGTCACTCGTAGAAGATAACTCTCAAGGATTTTTATTTCAGTAGTTTTAATCGTTATTTGTATAGTACTATGATGGAAGATTATCCCAATTAAATTATTTTTTAATATATATATATATATATATATATATATATATATATATATATATATATATATATATATATACAGTTAACAATTAAATTATTAATACCACTTGTGAATTAGATGTTTTTTTTTTTTTTTTTTTGTAACTCAAGAATGGAATGGTTGAATTAATGCCTTTGTTGAATATCTTTAGATGTAAGCTTTTATATGTCACATGCTTAGGAAATGCAAAACAGGACGAATACATTTTATAAATGCAACTTTGTAATTCAAACAAGAAAGGAAAACTTTAGTCCCATGATAAATTGTGCTCAATACAAGCAGAAAAATCAGATTAAATAATGAAAACATTTCTAGTAAAACTCAGACAACTGTTTATGATATAATGAAATTGTATATCAAATGTATGTATCTACCAGGCACAGTAGTTGTAACATAATCATGAATTTGTGATGTCATTCCCTTGTACTACTCAACTGTTTTGTTTTTGCACATTTTATAGATATATATATTCCACTACTCTAGAAAATGATTTTTCAATGCCTTCACTGGAATTATGTCAACAATGACATATTTTGCTATTTGAGCTCAAAAAGAGAACATGTTTCAGAAAAAAAAATTATTAGCTTGTATATTTAGCCACACATTTGTATCTATATACAGAAGAAAATAATAGTGGATATACCAGATCATCAAAATATTTTTTCTTCATCATATTTTTGAGAGAAAATGCAATATTTGTATTACAACTTGGGCTAGAGATTAGGAAATTATTTTCTTTTGGACAAAAAGGGACAATTCATGGTTTGAAACGGGAAACTACTGAAAAAATGACATCACAAACTCAGGAATAAATCATAACTTCTCCATCAGACAGCAATCTTCATATCGTTCTAAAAGATTTAACTTTTTATTATCAGTTGTCAGTTGTTTGAGCATATCTAGCAATGTAACTTACCAATAAATTATTTTTTTATATGAAATGAATACATTCATTGTTGTCAATTTTCATCTTTGTTAAGCATTCATTGTCCTTATAATAATTGATATTAGAGAGTTATAGGCTGCTATCTCCTTGATTGAACCATGCCATTTCATGCTAACATGATTATTACACAGAGTACCTATTACTCAAGTTTGAGTGTGGTACGATCGAGTGCTGAACATGATAATCACAAAAGAGAGAGGGAGAGTCCTGTTCCCTAAAAAAAAAAAAAAATATCCATCATATTTATCATTTTCTTTGAGTTTGAAACTTAGTAGTGGCTGTGACGTGACAGTGGTAGTGGTTGTGGTAGTGGTAGTGGCAGTGGCAGTGGTAGAGGTAGTGGATAGTGGTAGTATCAGTGTAGCCTCCATTTAATTAATGCTCAGATGCAAATCAACTAAGTGTGTCCTTCTGCTTTGCAGAGGTTTCATAAACATCTTCGTCTTCCTCTTTTTTTTCTTCTTTTTTTTCCATTTTTTTTTTTTTTTTTTTTTTTGGGGGGGGGGGGGGGCACACAACCCCACGAAACATTGTTTTCAAGCCTGTATTTTCAAGAAATGACCTGGAGGGTCTTTACCTATGAAGATCATAGAAGTATAATATCCATTTGTATGTGTCGGTTTACTCTCACCTCCCTGGTTTATCCCATATTCTTGACGGGGGTATGCCTTTCATTTCACATGAGCAAAGAGCTTACATTTCGAAGGCTATGCGATGATCCACTAAACACGCGTAATACGAGTAGCAATCCATCGCAGTGTACCTTTTCTTTGGGGGTGGGAGGAGGGTTGACGGTATGGAGTCGATTGCTTGTGATCTTCCAGGGCCTTCAACATTTGTTCATAATTCTAAATTGCTAGATAAACCCAAGTCACAGCTTACATGATTCTACAAAAAGAAATACCAGGGAAATGATATACAATCAGTTTTCCTATTCACTTATGGGTCATTAATCGAACAGATGAATTTTGTTTTTCAGTGTACGTTTAGCACTTTAGGGTTTTTCCCACAGATCAAAAACATGAAGAGTCCTTGACATTTAAGGTGTTTTTTCGTGAAAATCATGCTCTTGAAATGGGTTCCAAACCATCCATCTCAGCTTGTATTTAGTAAAAGAAATATACTCGAAAAGAAGACACAGCTGTTCTACGGAAATAAGAAGAGTCATTTCTCTCTGACAAGTATGCTCTTATGCGATATGCACGCATGATAATTGCACGTGGGTAATGGATTGGAATGGCAGCCGTCTACGTCAGGCTGCATTGACCAAAAAAACAATTTCCAAGATCAGATCACTGAAAGAACATCAACTGTAACTGTAATTTCAGGATAGTACCATTGGTAAGTAACTCCATTATTTACCTCTTAACTTTGCATAGTTTATACTTAAAATAGATCCTCACTAACAGACTAAATAACTTGTTTTCCTCGCGTCATACTACTCGTATTGTCGTTCGGTAACTCGTCGGAGCTCCGCCAGAGCTTAGGCGCTTCATTGCAGCAGTGCTCCACTGATTCAACCGGGCAGGGAACCGGTGAGAGCTGAAGCTTGCAGCTGGACACCTTCAACTTCCAAGTTGGAACTGTGCTCCGATTTACATAAATTACATTGTCTGTGTAGTTGCAGCTGTATACTTTGTTTTAATACACTTTTCTTTATCAAAAAATTGTTTGTTTTTTCTTTTCAATTGTACGAAAGAATCTATACTATATTTAAGGCATATTTATTGCAAGTCTTGTCTCTTGACAGACTTGTCTTGAGATGAGACAGACTTGAGATAGAGATAGCATTTGCAACATGTTATGACATGAGTGAACCAACGAACTAGGAAATCACCATGTACTGTAATGAGTGTAAATAAGCTTGATATTATATCCCCTTCATTGAGCCTGCATAAGTGCTGCTTCTTTCATGAACTGAAGTTCGGCCATTTCATAATATAATTATATTTATAGCCAAATATGCACATTGCATAATTATTAACCTATACAGTGAAGTTAGGCAAAAGCATAAGGACGTCGTTTCTAGCTTGGGCATGACCATGAGATGGAAGAAAATGAGAGAATGGTGAACTGAGACTACTGAGTCTTGATAAAGTTGCAGATTTCTCTCTATTTAACAAATTCAGAGTAAATATGTGAACATCATATATGCATAACCCATTTTTGTTTCTTTTTAAATCTCTTTGTGACTCTGTTTAAGATTTTTGTTTAAAGCTTCTTATTTAGGGGTCAGAGTAAGGCCAAGTCAAGTCAATTCCCTTTCCTCCTGCTGCCTAATTTCTATTGTTTGTTATTTTTGTTTAGACATGATAAAAGATAAAAATCTGGAAATCTAGGCATTGAGGTACCAGTGTGACGAAGTTGGTGCAATTTGTAATAGTTTTTAATTGAATGTAGTGCCTGAGTGAATTGAATGAAATATGAAATAAAAATATTTGGATTAACCTGTGGTATTTGAAATGTACAAGTCAAATATTATGTATCAAATAAAATGGAACTTTACTGGGAGTATAATTATCATTGACCATTTTCTATATTTACAACATTACAAGATGTTATACATTTTCTTCTTCGTCAATTTTTTCAGGTACCAACTTTCCACTGAGACCTGATGAATTGCTTGAAAGATGTTGCGATTACTACTTTCACACTGCAACAAATTGAGAAGCACTCAATGCCGTATGCTGTACAAGACCAGTGAGTTCACAGGACCAACAAATCTCTTCTTCAAACGTGATGTATGTCTGCTACAGAGATTCATACATGGGGGAGTAGTGGCGAGGAATGAGACCCATAGCTTCATCGATGACAAGTCCTCTCAGGTTACAGATGGGCCGAGTGAAAGTGAGGACATCATAGAAAAGACGAGAAAGGAAGTTGCAGACCTTTTAGCCATAGGATGGCAAGCTCCAGAGAAGATTTCAGATCCAGACATTGAACATTTCTTGACTCTCACCTCAAAGAAAGGTCGGAAGAAATTTCTGAAGTTCCTGTGCAAGAAGGAACTTATGAAGAAGAAAGACAAGATGAAAAGGGAAGAGAAAGCAAGAGAGAGAGCTTTATTCAAAGAAACACAAGACCTTGATGACGACAACGATGCCTTTCCAAATCGCTTCTTGCTTCGCATCCATAACAACACAATCTCACAGTTTGATAAGTGGAGACTAGCTGCTGGTATGAAGTTTGGTCCTAAGATAGCATTTGATTTCAGCTATGAAGACCTGATGAAAAGACAAGAGGTGATCAGTCTTGTTCAGCAGCTTATGCATGCAGTGAATGCCAATAAGTATGCCAAAGACCCATTTGACATTCATTGGGTTGGCCTAACTCCCGAGACCCAGTCCTTACAAGAACTAAAGCGCTTGCATACAGTTGCATTGGAGAACGCCATGGTAAACGACACAGAGAAGGATCTCTTGGAAGTCTTTCCTAAAAAGGACATTATATACCTGAGTGCGGACTCTCCAAATGTCTTGAAGTCTTATGATAGTGACAAGGTGTACGTCATTGGAGCATTAGTGGACAGGAATATAATATACACAGGACAATCCTTAGCGAGAGCAAAGCGGTTCGGTCTAGATCACGCACGTCTTCCGCTGGACAGACATCTTCAGTGGGCGACAGGAGCCAAGAACCTGACCCTGGACCAGATGATGAAGATCATGATTGAGATGAATACGTCCGGTGACTGGGTCAAAGCCTTTCAGCATGTACCAATCAGGAAACATGCTGGTCTTCGATCAGGTCCACATTGGGACAAAGACCAGGAGAGCAAGCGTCCTACGAAACCGATGAACGGTGATGGCATTCAAAGGAATCCATCTCATTTTGTGTCTAGTCGAACGAGGCAGTTCAAGAGTTCAACAAGCAGATCTGGTGCTGAAAGCAGGCAAAAGAAAAATCTTGAGGCAGATGATGACACCAGTAGTACAATTTTTTGAAATAAAGAAACCTACATTATTAAAAACACTACATACTGAATGTTGTCTTCAACACATATCCATCTATCAATTATTTTAAAAAATAGTACTGAGAAAGTGTTGTATCATAACCATCAAGTTATTTACCATCACTGTCAATATCTGATTCCAGAGGTATCAACTGTCGCCACTCATAATGTTGGTTCCCATCTCACTATGGCTTGAATACCTATCGATTTAGTATTAAAGAATATTTGGTTGCTTAAGCCCCCCTTTCCCCTGCATCCTTCTGCTGTGCATATTTCTGTTATTGGTTCTCATCAATACTGTCCATATTATAATTTGTGTGAGAATCCTTTGTTCATATTTCATAGATATATGTTTCATATGTAATTTCTTTTTAGAATCCATTTGATAACCTATGTCAGGATTTTTCTCCAAATGTAGTATGAATCATCAATGCTTTTTTCCAGATTAAGTTGCTTTCTACTATTGTATATTTTTCTGCTGATCTGCTGCATTATGAGATTCCCTTCAAATACAATTTCATTGTCGGAAGTCGGAACTCTTATCATCTTTAACCTGAAATCTCGAGAACTATTTTAGACCTGAATTACAACCTGATAATTTTATATTGTTATGGAGAGATAGACAAATAGTCTTCTGTTTAACTCTCCTTCGTGACAAAAACTAGAGAATGTACCAATGTTGTAGGGACTTCATCTTCCTAAATTACATAAACACAGGGATTGGTTAAAATTTTGTGAGGTCAAGCTTCCGCACGTCACTGATATCCTTTGGCAAACACTAGTCTACATTTGCCACTTTCTACACAGGTGTATTAAGGGAGTACTAGCCCACAGGTAGCAAAGATGCGTTCAATAGTGGCAGAATCTAGAGTTGGGTTTATGAATTCCTGATTTCAATACAGTGTATATTGAAGCATGCAGATACTATACTAGATCAGTGGCGGATCCAGGGGGAGGGGGGCCTGGCCCCCCCCCCCCCCCCCCCCCCCCTCCCCTCCCTGGGAAAAAAATGCCTGCAGCCGGCAGTGGCGGATCCAGGCCCTTGTGGAAAAAAACGTGTAAAAATACATTAATTTTACCTTTTTTTGGAGATAGGCCCCCCTGGCACTCAAGGGGGGGTGCAATTTCAAATTTTCGAGGGCCCAAAACAAATAAGTGCTCTCTACCCCACCCCCCCCACCCCCACTGCGAATTTTCGGCCAGCGCCAAAAAAATGTTTAAAAATATTGCTCACTACCCCCCCCCCCCCCCCCCCCCCTACTGAGCAAAATATTGGCCGGCACGATTTTCATATTTCAGCACACTAAATTTCAAATTGATTTCAAATTTGGGCCCCCACCCCTAAGAAATCCTGGATCCGCGCCTGTACTAGATCATAATACAGTCAAACCTGGCTATAGCGACCGCCCAAGGGAAACACAAAAAGTGGTCTTTGTAGACGGATTCCTTTAGTAAAGTTTTCAATGAGAAACCATTTTCAAGGGAAACACAAAATGTGGTCTTTGTAGACAGGTGGTCACTTAAGCAGGTTCGACTGTATTGTTATTTTTGTAATTGTTTTATTACAGATCAGTGAAAATGATGCATAAGTTTCTGTTCAGAACATCAGATGGATTGGAATGCGATTTGCAAGTTTGAATAAATTAAATATTGTTATTATGCAAGTTTATGGTAGCTTACTTGTGATAATTTTTATCCTATTCTTTATCTTCATCAGAACAAGATTTGAAATGGAAACAAACCATGGTTGCTTTCATAAGTGTTGAATAATGAGTATTTGATGCAATTATGCATGTATGCACTGTGCACACTCTTTTCTTCTAACATCATTCAACCAATATTTAACTGTTCTCAGCCCATGTTCAGTTATGTAAATTAAAGGGAAATGTAACCTTAACAGACAACTACTCTAAAAAAAAGCGGAAAAATCAAGAGATGCGGACTGGTGAAAGTTTGAATTAAATCCTTCTCCTTCTCCTTTTCCTTCTTCTCATCCTTCTTCTCCTCCTTCTCCTTCTTCTCCTTCTCCTTCGTTATCCATAATATCACAAATACATGTTTGATGATGTGTTGCTGTTGGGCTACATCTGGTGAACAATAAGTATTTGGGCGAAGTCCCACACACACACACACACACACACTCCGGGGTCTGAAGGACCGCATTCGTGTTCCCTAAATCTCCGGTAAAGGGGTACTTTTCACACAACAAAGTCCAGCCCGAGATTTGTTTTTAAAAAGGGGATTTATTTGACTTTTCACCCGGTGATTTTTTTTATAAGGGGGTATTTTTTCTCCCGCTCTCTTTTGAATCCTGAGAAATTTAAAAAGAGGGTTATGAAATATTAAAAGGGGTGTGTTTTTTTTTTCTCTCTCTCTCTCTTTGGACTCCTGATTTTTTTCTTTAAGGGGGTTATAAAATATCTTGAATATCATAGAAAGGGGCGTACATTGAGCAGTGTTCCGGACTATTAATATTAACTAAACAAAATACTAAATACTTTAGTTTCAAAAAATTTTGCCAAGTTTTCACAGTTGCGAAATTAAATCAGAGCTTCATGTGATATGTGGAAATTGGCCATTTAACGCCTAGCTTTTAAAAAATGTAAAACTCAAAGTAACAGTTTTTAGATTTAAATGCCTTGTTGTAAAACATTTTATGACATTTCGTGAGATAAGACGTTTATCAAATTGAAGCTGAAACCTTGCTCTTTCCTCAAATATAAATTATGTCATATGCCGAAAGTTTTTTTTTAAAGTCTTACTGTTTGAGATTTAATTAAGGGCTCAAACCGGCAAATCGAGGGGGGGGGGGGGCTTAACCGCACAGATATATTGTACATTATACATATACATGCAATACTGGCCAAAATGCATTTGTTAGTTTCAAGGCCTTTAAAACTATCGTATGACATTACAACTAAATAATGACTTACACCATTTAAAAACTGTAAAGTTCGTTTTACTGTCGTAATTAAGAGGGAGATGCAAGGGGGGGGTAGAGCGAGAAGGTACAACCCATCCCATCCCCACATGCTGAGCCCACCTCTTAACTAGAAAAGTTTTCTTTTGGCATTACAACATTACAGTTTCGTATTTTGTAAGATCGTAAACTTTGGTTTAATTTCCACATCGTTTCTTCACTCAATCGGATAAGGCAGTGTCGGGTACAATCAGCTCGGGTGATTATATTTCGGAAGGGGAGGGGGAGGACATGCAGGACGATTTAAATAATCAAAAAGCGACTTCCTACCACATTGTGTATGATAATATCGAGATTTAAATACAAAATAAAGTTTTACACAAACTCTGTAATTATAAATTATCCGTTTATACCTATAGTATTACCATAATTGCTATAAAGTGATTTCAGTTTATAAAATATAAGAAATTTAAAACTCACTCGGGAATGGGACATCGGACCACAATGAAAGCAATATTTAGAACCATATACAAAATGATCCTTGATATTGTATTAATTATTATAGCGCCGTTTTATTCTAGGAACTTTTACCATTATCTGTAGATATACCACCATTAAGAATACCTTCTTTTTGTTGGTACCGCTCTCTGGCACCCCTTTCCTGTAATAATAATAATACTAATAAAGCGCACTTACCTAATAACTTGCTCAAGGCGCTATATCCAAAACAAACTACACAAATTATAAAAGCTGTTATGAATAAAGTCACACCCTTTAAGATATTACATTCTTGATATTAAATGTATATATATTTAATATCAAAATATTAACAGCGTCAGATTGATTCTATGAAATATGCCAGGCAAAAAGAAAGTATAGAAAGAGAAAACTGCATGGGGCAGAACCGTTATCTATGAGAGCCACGCCCATTCCACCAGGCTAGCCAACTTTTATGGTGCATCGGACATATACCATGGTGCTATGTAGCTTGCCAATTCTTAGGAGTGCCACATCTTTCCTGAATTGACAGGATTCAGCAAATTCCACACAAATGTTATTCCAATAAAAATACAAGGAGTCCATTCTATAGGAGCAGCATTGTCTCCTTGTGGGACACGCCCATTCCAGCAATACCCGTCTTCTTCGCATGCGGTGACCTCACGCCGATGCTAATTGACCTGTGTACGTGTGCGTGTATATTGTTGAAAAACGTACGGATACACTATGCGCAGTTTTCAAACGTGCGCTACATAGTTTTGTATCTGTGGACATAGATTGCTGCGGCTGTAATAAAACGTTTTGCGCTATTTATGCGCGCAGGAAATGTTCACGACGTTCCCGTATGTTAACGTTAATGAACATTGTCCCCATTGCAGAAATTTTAAAGAGCTAGAGAGCTTTAACCTTCGGCCTCGGATTACACTTTTTGGACACCGGTTTATTTGGAAAAGACAAACCTCAACCTCTGGATTTAAAGGATGAAAACAAACAGGGACAATTTACTACGCTGGAATCATCATTAACAGTGAGGATCAGCTGTGAGACCAAGACTGGATTTCCACTGCAGGCCGCCGTACCGGGCTTAGCCACTTGAAAATGCAGTCCAACACATTCGCCATGTTCGACTCAGACGATGGTTCGGAAACCATCGAAGAGTTGCGGGTTGAAATTGGCCGATTGAAAGAGGAACTTGCTTTGGCCAGCAAAGAGAAAATACAGGCTGCTGAATACGGTTTGGGTGTGCTAGAAGAAAAACAGTCGATTAAACAGCAATATGAAGATCTGGATTTACTCTATGAAACTTCTAAACAGGAGCTTCAGATGGCAAAAGAGGTAAACTTAAGTTAAAATAAAAAATGGATCATCAGATCATGAGGATTGGGATCGTGTGTCCGGACTCCTAATAATAATAAGATTAATTAAGAGTCCTACTCAGAGTCCTAAGTCCTAACCTATCAATTATCATGTTACTTTGTTAATGTAAAGTTGTATTGTGCCATGAGATTTTATGAAAAATATTAACCAAACAACATTGAATACTGTAATATTGTCAACATGGCTTGTGAAAGAATCGATGCAAACTTTACTTTTTACCTTTAGCTTTACCGCAAATACTGGAAGAATGCTGAGACAGCAGTGAATTCTCCAGGTCTATCTTATCTTGTTCAAACTAGCCTTGGCTTAAAGACCAAGTCCACTCCACTGAAAAGTTGAGCTGATTAGATAGACAAAAATGTAAGAAGCCCAAATATAACTTGGTTTTGGAAAATGGTGCTCGAACTTATTTTTAATTATTTTTAATAATTTTTTAATGAGCGAAGAACATGCTAATGATCGAGCCAGTTCTCCCCCACAATGGATTGTGGGACATTTTTTGTGACGTAGGGTCCTCACACAGACGCCCACGACTCGACTAATATACTAGATTATTTCTGTATACATGTACAGCACATGCACATTCGAACGTGTCGCGCGGCCAGTTTTTTTTTAACGGTGTCTTAAAATCGGCCCTACATGCTAGGAAAATCTTATCTTAAATTAGCGACTGTTTTTAACCATTTCTCAATGGCGGTGTGTGAGGAAATTTAATTAAAAAAGAAGTTGGAAGTTGCAATTGTCTTTTTTAGTAGACTCTTCTTTCTACAAAGCACTTTGAAATTGGTTAAAAGTATACACAAATACACTTTGGGCGACCTTCCACGCAAGCCGCCGTAAGTGGCGCTACAGTTGGGGGCAGCTGGGGGGCTTCTGGATAGCACCTGAATGGGAAAGTTGAATGAGCGAGAGCTCGTTCGTACTTATAGGCCCGCATCTACTGGCGGTGTGGTGAGAGTGCCTCCGTACCGTAAGATCGAACTCACAACTCTGCTCCAGCTAGCTAAAATTCCTTGAATTATTTATATTCTAACTCTAAATCATTCCGTCTCTCACTCTCTTCAATTCAATAAAATCATCTGCATGTTAACATACACGATAATGAATATGTGGGACACCGTTACAACGGCGTCTCCCAAACTTCGATTGCCGAAAACGCACGCAAAACTCGCCAATGACGGACATCATCTACCCATTCATCCATCGTAAATGAAATAAATTTAGACAAAATGAAGTTGAAATGTCCGAAAGCGGCAAGGAATAATAAGTGGTTTTTCTGTGAGAAAGCAATGATCGTTGCATGCAAGATGAAAGCGCAAGCTGATAGAAGCCCCCCAGCGTGTAATGATAAACGTAGAGGGCTCACATCCATGAAAATTCGCCCGTATCGGTGTAAAGTATAACCACAAGTTTTTAATTTGATATACACGTATGAGTGAATAGCAATTTGCTTACCTTCCATGTGTTTCTGATAATAATGAGCTACATGTACAGCATGCGATTTAAAATTACAAAAACACTGCCTCTGACCACACATAGGAGCATCACTATCCTGGCTGTGTAGTAAAAGCTGTGCTTTTGATTCTCAACATTTCAAACACCACTGTACAAAACTCAACTGATTTCACTCAAAATCGGTACTATAGAAAGCCATTTATGTAACTTCGGCAGACTCACAGTGCCGACGATCTCCGACCTGAGCGGAGGAAGGATACAAGAAAGAGAGAAAGAGAGTGACAATTGATGACACCTAAATAGCAGTAAAATACATTTTTGTCAACTTACAGATGTTTAAAAAAAAGAATAATTAAAAATTTAAATTGTAAGTCTACTGTCAAACTTTGATTACAGCCGCATCTGCAATATTGTGTGGTGTGTATATTTGTGTATAGGTCTAATAATACCTGCCTCACAGCAAGTATGCAGTGCTAGAGGCCAATACGCATTAGCATTGAGTCTCTATGCTTTGCTGGAGTGCCTCTGACTAGAGTTTGCAATTTTGGTTCTGCAGTAAACGCAAATACAATGTACATGCACATGCAGTGTCCACGAAAATGCCTGATTTTGCATTACCAATTTGATGCAGATTTTATATAATAGCAATAGTAGTATGCACAGCACTTTTAAAGGTGTTTGCATGGAGTTCACTGAATTTAGCAAACTCCTTGCGAATTGCCCGCACCTTTATACACTAATCGCAACTGTATTTTAAGGATTGACTACAGCAAAAATTTACACGTCCCCAAATATATATCTATGATTCTATGACTAGATCTACATCTAGGTACATGTAGGATTTAATTTAGATATGTACATGTAGTTTCACCTCTTTCCATTCTAAGAATTTCACAAATGTCCATTTTCTCCACAGAAATATCTTCCTTGCACCTTGTTAGGTAATAGTATTGGACACACATTATTTTATGTCTTCCTGTATGTAATACATACATTATACATGTAGATTCCTTCAACAACCAATACTTGGTACAAAACAAACTGAGTGTCAATCCAAGAGAAATCATATCTAGTGGTCACTTTGTTTTTTGATTGACCCTAACATATATCGCTTAGATGCATTGTGCAATCTTCATAGCAATCAGGGGCGGATCTAGGGGGGGGGGGGGGGGGGTGTTTTGGTGGTTTAAACCCCTCCCCCTCCCCCTTGGGCAGCCAAGTGACAAGGAAAACAAAAGTAAAACAGTAAAACAGCGCGATTTTAGGAAACAAATTTGGTCTACCCCCCCCCCCCCCCCCCCCCCCATTGGCAAAAAGCTAGATCCGACCCTGGCAATAAAACATAGTCTTATTAGTTTTTCTGAATTTCCACAAACCTTACATGTTTCTTCTGATTTTCAATTTCATTTGCTAATCATGTTTAAAAAGCTAATTTTTAGCTTTGGTATGGGTAACGTATTTTGAGAGAAAATCGCTATGATTTATTCTGGATTGTTTATCTTGCAATAGATTGGTTTTTTGAACCAGTGAAATATCCAGGGCAGAATCAAGGCATTATCTTTGATAAATACCACTACCGGTACTCCATTTGCACATACTGTAGGGAGTGTCTTTAGTGACCTGTGTTAAGCACATGGTGTCGGGCCTACTTGGTACTTACCCGGATTTCCTTATCTTTCTATGCTCATTATTCAGCCACCATACATTTTCTTTAACATACATTTATCATCTTCAGAATGAGGAAGTATTATTTGATGCAACATGGTTTTTGATAGTACTGAAATTAAGCTTCCTTGTCAAATGAAAGTGAGAGCTAATTTCTTTTATTTGGTTAGTTTTGCTAATTAAGATCCAATTTAACACTCAAATGAAAATGAGGGTGTAGGGTTTATTAAAATGGGAAGACAAATTTGATAAACGGGTCAGTGAAAATTTGAGCAAAAACTGATTATTTTTTATTTTTTTATTTTTTTTTTAAAGTTATGAATGAATGAGCAAGAATCCTCAAGTTAAAAATTGAATAAGACCCATAAGACTTTTCCTATTTACATGTAGGGACAAAGTTCATACAAATCTTCTCACTGGCTTATTCAAGTCATAAGTTTGAAAAGGTTAAAAATCAAATTATCCTCAAGTAGTGCAGTATACATGTAGGATGAATGTGTTCTTGCTGTGTGTACATGTGTGTGTGAAGGTCGATACACAGCACTTTAAGCTATAGGGATAAGATGAGTCATTCGCTTCTAATGAAAACGTTCTTAATTTTACATGCAAACTCATTTCTCTCCACAGCTGTATTACATGATTAGTGTAAAGGTTGCCATACACCTTATGACCTTCCTATGACTGGATTGAAGAAGAAAAAAAAAAAATTATTAGATGCTAAAAATGTATGAATTTTTTTGTATCGATGTCCCAAACTGTCGTATGAATAGTAAATGGTACATATGATATTAAAATTGCAGGGAGCTGTAAGCTCTCTTAGTGTGAGAAAAGGCCTTATTAGCTGTAAGTCATAGTGACATCAATGATCATTAGGTTAATGATCATAGTTCATACACATGAACCAGAACTTTGCAAGACACGCCATCAACGGAGTCGGGCTAACTTGGACCCGGGGACAGCTCGGACCCATTAAGAATACGGGGCTGAGTTGTCCCGGCATGATTGAATTTTTTAATGAAATTTTGTAGGGTTAGGATTAGGGAAAGGTTAGGGTAGAGTAGAGTTAGGGTAGGGTTTTAGCATTAGGGTTAAAGTCTGAGTCTAAGCTCGCAAAAAATAGAAACAAATATACCCGTAGGTTAGGGTGTTTGTGGTACTTGATAAGTTTTAGAGTAATGCACAAGTGATATTCTGTAATGAATTTGGGATTGGGGTGATGAAAAACCTTTTATTTCTGAAAAGGATGCAGTGACTGAAAAAAAGGTTAAAAAACGCTGTTCTACACAATTTATCTGAACCTCAATTATATAATTTATGAATACAATACCGTTGTTACATTATATTTAACAGAAGCCCATAGTGATGTGTGTAAGACATGTTGTATCAAATGGTTTGATACCTGCACAAATGACAATTGACTGACCACATGGACTGTACTGGTGACCAGTCCATTTTTAAAAACATGTTTCTAAGAAATAAAGTCAACTTTTGGTAAACACATTTATGTAGGATCTTGTAGTGCTCATTAAAGCCTGATCAAGGTTTGAAAGAATTATAATGGTATCATTCAGTGATGTTTACGTACATGTACATGTTGTACATCATGAATGGCCAATACCTTGTTCATTTAAATGTATATTTGGGAGCCCTGTGTCGGTGATCCAGCAGATTTTACTTGCAAATAAACAAGAAATACTTGTGTATCACCCTTGCTTCAAATTTTCACATAATTTATCAAAATTATACAAATGTGGCATCTGAAGTTTCTAAAGAAATGTGCATTATGTTTGGAAGAATCACAGTAAGTGTAATTTTTATATTAATCTATGTCCGATCCTTCTCAAAATGTGAGTCCATAAAATGTGAATATCAGGTCTTCACTTTATCATTAAATGTGAATTGCCCAGACCAGTAAAATCTTTTCATGTGTATTTCACGAATGTTACCCACTTTTGTCGACGAAAGAAATGGTCCTTGGTTAGGCTTGGGAAGCTGTAAAAGATTGCAGACTTGTCAACAGAAGTCCGCTCATTATATGATAATTACATCACACGCTTGACCTACTTGTCACATGGCTCGTAAATAGCTTTTGCGTTTGGAGCCCTAGCTGCGACCAAAAAGTTCAATTTTTAATGACAAATTGTTAACAAATACACAGAAGAATGGGAATAAATTCAAATGCATTTGATGTGTTCAGCATATATAAAAAATCTTTTTCTGATATTTAAAAACATAAAAATCCTGAAATATCAGCACATTAATATTGATTATTATTACCCGTATCAGACATCTGAGCTGGTCATTTACAAAACCGTATTTGCCCTAGTTTCCACTAGCAGTGGGAACGGAGGGGTATATTCTTTGTATTTTCCTTGGTCTCCCTGCGCGTATTGACTTTGCGTGTAGAGACGAGTGAAAATATACCTTGGTATTTTCCACGGTCTCGCATCCAGGCATCTCTTATTGACCGGGCCGTATTGTTTCATTTTCATTTCGCATCTATTATGCGTACGAGAACCTACGCACTTTGCGCGCACTCTATTGTGACGTAATAATCACACCAAATGCACACTGTTTGCAGTGTATCCAAAATTTTGTCAAGCACTGGATGCACAGTGCTGGTTTGACAAAGTTTGTTCAGTTCTTGAGATTGTCATGGTGGATTTCTGTATTTGCTCTAGATGTCTGATTTGGATAACAATAAAAATATTGACTGGCTTTACTTTCGGGGGATATCAGAAATATTGACCGCGCTAAGACCATATTGCCCTCGTCTTTCGACTCGGGGCAATATGATCTGAGCTTGGTCAATATATCTGATGTACCCCTCAAGGCCAGTCAATATTATATAAATATAGGTAAGACTGATGATTTACCGGTATGCTTATTATTAGTGTTTGTTCTATCTGACTTGCAGTTATGTGCATTTGGAGACTTCGCAAGCTCACAGACAGAGAATCTAGCCGTACATGTAGATGTAAAATTATAACAAAATAGAATTATGTTCTCTTTGAAGTTCACAACAAAACCTGTGCCATGGACCAATGATGGCCTGTTGGTAGAGTTGCTGCCCGGCAAGCAGTAGATGGCAGGTTCAAATCTTGCTGGCTCCAAGAATTTTTCTGACTTGTTTTCAATTACAGATCGATCAATCAAGCTTATTTACTGGGTGTAAGCCAATTGAAACAAAAATTGAAATTTCTCCCAGAAAGCATTACATTTATACCAAAAAACTGTTTTGTTTACACTATTTTGCAGGCCCTGGAATCGAAAGCTCAGTGGCAGCGGCGTTACTCAGAACAAGAAGTTAACCATGAACAGAGTCTCCTGCAAGAGAGTGCCACCCGTGAGGCGGACCTCACCGAACGGCTGGCTGAGCTGGAGACCGAGGGGCGTCACATGAGGCAGGAGGTGAGCCGGCTCCGGGTGGAGAAGGAGAGGCTTTACTCCAGGCACACTGAGATGAACACCTCCCTCGAGCAATCAGATAAAGAACGAAAGGAGGTGAAAGAAGAACTGAGGGAGATTAAGTTCAGGGAGAAGCGTCTTCTAAGAGACTACAGTGAGCTGGAAGAAGAGAATATTGCTATGCAGAAACAGGTCAGTATTGATTAACTCACATATTAAAATTCAAGGGGTCAGTGACACAAAGGCGTAATTCTGTTTTAGTCATTTTGGGAAAAAGTGGTTTATGTGTCACTGAGCACTTGGGCCTTAAGGAGTTACTGTAAGGCTATGTTTCACAAGCCATTCACTTCAATGGGGTGTTGGATGGAGTTAGGTCTTTGTGTTTCCTGGAAAGCCCACATTTTACTGAACATTTTGATATCAAATACTCATTTTGGCAAAATATGGAGTTACGTCTTTGTGTCACTGAACCCTCGAATTGTAAATTTCATGTGAAATGTATTTGAGATTAATAAAAATTAAACATTTGGCATATGAATATTGGAAAGTAGAAAGATGTTTAATAATTACAACTTCACTGGAATTTCCATCCATTGGAAGGAGTACAGTCTAGTTTGTACATAATATGTTGTTTTATGATTTAGGGGACCATTTTAAGATGGGTATGCTTTTGCTTTAATATGGTAGAAATGGGCAAAATGTTTCTAAGTTTAATCACCATAAATCAATCATTTCTAATATTGTTTCAGAGTAGGAAAATGTTTCTAGGTTGAAGAAAGTTTACCAGCAGAGCTGTATTGTAAAATTACATATGTGAACAAAGCAAAGCTGTTTTGTAGGTGTGAACACGAAACTGTCAAGAGGAAAGGGGACCATACTTGAATTAACACTCCTTTTTATTTTTATTTTCCATTTCTTACAGAATTCGTCTCTGAAGTCATCCCAGATAGAATACGAGTCTTTCAAACATGAGAATCGACGTCTTGCAGAGGAGATCCAGTACCTGAATTCCAACATTGAAGACCTGATGCGATTGCGAGACATCTCCGAGAAGCAGATTGAAGAAACCATGCAAGCCTTAGAGTGTGAAAGAGATCAGAAACATCAACTCAAGAAGCAACTAGATCAGGCTATGATCTCGGAACTGGAAGCTATTAATGTGGATCTGGAAAATAATTCTCAGTTCCATTACATGGAAGAGGACTATGAAGATGAAGAATGTGTTGGTCATCCTCTACTCCGGCGTTATGAACGACAGATGAGAGATGACAACGGAGGAGAAGAAGAAACCAATATTGGTCAAGAAGCATCGGATTTGTTCAGTGAACTGCAATCCATGGAGGTGCAGAATTTGGAGAAGCAGCTCAAACAAGTTGAAAGTGAAAAGAGTGAACTATCAAAGCACTTGGAGAAATCCAACTCAGAGCTGGAGACAACCCGCGATGCCCTCTCGAGCTTATCTGATCTCAACATATCCCCAACAGAAGGTGAAATAGATCACTCTCAGTATCAGCATCTTGATGAAGCCCATCAAAAACTCTACCAACTGGTGAGTCTTTACAAGATCCAAGAGAAGAAATACGCTGGTGTGCTAAGTAAGAACAAGGATTTGCAAAGTGAACTGGAGGCGTTGAGATCTAAAGTTAGTGATGCAGGGGCAAAGGTCGAGCTACAGAAGGAGGTTCAACTCATGACTGACAGGAACAGGAAACAACAAGATACAATAAGAGATCTCCAAGGACAGCTCAAAGGCATCCATGACATGGTAGGAGATGCGCACGGCCAACTTAACTTAACTCAAGATGAATTGGCTAAAGTAAGTGAAGACATTGCTCAGCTCTACCATCATGTGTGCATGGTAAATGGGGAGGCTCCTAATCGCATCATGCAAGATCACCTCAAGGTCACCAGGCAGAGCAGGAGAGACGGCTTCCGTGCTGAGATTGCTAACCAACTCAAAGAAGTATCAAACGAAAATGGCCAAGAGAAATCAGGAGACGGTTTGGGTGCCGCTTCTCCTTCCGGTAGTCCTTCCAAACGATCCAATGAACATGCCAAATTTAATGGAGACACTGTTACATGTACAACCCTGGTCTCAACCGTCAGAGACCAGATCAAATACCTGAAGCGATCTGTGGAGCAGTCAGTAGAAATGTCCAGGCAACATGGCACTGAAGGTAGTGGTGCTGAGAATGAAGATTTGCGTGACGAGGTTGTTCAACTGAAGGGTCTTCTCATGACCAAACGTGAGCAGGTGGTCACACTCAGGACTGTACTTAAAGCCAATAAAACGACTGCAGAAGTAGCTCTTGCAAACCTCAAAAGCAAATATGAGCATGAGAAAGCTATAATCGCAGAGACAATGAAAAAGTTGAGGAATGAACTGAAGGCCCTCAAAGAAGAAGCTGCTAGTTTTGCTAGCCTCCGTGCCATGTTTGCCAAGCGATGTGATGAGTATGTGACGCAACTAGATGACATGCATCGTCAGCTATCGTCTGCAGAGGAGGAGAAGAAGACCCTGAACTCACTCCTGAGGATGGCCATCCAGCAGAAGCTTGCCCTGACACAACGCCTTGAGGATCTAGAGTTCCAGAACGAGATGAGCAGCAATCGTAGAGGTCCTCGCAAACACAAATCCTCCAAAGTGAGTGATAATCAAATGGCTTGGGTGACTAGTATGGGTCTACCAATACCCCATCATCATATGGGTCCTATAAGGCATATGGGACCTCCTCTTGTTCAGGTCCCTTTTAGATCCATGAGGCCACCGCCTCCACCACCACCACCACACCATCAACATCTTCCTATGAGAATGCCTCGCTTTCCTTACTCTAACCAACCCCATTTCTTGTAGTGGTGAGTCCAAGGTTTACTCTATCCTCCTTCTTCTTCTAATAAACGATGGAAAAAATTGGAGTCATGTGAAAAAATTCAACAAAACCACTCAGAATTGTGAATACTCATTGGATCGACATTGAACTCTCATTCCTTTGATTAAATATGTTGATTCCAAATTGTTAAATAATTGCTATTCATTTTTTCTTGTTCAAAATGAAAGCAGCACAATTTTCAGATTATTTTGTGTCGGTTTTTGTTTTCCTGTGTATTTAAGCCTGGATCCAATTTTTTCCATAGCGACTATAACTGTACAGACTGTACCAACCAATTTCCTACAATTTACATGTATCAATATAATCTCTGACAAATAACAATGCATTCACTATTAAAACAAATTATGTAGTTACTCATTTCATTTGACATTTATTCACATTAAAAAAATGGGTATAACTTCCAAGTGTCAACTAACACACGCATGTACCGGTATTGTAAGGTTGATGGAATGTACTAACCTGTGATAAACATTATGTAACCAATCATCAATTCTCACTATATACCTGTAGTACCCATGTGGTTGTTTTTTAAATATATTTTTTACCCAATTAATATAGATGAATTTCATGACCGGTATGGATGCATGGCATGTACTTGTAGCCCGTATTGGAATGTTTTGTAACTGGATGTAACATTCAATTATTGATCAGTTTACAACATTTGTTGGCTATCCAGGAATTTTTTTAAATGATTTTTTATGTGAGAATGCTCTATATTCTTTTGAAATATTTACGACCCCTTCCCCCCCCCCCCCTTCCTTAAAAAAAAAGTAGAGGAGAAAAAAGATGATCTCCACCATTGGATAAGTATTATTTGCATTGAAAGAGACTTAAATATTGTCTATAACTCCAAGAGAGAGCTTTGTTATCATTTGGAATGTGCAAGAATTGAAAGTGTAATATTAAGCCAAACCCATACCCGTTAGTTTTCAACTTTTAGTGGAAGCATGATAAAAAAAAAAGCTTGACATAAAGAAAGTCAACCTTTGGACAGGGTTTTAAGTATGGGCTAAAATCAATGCACCATATAGCAATACTTGGTCAGTGTTATAGTATTTCCTGAATAGTAAAGGTATACATTTAAGCATAAACAGTGCCAGAGGCCTGGTTAATATTTGACCTAATTAGGCATAATCAAAACAACACCCATGCTTTTAAAGCAATGAGATGCCAAAGACGGCCTGCAATGTTTTTAAACTGATTAAACTCTCTCAGGAGGCAAGATTTGATAGGTCACATGACATCCATAAACCAATTAGAAATCTAGAATCCCATCAACCCAGGATACAACCCTTTGATATGGAATACAATAGTTTAGTGTGCATCAGTGTGTGTGTTTAGAAATTATGGCCTACTGTTCGGGTGCACACATCCACGTGTAAAAATCCTTAATTTGTAATCGGATTTAAGAAAATGATTGGTTTAAGTTGGTGAATGACCTTTCTATTGCTGATCGGCTGGCGAGATGAAGAAGAGGCAAGCCTGGCCGGAGGAGGAGGAGGATGAAGTAATCTAGTCTGAGACCTGGACCTCTACATGTACCTGTCGCCAGATACATCTACATTTATAACTCCACCTGATGTTATTGGTTTTTAGGGTCAGAATTACTACTGAGCATTTTCACGAGAATATGCACCTAAGGGCTCGTTCAGATATAGCGCGATAAACCAGGGCTGCAATAAAGCTGACACATGTTTTTTATTTACTACTGAACATTTTCATATGAATTAATGTTCAGATACGACACAGTGAACTGCGGCTGCAATAAAGCTGACACATTAATTGTTTTAATGCGCGCAGTAGAGGTCCTGCAATTATTCACTGAGCCCTGTTTTATCAGATACAGAAATGTGAGGCATTTTACTGTTACGTTATCATGAAAATACCGCTGCAGATTTTTATCGCGTCATATCTGAACGAGGCTTAAGATTGCAGGGTTCAACACTAGAGGTTGTGTCGTTACCTTGGTAACCAAGAGAGACCTTCGATCCCGGTATATGTGTATTTGCTTATTCTTCCATTGAAAGAATTTGAAGATACATCATGATACACATGTGCACATTGCTATAAAGTTGATGAATTGAAGTACTGTACCTACACAGATGCTTCAAGCTACTTTAAAGCAATATTTTGTATTGACCCTCACACTGAAGCCACAATAAGTAATGTTTAAAAAAGTCTATATTTGAAAATGAAATGAATGACTTTCATGGACCTCATTTCTAAAGGTCATACAGGAGGTTGTTCTTCTTGAAATAATAATCACAAAAGATGACAATTATTGTGGCAGATGGTGCCTCGTGCTAAACAAGTTATCCAATAATATATACTACGTACAGCCTTTTCACACACAGCTAAAATTCATCGTATCTAGAGATGATTAGAATCACTCAACATGTTTATAGACAAAATTTCCCAGTGTGAACATCGTTTATACGATGTTGGGATAGATACGAAGTCGCGATCCATACGCCCCTAAAAGCAGGCTGCAGATACGAAGTTCGTATCTAGACTAGAGAGCTTGACATTTTGTGTGTGAAAGGAAATTCGTGTTTAAACGTGTTTAAACTGGATGGAGCGTGCGCTTTGATTGACATGACATGACCTTCAATGCGCAATGGCACTACTGCGCATTTTACGAGCAGTAGTTAATCACGAAACTATTAACGATCGCAACGAAATTTCTGTGTGTGAAAGGCTCGTGATTAGTTTAAACACGTTCGAAACACGTTTATACTAATCATGTTTATAGAATTTTAGCTGTGTGTGAAAAGGCTGTATACTACTTCTACTATAAACATTTTTTTAAAGTAATTATGTCTATGCCGGTAACATAGTCCTATGATGCATACTTAGGAAGAACAGGGTATTAATAAGCAATTGACCTCGGATCACTTTTGGCCTATGCATATGAGTACAAATTCAATATGGAATCAATCAAAGAGGATGTTGCTTTTAAATAAATGATTTAATTTTTTTTTTATAACTGTCTTGCCAAAAAAATGGTTATCTCACGTATTTCATGACCAATTAAACTTTGAAACATCAGTTATACCCCCCGATTATACCTTTTATTTTTTGAGACTTAAATTTGATGAAAGGGTTAGATTTGAAAATGGCATCGAGACTACCGGTATAATGATTCAAAATTATAAGGCAAGCCACAATGATATATTTATACAAAAAAAAAACCTATTGACACTTTGCCATCTCTAGTCCTATTTATATTTTGTTTTTAACTTTGTAACACCAAAATTTAATCAAACTACAAGAAGAAGTAACTACAAAGAATTGAAAAGCATGGTACAACATTAAAGAGGAATTTAATGTGTTGATTGTATTGGTTGATTGGACTGCATGATTGCATGATATATTATTATTCTCTCTCTCTTACTGTTGAGGTTTATTAAGTTTGCATTCAATCTCTGTTGATATTATGATTTGAGTTTGACCCTTGTGGTTGTGTTGTGGCATGTATTGTCACTACTGTATTGGGAGCTGGAGCCTGGATATATTAAAGCAATCTTGGGTTCTCATCATCAATGTCCATTTTTATTTTGTTAAAGGATAAAAGTAAATCTTTATGATTTATCATTAAATATGTGAGTTTTTCTTACCAGAAAAAATGTAAAGAAATTTCTAAAATTACTTTGACCATGCACAAAAACATACATGTACTGTACATGTACCGGTACTTTTGATACCTCAAATTTTCTATGCACGTTACTTAAACACAGTCCATGTACATTTATTATGTAGATAGTACTTACACACTATTTTCTGCTTAAATATTTTAAATATTTTATTTATTTGTAGCCTTTTATATTTCTTCTATGAATTCAAGATAATAAATGTTTTTTCATTCATCAAAATCAAAGATAACCTTTAACTAGAGGCGTAAAAGTCCTCATTATACATTTTCTTAAATCACTTGAAGATCAGCTAATTAGCAGACTTGAGTACATTACTTAATTTTAAGTTGATGTAGATGAAACTTGAGAATCAAATTTGATAATTGAATAGGAGCATAACATGATTGTTGAGACCCTATAAAAGGGAATTCCGAAGTTGATCAATTGTTAATGAAAGATATTTCTTATAAATTTGTACATTGTCAACCATTTGCAGAGATTACTAATTGTTTTACTACTTTAATTGCTTTTATTTCCACCTCACATCAAGGACAAGATGAAGAATAGTGCTGAGTTTTCAGTGATATCACGCACAGGGGGTCGCACATTTGGGGAGTTTGTAGTTTAATCTCTGAAATTTCTTGGTACTCTTTCTAATTCATGCATTACTTTGTTTGATTGAATTTTTTTTTAAATTGAATCTTGAGACAATGTAAATGTGCTAAAAGGATTCAGGATCAATTTAAAAAGATTAAGTGCTCTAAAATAAGGGGTTTCATTAACAACTACACTGTAATGAAAATGAAATATTTTATTTGTGCCCTTGCATTTTTCACACATTTTGTGTAATTGAGGAAACCAATTTGAGTTGAGAATATGATTGTTTTAAGGAGAAATATCCTGCAGTGAAGTTTATGTCCAGAAATGATTCGGGGGATTTCTGTCACAATAGATTTTGATATAACAATGGATAATCCTTTTCACAGAAAAAAACGACATGTATGTGTGCTTGAAAACTGAACTTAATTTTCAATTTGTCATGTTTTCCATCTCAAAATTAGACAATCATTTCCTATTAAATTTTTATTCTAGTATTAACTGCAGAAAGTAAATTTTCAGAAGAAAAGAGTAAACCGGTACAAGGTAACCCGTTATACTGAAAAAAGGATTGAGGATTTTTGTTTGTGTGCAAAGAATTGTTGGTTCAGGGTGTTAAACAGGGTTTATCATCAGACCAAAATTGAGCTGTATTTATTAAAGCTAAATACACACTGTGCATCTTCCGTCATCATTCTTTAAATTGAGATGAGTGAATATTCTCATGTAATATATTGATTTGAATTTGTTCATGTGAATTGCTTTTATAGTATATTGTATTTATGTATCTTTTAACAAGTCTTCATCATTTGAGTGACGTGTAATGGCATTCTGCACATTTTCTTCCTCTTGCCTCATTGTGGACAGTGAATATATTTACATGTAATTTGCATACGATGAATTGCATCGTATTTATACCACTTTTTTTTAGCTTATCGAAGCATTTGCAAGTGATTTTTTTTGTTCAATTTGGGGGAGGGAGGAGGGAAAATCTTCCATCTCTTGTCATCTCATTCTCTAAAATCTTGCATTGATTCCAGAATTCCAAGATTTTATTAAACTTTGTTTTCATGGTCTTTATGTAAAAATGAAAGATTCCATATATTTCAGCTTTTGGATAGTTCCATATTTGCGTATGATTCATTATATATGACTTACCAATTAGAACATGTACAACCATTTGTCATACATGTACTCTCTGCTCAGAGCCAAAAGCTCGTTAAGATATTTAAGATATAATTAAGACCCTTCTAGCTAATTAGACAGATGATACATAGTGTGAAGAATTTGATTTCCACTAGTGTCATAGCATTTCAAATAATTCTTGTCAAAGTTTACAAAAAACGTGTCTGTTTAAACAAACAGAACATTTGAACAAAATGGATGTTATCAATTTTCATACATAATAACCAAGATTTGGAAGCCCTCCTCCTATCCCCCATCCTTGTTTAAATTATTTTACAAAAAGGAATGTATTGCAATTTTGTATATATGATATACTTTGTTTATAAAATGAAATTGTGAAAGTTGGACAGATAGTCAAAATTGACAAAATGTGACATGATTCTTGAGATGAGCGGATCAAGGCTTATCCAAGTGAGAGGCTGTGATTCTTGTATTAAAGCATATTGAGCAATATTTCTCTGTTAACAAATTGAATATCTTGTCATGTTTCATGCAACTGTAATACTATATAAGTCAATTTTATTTAACTCAAGTGATACTTACATGTAAGTGATAAAAGTATGTTAGCATTGTAGAGCTGTGTCATATGTGTTCATTTATGCAATCGATGTGTATTGAAGGTATTTGTAGATGAAAGATAAGTATTATTTATTTCCTCTAAGGAGAGTAATCAAGAAAACGATGTAGACCGGCTTTCAGTAATGATTGTGAGAAGGTAATTACTCTTTTTTTTTTTTATTGTAAAAGCAGTAATTGTTGTGAGTTTATACACATCTGGAGCACTTCCAGTGGACAAGCAATCATGCAGTGTGAAATTTTGAGAAAAAATTTGAGAAAAAAATAACGATATTATATGCTCAGCACATGAATAATAATTGCAAATCTACAGCGCCTTTTTCACCGGTAATAAAGCACTAAGGTAAATCGCAACTATCAGTTGTGTTAAGATTACAGCTTTTATGATACTTAAATTTGTAATACCCAGCATTTTGAGAAAGAGTCTTGTATTTGAAATGGTTAAAGAAGTAGTGATGAAACTTTAGTTGTCATTTAATGTACATGTAAGTTTGTAGTACCGGTAATCAATAAAAGGTCTCGAATCCAGGATGAAAAAAGTGCATAAATGTTGGGTCATTTTTGTGAGAGATCTCCCTAACATAGAATTGTACTGCATTAAGTGTTTGCTAACATCATACCATGTTTTATTTACTCACTAATTTCATACATTAGCTATTAATACAATATATCAATTGATTTACATGTATTACATCATCATTATCATCATCATCATGGGAATTTAACTTTTGTGTATTATAGGGGGTGTTTCTTAAAGCTGTGCGTAAAGTTACAAATTTACAAATGATTTGAATATGAAGAGCCAAATGGGATGCCCAAAGTTTTTCCTGACATTTTAGCAAAGTGTGACTGTATTTTTTCATAATCTCAATTAAATTGTAGCCAAAAATACATTTTGCTTTAAACTGTTTTGTTGATAATGATAAGGTTAATCTACATCTGTATATTTCAACTTTAGCTTATGCAATTAAGAGGATTTGAGAATCCCATTTAGCTCTTCATATTCAAGTTATGCGGAAAGTCATGCGTAACTTTACGCACAGCTTTATGAAATAACCCCCTGGTCTAGTTGCAATCAGGGGAAATTACATGAAATAATATTATAGGAATTATTTAGAGTCATTTGTACCATCAAAATTAGATACATTCTTCATTTACTTCAAACACAGATGTCTTCATTGTCCAGAAGCATCTTGGATATTTAACTAAAACAGACCCATTTTTTAACAAACTAGTCTTATTTATTACCATTGTGCTATGGGAAATATATACAGGGAAAATGGTTCAAAGCATATATAAACAAAATCTGTTCATTTCTCCTGTTATACATGTATTTCATATGTTTATATTCATTCAAATCATTCTCTCTTAGTAAATGGACCAGTAGATTAGTAGTATTCATTCATACTAAAAACAAGAGAAACCATTCATTACTGAATAAACATGGGCAAAAAAATCTGTGCAAATTATGTCTTTTGGGCAAAGTATTTACATTTATATCATTCATATCACACTATACTTCTTATTTATTCAAACTATTCAAATTAACAATTTGACCACAGTGTAGTATTGACATGAGTGAGTAATGAATAAATGTGGTTTTAACTTCTTTTGTTATCAGCCCACGTTTCCAATGTAATCAAAATACTTTTCAGATCTTTTGTCAGTAATAGTTAGTGAGCTTCATACAATTACATATCTGTTTCTATTTGCATAGTTGAATGTCAAAGCTCAAATGATTGGAGTACATTTACATTGTACAGATCTATTATCTCTTTTTTTCTGACCAGAATGAAACACATGCAAATAGTTTAAAGGCTACTCACTGTAGTAAATTCGGGTTGAATTTAAAACAAAATTATTCAAGATTTAAGATAATTTATTGTCATGTTAAAAATCCATAACATTTGTTTTTGGACATTTGTAAGTGCATACATGTAAATAAACGCAAAATAATTTGTGGCTGAGATAGTGTGGACACAAGAAAAAAACTCATATTTACATCAAACCCATGGTCATATCCTACATTGTGGTCTGCTTTTTATTATATACATACAAACTATACATTCTGTAACAAACTTCATTTCTAATTATCTTTCCTATCCAGCGTCATTCCAAGGGGAAACTACCGGTACTCTGAGGCTAAGTACCCACCAAAGACCTTTATCTTTTTAAATGACCAATAGTACGTCTGGCTCTCATTTTATACGAGTTATTCCCTTCTTCATTAAAACATTTTCAATAGGCCATTTTTGTAATGTATTCAAATTTAATGCACAAATCTTTATTAAGTGCCTCGTTACAAATCATTTAATTCACCCGTTGTACGTACAATTGTATTTCAATAGTCAGAATGTGAATTGCTTATATTACATGTTGTTAGGTAGGACAAGAAATAATGTTTGTCCTACCTAGCAACAATAATGTATGCAGTTGGCATTCTGACTATTGAAATACAATTGTTCGTACAACGGGTGAATAAATGATTTGTAAGAAGGCACTTAATAAAGATTTGTGGTTTAAATTTGATTACATTACGAAAATAGTCTATTGAGTATGGAGCATAAACCTCCTCTTTATAAACTGTACTTCTAATCACTCAATAGAAAGAGATTTGTGCGAATTAGTCTTATTGTTACTCACCTACGATGTATTACATTTAAAAAAGAAGGGGGGACATTTATTTTGAAAGCCAGGACTTATGTCTTATTTCCTTACTTTTGCTTTATGGGTACTCAGCTTAGATCTGTTTTTCCTTTAACAAATATTTTCCTTTCAAAATGCTTCCTGACTTAGCCAAATTTATTATTATTTATTTTGCGATGGTTTCCTATAAAAATGTGGATAGTAATGATGGTGGTGGTGGTGGTTAGAATCTTTGACCTATTTTCATATGTGCTTTTGGGTAGATTAGAAGCATTTTATTATTTAAAATTACTCAAAATTTGGGTGGATGGAGTCCACGTGGTATTCCTCGTCCCTGTGCTTGACTGTCTGTACTTGTGCTTTTCCCTTCCTCCAATCCTACTCCCAAAAGTCTTTATCAGATATGTTGTAGTAATCCACGGCAAAAAAAAACATGTAAATGGATGGCAACTGCGCACTACAAAGGTCCTGGGCATATATATATACCTTTAGCTCTGTAATATAAGATACAGATGAAGCGTATCACAATTTAAGTCATCGTTTTAAAAAACAGCAACATGGTTTTGGCGCATCATATCTGAACAAGCCTTTGTATCCCGATGTTCCTCCATCCTACATACATCTCCTATCCCAAGGTTTGAAATTGAGGAGGCACAGTTGGTAGAGCAGTGGTCTCGTAAAGCCGTCGGTCCTTTGATTGCTTACTAACAAGCATTTGTGCTTTCTTAGCAGTCAGGTAAAATAACCACTACTACTTCTACCCCAAGGTTTGAATTTAAAGGGTTAATGGTTGTTGGGAAATAAGGACCCATTCTAACCAAATCCATCCCATAGCTGAACCTGACTTCTAAAGGTCCTAAAAAGATGCAGCTCAATGAAAAAGTAATAGGGGACCACTGGGTTAAATTTACCTGGATCGGTCGAGGTTGAACAACGGAGGATGTGTTAAAGTTGTTGTGCGAAGATTTTAAAAACTAATTTTATTTTCATTATTGCAAAGGAACTGAAGAGCTTGATGACACACATCTCAGCAGCGTTCGGAGAGCTCTTCAGATGCTTTGCCGGGGCTGTATTTTAGCATTTTGTAATCGATAATGATCATTACTTCGAATATTTCCGAGCATTGAATCCTGATAAAATTGTCCAATCAAAGTTTTACCTTTGCAATAGTGAAAATTAATTTAGTTTTTTTTTTAAATCTTCGCACAGCTACTTCAAATTTCTATGGTGAGAAAGGTAAGGTGATTCATCGATAGTTCGATGGTGTTTCATCAAGACAGATTATCATACTGGAGTGTCTCAATGAAACACCTATGAACCCCACTGATGAATATTTGCTTTCCAGATATCGTTCATTTGTAGTCCTGAACATGAAGAGGTACCATTTCATTTTGATCAGAACGCAAGATTATCTTTGCTCTAATCTCTAGACTCTCTCTCCTCTCTTCCTTTCTTTCTCTCTCTCTCTCTAGTTCTCTCATTTTATCTGTCCACTTTCTATCTCGTTCTCTGTCTATCTGTCCACTATTTGTATCTCTCTCTCTCTCTCTGCTCACTATTTTAACCTCCTCTTTGTGTGAAAATATGAACCATGATTTCCGGTACTGGATATCTTCTAATGGACCACAGTGAAACCTGTATATTCTTAAGAAAGACAAGGAAATTACACTATGAATATGACTGACAAAGAAAGCGGACAAAATATACAGTTCCTCAGGTAGATAAAGGAACATCCCTTCACTGCTATCATGGAAAAATGTGTTGAACAGGCATATGCATGTGACACCTGTTCTACACATTTTTACATAATAGCAGTGAAGGGATGTTCCTTTGTCTACCTGAGGAACTGTATATTTTGTCCGCTTTCTTTGTCAGTCATTTTCATAGTGTTAGCAGGTGGTCTTTATGTGAAAGGTTTCTTAGGTACATGTTTCAACGAGAGTCCACATTCAAGGAAAACCAAAGGTGTGGTCTTTCTGTACAGGTGGTCACTACAGCAGATCGGACTGTATTAAGAAAAATACAAGTAATGCTTTTTAGACAATTGGTCTACATTCAATAGCCTAAGACACTAACTGAATTCTAAAAAAACGAAGCAAGGAGCAATGGTTGCCAGACCAAATATCCGAGCCACTAAAAGGTAGTATATGAAACAGATGTTTATTCATCAGCAAATGTATTTCTTTCTCCTTCTTTATTTTACAGCATCGTTAAATAAAATGTAAGTTTATGCAATATTATTTCAATATTATTAGCTCATTAACAAATATGCTACATGTGTCTCCATTGTATAAATCATATATTGTCATTAATCATATATCACTAATAAAGGAAAAAGAATAAGATGGGGGAGGGAGGGGGTTGAAGGACTGTAGTCTCTCCCATTCCCCTGAGAATTCTGAAAATTCCTATTTTGGGGTAACTATCCGCAGCAGCAAGGCAGTCTCTTTTTCTTATCACAAAATTAAGCTCAAAAGCTATTAATGAAGACACTCATGATGTCCTTTCAATGAAGTGCCAAAAATGTGTCAGTAGTTCTAGTTGGAACTTGGAAGTTTGAAGATATCAGCTATAATTGATGTCCCTTACAACCTTATAAAAGACAATGGGGTTTACTTTTTTCAAGGTATAGGCATAGAGGCACATTTTCTCAAGGGGGCTGACAGGCCTAAAAATGTCTTGCCAAAATATCACTTTTCTCAGTCTGTTGGCCTTGATTTTGCAAGCAAGCGAACCAAGTAAGCATTAGTCTAAATACCCTATTTTGGTAACATTGTAAATCTGTAACCAACATATTGATATCGTTTTGTAATAAACGTATTGATATCTGTTGAGAGCCAAAAATGATTTTGAGGATACTCTTCTTACTTTCATCAGATGACACAATATATAATGTTTAAAAAAATAGACAACCTTGCTTCCTCAACATGGGATAACATTTGTATGAATGTATTTGTATGAATTTCAAAATTATTGGATGGTTCCACCACCCCCATGTCAAAAGAATGTGTAAAGGGGAATCCCAACATTATACATCACACAGGTGGAGTTTCACATGACCATCATAAGTACAAGTTCAACAACAACCCACTAAAATATTTAATATAACATGCATTTTAAAGTAAAGTTGGTGATTTTGTAGTATGATGGTTTTGTGAAACGATGCCCTAATCTATCATAAACCATTGTTTTCATGATAATAGAATTCACCTATTCCTGAAATGCATGCAGCCAATGAAAATGTTTGTTCTTGAGATTAATTCCAGTAATATTAATTTTGACAGCAGTACTTACCATTTATTAGAACCATTATTTTGTCAATACAATCATTATTAACTGTATTCTATATGTACCATGCTTTATTCATATCTGGTTTAATTAATCAGGGATAACATCATCACATATACTTGCATTGCTTTAATTTACTATTATTTTAAGTAGACCACTCTTGAAAAGAAGTAAGGACACATTAATTAGGCTTTTAAAAAACTCTTAATTAATGATTCCCTTATACAGCTGTGTCTAGATTGGATTTATCAAGATTGGAATTATTTCATCTTAACATAAATGCATTTGTTTAATTAAACCATGAATTTTACTTCAGTAATTTGATCAAACCTACAGAGTCCAAATACATTGCGATAAACTTGGTTAAAAGGCAGTACCGGTAAGTCCCTTTTGCAGACTTGTACAAACTCCTTGAAACTTGGCGAATGTTTAAGATATATCTTTCTGATATTGTGCATGAAATTTTACAGTCATAGGTTCTGAAACTTCTTTGTTGGAATGAAAATCTAGAGCTGTATTCATATTGCCGCAGAGGGAGCTATTCTCAAATCAACAGATACATAGGTCAAATTAATTTTTAATTACGTACAAATATTGTTCAAGTTCAGGAAAGAAATATCTGGAATTAGACATTCAAAATTTATTGGTTGAAAGCCAGTTTTCTAATATTTATTTCTCATTTGGTGGGAGGTTTCTAATAATATATAGACCTCTTCAATAAACCACTGGATTCATAGAACTTCAGTTTGAAAAGGGGACAAACCATCTTTAAAGTGTGGTCTACTTAAAGGCATGTACTTGAATACTCAAGGAAATTGCTTGACTTGTTTCAATTGAGTAAGCAGTGATGTTTATGTGCATGGTTATGTGATAAATCAGTGATAAGATTCACTGGGATGCTGATTTGCTCTGGAAAGCTGAAAAGACACTTGTAAAAATTAACAGAATATTAACATCATAAAAAGATCACTTAAGAATAAAATAAATCGTTAAATGAAAATAAGAATAAATAAATGTATAGAATATATAATAAATGCTACTGTACACTAAAAAGGAGCTTTTTGTTCTTCAATGGATTATGGGGTATTTCAATGAACATTATAATTTTCGTTATATACCTTCATTGGTCAGAATTAGATAAAATCAATACAATTTAAATTTGGGCTGTCAAATTAGCTGAGATGTTGGTTTGTGTGTGTGGGGTGGGGGGAAGGGGGGTTTGTTCTAGAATGTTTAACACTGTCTCGTATTAGGATAGCTTAAAGCCCTTTTAAAGTGGTTGGAGCCCCAACAATTTGATGGCAAAAATTTCACTAAAATTGTATCAATGTGAAATAGGATGTCATTTAATACACATTTCTGCATGGATTTTCAAAACAAATGTTTATGAAGTCAAATATTGGTGAAAGAATACGAAATTTAGGTTTTCTGCATACAACAGAAAACCAAAATTATGTATTCTTTTATCAATATTTGTCTTCAGACACATTTTGGAGGGAAATCTTTGCAAAGGTGTGTCTTAAATGTCATCCTCTTTCACATTATGGTACAATTCAAGTGAAAATTTGCCATCAATTTGTTTGTGAACTTGGGGCTCCCAACACTTTAGAGGGGCTTTAAAGCTCACAGGACGTTCAGAACAGCTATACAGATATGAAGATGGTCATCTAGTTTCTTGTGTGAAGCATGGAATGCTATAGTGTTGTACTAACATGAATTCATCTTGTCAACATCATGTTTCCATGGTAAATTTATAGTGAATGTCCTAAATTTGGTGAAAGTCCTATTATTATTATTATATTAACGCATTAACAAAAATATTGATACTTCTTATGTGCACCTATATTTGGTCTCTTTATATATTGTATAGAGGATTCCTCATTTGAAATAATTATCATACCAGCAGATAAATCAATATCGATATGAACTTGAAGGTGTGGATACATGCTTCACGCCTTCAGATGAGGAATTGAGCCAATTACAAACTCGACTTTTATATACACTATGGTTTATAAAGATATCAAGATTTTAAAAATACAGGGAATTAATAATATATTACATTTATAAAGCGCTTACTACAATGTTTCTAAGCGCTTAATTAATATTTGACATGTACTTCTTGTTTCTTGAAGAGTTGAGGAAGGTGGAGCCCAGAGCCTACAAGGAGCTAGTGATAAGATAGGAGGAGTTTCTCAACCAAAGTCTACATGGAACCTGTAGCTGAGGGAGTTTGTTGTCAACAGTCTACATGGAACCCATTATGAGATAGAAGGAGCTCCTAAGCTGCAATCTACATGGAGCCACTTATGGTACAGAAGGAGGCCCTAACACAAATTCAACGTGGATCCTGTAACAAGAAATAATTAGCTTCAAAGCCAGTCTACATGGAGCTGGTAATAGAAGGAGCTTGTAGTCCACATGAAGCCCATTATGAGATAGAAGGAGCTCATAAGCTGCAAATCTACATGGAACCCCGTGTGATACAGAAGGAGGAGGCCTTCCAGTCTGCATGGAGCCTGCTATGAAATAAAAAAAAAGCTCTTTAACCAAAGTCTACTGAGACTCATTGTTATGGTCCATGGTCTTTGCAAACCTTGTGATCCAACTATAACTGGAATTTAAAGGAAATTTCAAAAGGATGAGATCTAATAATATTTCAATTTCTTAAAAATCCAGTAATAGTCAGCTTGTAAGGTTTTGTCTGTTAGCTGAGGAATAGATGGGATAATCTGTATTCATTTCTAGATTTTACATTGGTGCTAGTGCTTACATTTTTAAACTGTCATAAATTATATATTATTTATTCATTATTCACATTATTTATATAAACTATAAAGTCATAAAAGTGCAAACATGACACTTTTGGTAATTAAAAAAAAAAAATTACTGCTACATTTTCACATGCCTCTGACATGACCTCACAAAAAAAGAAAGATGAAACCTCAGAGCTAACTGACAGTTTTATTACATTTCTGTTGCACTATAAATTAAAGTGGATATTCACACATCATGATCTTGAAATTGGTATCATGTAGTCAAATACTTTCATTTTTGATCTCTAAAAACATTAATCAGTTGAACGAAAATAACTTACTCAATTACAAATCCCTGACACGAATGTTGTCTCACATACTCAGGAAAAAATGTTTATTTTCAAATGGAGTTCTTTTTCATAGATTATATTCTACTAACATTGATTTTCATCTTTTGGGGCTTTTTAAAATTCCAACTATACATGACCCTTATGAAATGAACTTGCATACCGGTATATGATTACCAAAAAAGTTCCTTTTATCACATAAGATGATATGATGAGATATTAACCATTTTTGCACATAGGGGTTTTTAAATATTTTATTTTATCCTCTCTTTACCCTTTTCATATAAAGTGTTTGCATATAGTCAATATTGATAAAGTGGGTAAAGTGATTTTGACTATGGTTGTGTAAATTTTGTATATTTTTATACCAAGATACACAAGCAGTGTGTAAAATTTTAATGCAAAAAATATTTTGGTTTGCTTAAAGGCTTTGGTAATCAAGAAAGCTTTAAAGTTAGGAAACAAAACAGGGTGTGAAGTGGTGTGTTTGATTGTTTCTGATGTGCTAGTGGAGCTTAGATTAATCCCAGTCACAAAAAGAAGGCAAAAATGTTGGAGGGGAGTTCTTTTTTGCCTTTTTTCTGCAATAAGACAAATGGCTCTTGTTCGAGTCAGCGCAGCAAGTTTATTATCTTTATTATTTTCAGAGTTTGACTGCAATGGAAATCTAGGGATGAGAAGTATCACATGATGTGATTTGTGTAATGGGAATGCTGGAAGGGACATAAAATTTGTCACTTCAACCAGCTCTCACTCTTCCTCTTTCTGATTGTGACATTGTGCTGTAATTAAAGGCCTACCCGTATGGTTTAAAATGTGCTATCACAGTCAGACAAACCTGTGACATTTTTGTGTTAATAATTTTATCCTCGCCATATTGTGCCTCATGTTTTTGTTTCCAAGAGCAGAATCCGTCTTGTAATTTTGTTTGTACACACGTCTAGCTGTTTGTAGTGTTTGTATTTGGTTTGAAGAAGGAGGAAACTCATAATCCAGTATAGTATACAGTTATTGTGCAATATAGTCTAGGTAAATCTCTTTTCTTTCTTAGATCTATATATTGTTTCTAACTTTCTATTTATAGAATATTTTGGAATTACACATTAATATTATTAGTAGTATGAGTAATTAGATATTTGAATATTTCCATATCATGTTATAGTGATGTCTAGTTTATGATGTGATGAACAAAATTTGGGTTAAATATATGACACTAATATAACTTTAGATATTGATATGCAGTGTAATGATAACAATCATCAGAACTTTAGCCCAACCTTGTATTCAATATCTGGCCTTTTATGGTTGTAATTAATGAACATGAAAATTGCTGTAAATATTCCATTTCGAACCAGTGACAATTGAACCCTTTTACAGCACACTATGCAGTAGAGGATAATTTCATTGATTTGGCTTTTCAGCCAGACTATTGCGACAGTGCTCACGGCAACAAATTTTTCTACCCTCACTACAACTACAGGGAGATAGCAAGAGCAGTACATACAGAGAGGGGGAGAGCCAAGATAGCAAGTGTGTGAGAGTAAGAGAGAGTGAGAGAGAGAGAGAGAGAGAGAGAGAGAGGGAGGGAGGGAGAGAGAGAGAGAGAGAAAGAGAGAGAGGGAGAGAAGGCGATTCAAACTCTCAACCTTTTTATTTAAAGTTCAATGTAATAAACCACGGCACAAGTCATGCTAAGGGCATTAGAATAACACGTTTCAGGCTTTCTTTATAGCCAAGCCTGAATAATTCACTGCATAGACATCATTCAACCATTTTGGTTCAATTCATCCACTATTCAGGAGTTCACATTTGTATAAACGTGCAGTCACTGCAGTAACTGTTTTTTAACTCTTCACTATTTTGTGCTGCAAAAAGTGTATATTTATATATAGTGGTAAATATTTATACTACACTTTGTTTTAATACAGTATATATTATATAACCATTCTCTTCCTCCCTCTGAACAGATGGTTTTTCTGCGTTTATTTTCAGATAAAGGAAAAAAATGCAAATTCTCAATTCAAATCAAAATTTTGTATCTAAATGTATCTTTGAATCAAATAGGCATTTTGTATTCTGATTTAACTGTTAAAGTAAAACTTGTATGTATCATTCTGCTAAATTGTGTCCTTGAAATCGATTGTTTTTTATTGGTCACAGAAATATCTGTCCAATATTTATCTAGTTCTTTTTTTATGAAGAAGAAAAAGGGAATAATTTTATATCTCTGGATGGTGGTTCATTAACATTTACAAGTTGATAGTACAGTAGTTTGATAACTGAAATAGATTTGGAAATATAGGAAAGGGGAGAGCATTAAATTGTTCCAAGCTTTTTGAAAATTAAAAGTATGATTAATCCTTGAGTCACAAAATTGAATGTTTTTTTTTAATGAATAATTCTAGTTGCAACATCTTTCTGAAATGATTCATTTAGATAGGAGTTATATCTTTTTTTTAAACAATACACATTATTGATTTCACATCCTTGTTGTTTGGGATCACAGTGATGCATCATAATCGCATATGATTTGTATTTGTCTCACATTTATGATTTTATTCAAACATTTATGATTTTATTCACACAAGCTGAAGTGATTTTGTTCTGGATGCTGTAATTTTTTGTTTTTTTAATTTGTTTTTATATACACTAAATTTATGGAGATATGCTGAGTTTGGCAATTATATATATTTAACATCACTTGATGATATATGGAGGAGTTTTGTTCATGCTATTTTTGCTGCCTATGCACATTTTGACATGAATAAACACCCTTCATAATCAAAGGATTGGCTTGAGTATTTTCTTTTCGATGTAAATTGGTTTTGGTTGCTCTTTTTGATGATTCTCTGCAGTGTGAATGCAGAGGATAATAATTGTTTGAAGATGGTGTGTTATTAGATCATAGTGTTTGTGATTGTATTTTTTATTAGTTCACAGACCTTCTGAAAAAACAGCCGTTTAGGCTGAAGCGAGTTACCATGATTAAATAAATAAATGCATGAAAATGATTAGCTGCTGATAACCCGCTTCACCCCAAGCTAAGATATTAATGTTTAGTACTCTCTTTAAAAAAAAGAGTGAATTTTCACTCTATTTTCACTTTCTTGGGAGTGACGTCCATGATCACTTGTTTAGGAGTGAAAATCGATTGATTTTAGAGTGCTCTCTAAGAAGAAAAGAGTGAATGTTCACTCTATTTTCACTACATTTTCACTCTCCAGAGGAGTGACGTCCGTGATCACTCAATTTTTTTTTTAGAGAGTATGTAATATGAATTGGGGGGGGGGGGGGGGGGGGGGGGGGGGTAGCATACATAATATTTTATTTGAAAGTAACAAAATTAGTAACATTCAGAGGAAAGAGTTATTTGTATAACATTCACCTCATAATATGGATAGGTTTCATACCCCATGGTGATGATGGTGAAGGTTTTGATTATGAATGGTACTAATGATGAGAATAATATGATGGTGGTGATGATGAAGGTAATAATAATAAAGAGAATGATGATGAACATTTTGCTGTTTATTAATGATGTTTACGATGGCCATGATGATGATGATAAAAATAGGGGAAAATACTAGATAAAATATTTAATGAGACACTAAGCAACATTACTAGGAATCTTGAAAGAATTGGGAAATAAACTTGATTTTAAAAAATAATTTAAAAAATTACCTTTATAATTCTTGGGCCATGTAGTTAGACATGATCAAGCTTGGTACAAATGTCACTGCCATGCCGCCATCTTCGTTCGAGTTGTCTCTTTCCTCAGTGGACACCACAGTGTCCCTTTATAACTGTTATTCGTGAATAGCGCCATCTATTGAAGTTCAAGTTTCATATTTCTTATTCAAAAAAAAAAAAATCGGGGGATTACAACCCAACATTAATTGCAACATCGGGCTTATTAATTCATTACAATGCATCACGTTGCGGTATGGAATCTTAAATAATATATATAAATTTTATAACTTATACAAAAGTTCGGAGATCAATACAATGTATAGAATTTTTTTAAATGAACATCAGTCAAAACAAGAGTTTGTTAAAGATAAATTATTCATGATTCATGACGATAACCTTGTTATACTATTTACTTGTAATTGCTACAATTTTCATCGATTTCACAAAATATTTTAAAAAAACGATCACATTGAAGTTGGAGGTATACTCATAGTCACCTAGGATCCAGTCGTCGGAAAGGAAGGGGTCGACTAGGGGGCCCAATTCGTGAGAAAATGTTGAGCGGCGAGTCAACACCCCCCCCCCCCCCCCCGCCCCTTACGCCAGGGGGAGGAGGCCCGTCTTCTATTTTTTTTAAAATTTTTTTTAAAGGTTAAATCTACCTGTTTTGGGGGGCAGGGCCTGTTTTGGGGATCCGCCAGTGACTTCTATAGGGGTAAGCTTCCCCTCGTCCTCATCTGTCTTCCTTTCCTCAGATTCTTTTCTCCCCCACCTCCTCCACCTCCCCTACGCATCACCTCCTATTTGTTCTATCTACCTATCTGTATCCTTTTAACTTTCTTTCCTGTTCTTCCTTCTCCCGGGCCGTGTTTCGATCACGTTCTCGATGTCAGCCAAGCTCGACGAAGACACGGTCCTGAGATTCGATAGAGAGTGGGAAAGACGGCACAGTGTGACAGTCTTACAAGTGATCACGAGATGGTCGACATCACGAGGTCAAGTCGATCCGGATCGATTGGGCTTCGATTTATTTACGGTGCCGATTTCAAAACAGACAGGTTTTTAATTGGGTAGCTTCAGTTCCACTTGCAGGACAAATGGACAAAATATGTGAGCCCCGGGCATAAGAAAAAGGCGTTTTGGGGTAATGATTTAAAGAACAATTTAATCATCGTGATTATCATCGTGCATGTCAAGTGCCATGTACTCAACTCGCGTAAAGACACATTACAAAAATTACATGTGTAATATGCTAAAACATGTTATTTTGTAAACAAAATACATTAGAATGATAATGTATGAAATTATATCTGCAGGCACCTCACTGCCCAATATAATTATGAATACAAAAACATTATTTGCTCACCTTGATGCTCTTTTTGTCAAGAATCATCCTTTTTCTAAATGTCCAGAGTGAGTGAAGCGAACGAGCGTGGTAACAAATTAATTTCGATATGAAAAATTATAAGATATGTTCGGGCACCTTGCTGTCCTAATCTGATAATATTTGGGCACTTTGCTGTCAAATAGATATTTTTGCACCTCGTTGCCTAATCATGTGGATATTCAGGCACTTCACTGCCTGAAATCATACCATTTCTAAATTGTGCGAGTGAGCAAAGCTGGAGCGCAAAAAGAGTCTTAATTATCTTTACAATGATTGTTCTTCATGACAATACATAGCGGTTTGTAATATCTATTTTTTCAACGAAATTGATGTTTATTTAATAATGGAAAAAAAAATGGATACAAAAATGGAAATCTCTCGCGGCACCCTCGTTAAAAACGCTGGTCTATACACTTTTCACAAGGTGACAATGTCAAAATTCCAGGCCTAGCTATACGTTTTGTTATTATGGTGCAGTAATGTCAAACGCATTAGCCTAACTATACAGCCGATATGACGATGGTTAACTAACTATACAAATGCTTTAAAAAAAAAAACTGGTTTGATGGTTTCATATTCCAATACCATTTCAACCGAGACTTAAACTGTTTGATGGTCCCATAATGACAAAGACACTAGTAAAAGCCTAATCTACACTGTTGGTTATAATGGTGGAATAATTATTTTTGCCCCAATTTATGGAATGATTTTGACAATGATTTATTTCTGATAGATAAAATCTGAGAATGTATATTATTTAGATCTATAAAGAATAAATCATGGTCCAAATCATTCCATAAATTGGGGTAAATTTTTGTTTCCACCATTATGACCAACAGTGTATATAACCCAGGATTTTAACAGCAAAAGGCCCACAATGACAATACCAGCCTAAATAAACAATAAACAAATAATTAAATGTGATGCCACCAGCCTAACTCTCGAGCCGAGGCTTTGCAAAAAAAAAAATATTTACAATTTTTCATGGAAAATTTAGTCCTGCTTTTCCTTTTGACTAGTTACGGACGTAAATCAATACACCAGTAGTGTATCCAGTCATTGGCTTCCATAGAAGGGGGGGGGGGTAGGGGAGGGTGGTGTCAAATGTTTTTTTACGATGCTTTGTAAAATGTTAAGGGCCCGTGAGAGATCTAACAATTATTTATACTTTAGCCCTATACATGTGTTTATTTTTTAACTAAATTATGGCGGTGCACTAATGCATCATACATTTTGCTCGTTTAAACTTTTTTTTAAAGACATGGATAAAGTACCCTGTTGGCTGTTACATGTTTTCTAATTTTTTGCTCCATTATTTTAATGTATGATTTATATTACAGAACTTTATGACCGAGAAGAAGAGTTTAGTAAAATGTCCATAATTTGTGGATTTCAAGAGCAACCTTATTGCCCTTGCCAACTGTACTGGAAAGTCGATTACATGTTTTTTCAAGGTTAAAAAAAAAAATCGTCAGACGAAGGAGGGGGTCGCCCCCTTGCCCTCTTTAATGCAAATACACCTTACATAGCTGTACCTGTAATGTATAGTCGATGTTTTCACATTGTCAGACACGCCCACAAAACCTTTTAACATGGCCTTTCCTGAAATTACTCCCATGCAATATCATCTGCATATCACGTTAATCAATCTCGTGAGTAATATTTTGTGAGGGAAAAGTATCGCCTTTCGTGACTTCAGACACGCTTTAGTAATTATTGAGATGGAGAAGCACCGCTCCAAACATGACGTAGCGGTAAACTCGGAGCTGTAATGGTATGGTATGGCTCGTTAAAAACAGCCAGCGCTTCCATTTCATTTTATCACAAAGGTACATAAATCCTAAATTTGATTTTCCTTGCATGGACCTTTAGAAAACTGAGTTAGCAGGTTTACTCGACTCGCGGAGGATATTTAATTTCTGAAATTTATTATTATGGATGGAAAAGAAAAAAATGGGACCAGAAAAGAAAAGGAAAAAAAACAGTGGTTTTATGTGTTACCAAAGTTGCCTCCTGACATTTATTTCGTTTCCCCATCATCCTGTTAAGACAATCTCTATTTGCAGAGGCGGTGGAGCGACTTTCAAAGGGGGGAGGGGGTGCACCAACAAAAAGAGCACTTTCTGGAGAAAAAAAAGGGCACATTCAAAGGGAAATCTCAAAGCGAAAATATACAATTTTTTAGACATTGGTATATACCCCTATATTGTGATTAGATTATCAGGGATGATTTCAATATTTGTTTCTCTGTATACATCATATAAGATATTACTTAAGCATCATACTTTGCAGTTGGATGCGATGGTATCTAAGTCGCTTGAAATTAGGGGCACGTTTAATGATGAGAGGAAGAGGGGACACTTATCGAAAGGGTTATTGGAAAAGAAAAGAAGCACGTGTCAAAGTACAAAGGATAATTATCAGAGGTGAAAATGGGGCACTTCTTACACCGAAAAAAGAGGCACGTTTACACCAGGGATGAAAAGGGGTTTTATGAGAATGGGAAATGGGCATTTGTCGACGGAAAAGAAGCACTCATCAGATTTTGATAGGGGCATTTATAAGAAGTGAAAAGGGGCATTTATGAAAAAAGGATAGGTTCCTTATTAGAAAAAAAAGGGGACACATTCTCATAAGTGCCTCTTTTCATGTATGGTCAATGCCCCTTTTCAGATGTGATAAGTGCCCCTTTTCACCTCTGATAATTACCCTTTTAACAATGATTGTTAAAAGGGTAATCATCAGAGGTGAAAAAGGGGCACTTATCACATCTGAAAAGGGGCATTGACCATACATGAAAAGAGGCACTTATGAGAATGAAAAAGGGGCACTAATGATAAAGGAAAAAGTGCATATGTTGAAAGAAGAGGGGCACCGATCAGATTTTAATAGGGGCATTTATTGGAGGTTAAAGGGGGCTTTTATGAGAAGGGGAAGTGGCTCTTATTAAAAAGAAAAAGAGGCACATGTTAAAATAAACGGGGCATTTATCAAAGATGAAAAGGGGGTAATTATGAGAAGGGGAAGGGGCACTTACAAGAAGAAAAAAAAGAGAGCATTCATTAGGAAGGAAAAGGGGCCGTGTCAAAATAAAAGGGGCATCTATAAGAGATGAAAAGAGCACTTATCAGGATCGAGGGGAAGGGGCACTTGTCAAAGCAAAAACGAGTATCTCTCAGAATTGAATAGGGTCATTTACAAGAGATGAAAGGGGCAATTATGAGAACGAAAAGGAACTTTTGACGTTTTGTATAGCCCATGAACCCATGATGAAGCAGAGGTGAGGGAAAAAAGAAAAAAAAAGAAAGAACACAAACTTGGTGAAGTCAGGATGAGGGCGAATTTACCGACAATCTTGAGTATCGGTAGGCCATCCCCCCCCCCCCCCCCCACTAAGTGACCAGAAGATCCCACAAGACGAAAATACCATTTTTGATGGGATGGTCTGGTAGACCCCACACGAGATGTTTACATTTCGCCAAATGATCAATGCATGTGTGGAATTATCTCCAGTACCGGCCATGCAAGTTATCCATGCGTTCACTCGTGCGGGGCCTTCTTACCAATTTGCAATATGCATGTACAATATGTACAGTCGCAGGTGCACTAACGTACCTCTGAAAATTACTGATTAGTCTGTGGACACATTTGTTGTGAATTCGGATCGAATATTTGTCAGAAGGGTGATGCTAACTTCAGGTAAGTGTTGGTAACATGTCCTGTTTAATCGTGTATTGTTGTCTAGGTCTAGAATTGCATGAATGTTGAATGATTTTGAACCGTACGAACGAAGAAGTTGAGAAAGTTTTGGGCTCCGAGTCGAGTGGTATGCATTACTACCCCCTCTGTGCACCCTCTGTGCAGCCGCGGAACACGCCCGTGCTTCGCACTGCACTCCACTGCGTGGTCTGTAGTGTAGTCGATTCTAAACGTGTAACGAGAGAGACCACCTGTTTTACGTTAATGGACTGAATTTGGCTTTTCTAGTGCTTGACTGCTTGCGAGTCAGTATGTGAGCTAAAGGGAGCTGAAGTGAGCTAACATTAATGCTTTTCCCAATGTCATAGATATGTAGTAGATGTCTATGTACTACAATTAGAGATCCAGATTTGTATTTAGACTAAGAATTGAGGTGTTGAGACCGAAAGCTCCAGACAGTCTCTGATATTGACGATTGTTCCAATGACCGCCTTTATTCCTCTACACCAGGCTGTACACATATGGGGAAGGTTGACAAATGTCAGTTCTATTAAAGAATTCCCCAGACCAGACGGATGATGGATATCTCCATCTAAGAGAGGTGTTCAGATTTTCAGGGGAAGACATTTATTATGTTAGATTAGAAAGAAATGAGAACCTGATAATAAAAAACCACTAGCCCATATCATATTATGGTCTGGGGATTAAAAAGGAGCACTTGTCAACCCTAGCCTAGCTCCCAGGCGCAGGCCAGCCTCTTGAATAGCAAGGAAGCAAAATAACGAACCTTGAATCCCTGAAGCAGGGATTCCAAATGAAAATGCTCGAGGTTCAGGTATTTTTCTTTTGTTGCCAAATTAATAAATTTAGTATGTGTTCAATTAGAGTAAAATTACAATAAAAATAATAAAAAATAATATTATAATGATAATAAAATTCTGTTTTTGTAATATATCATACTGTACCCATTTTCTGGAACACTTTCTTTCCTACAGTGTATGTGAGGAAGTTAGATTCCACTGAGCAATTTTAAACACAGCTGAAAACGTATCTGTTTATCTTAAAATTGGACTTTCACTACCTGCAGATTTTTTTTGTCGAGCTATTACAAAAAATCCAACAACTTTTCTCAACACATGGTACATTTTAGAGAAAAAATCCCACCAGATTTTGAGCCTACATCCTACACCTGGATCGAGAGTGGCAGATCAAAATGTGAGATCTTGCCAAGGGACATTTGTTGTCCTGCAACCATAGCGATATACTATATTTAGCATTCTGTTAATACATGTAGCTCCTTAATATGGGCCTTGGAAATAATGACAGACAGATTGCTTTGTACAGTACATACAACCCCAAGACAGTAAATAAGCTCAGTACACCCACCCCACCTTGAAACAAACAATTCTGTTTGATACACCTCAGGCAAAGCCTTGGGCACAATGTGAAGCATGCTTTCTCTCTCTCTGTCTGTCTTTCTCTGTCTCTGTCTTTCTCTGTCTCTGTTTTTCTCTGTCTCTGTCTCTGTCTCTCTCTCTTCGTCTCTCTCTGTGTCACTGTCTCTCTCTCTCTCTCTCTCCCTCTATCTCTCTGTCTCTGTCTCTCTCCCTCTCTCTCTCCCTCCCTCTCTCCCTCCCCCCCTCTCTCTCTCAAACATGAGCAGTCAGAGTGATTAATAGGGTATCTTCGTATCTTTGTACTGTCAAGTGGCTAACTAAAGTAGCTAACTATCATTAACGCAAATACCCTCTCATGTCTCAAGAAGGCCTAGAGCACAATATTAGATGAGAGTCATGAGACAAACAGTTATTTTGGGAGTTTGCAAGGACATACATGTACATGTAACCAGGTCATCCTAGATCGTCCTTCCTTTGTGTATTCTCACTTGTCTATAATCATCCATTTTTAATCTTTGATAATTTTTCATGATTGAAAGGCTGTTATAATAAAAGCAAAGAACAAATACTCATACATCAGAGTTTACATACTGACCTGGGGGAAAAGAAGTATTTCTGAATCTTGCATTCATATTCCACAAGCAATTGATTTCACTGAATAACGATGAAATAGATTGATAATAGATAAGTACCATTGTATATGATTGTGTGATGAGAAGGACATGCAAATAGGAGCACATGCCTGCCAACAATAAGTGCTCCTCAATTAGAAATGCATGCAGACCAACCGTAAGGACCTTTCTGGGACCTCATAAGCATAATCTATTGGTGGGGGAGCGTGCCTCTTTCTTTGGGCCATCTGTTTACTGTAATCACGTAATGGTGCTCTTGTAGCACTCTTTTCTTCCAATTGTGCGATGCTGAAAGGCGCTATTGATCACCCCGTGCCCTGCTTTTGTTGCCCACTTCTATCTATTGCAACCAACAGATCGATTCCAGGGGGCTGGCTTGTGGCTAGGAGATAGATAGGGGGGTGGAAGCAGGTTAGTTTCACGTGCAGACCTAGTGCGGTTGTACATCACACGTCATCGTCGGCTTGTATTACGATCAACTCTAGCCTAGATTCTTTGTGTTGCTCCTATTTGTACTTCAGTCCTAGAGGAAACAGGTCAACAAAGGATGTTATTGATAAGCATTGTTTTATTGCTCCTTAAAGGTATAGACATCGTCTATTGATCAGTTTCAAATACAATCTTTATATTTGAGGGAACTTGGCCATTACAGGTTTAGAAATAAAGACTACAATCAATGAATATATGTATGGTTTATGACTATATTATTAGCCACATAAGAGCCTCCCCTGCACTGAGTGTCTAGGGATGCTATCATTCCATGAACTTCATTTTTTTCAAGGACATCTAGAGAAAAAATAAGATTGCATCCATCAGTACTTGAATTCTCGCTATCGCCAATATATTGAAAATACCTGTGTGTTAAGTTCTGGCCCCATTTCAAATGCACTCTGGCATAGATTGGTGACCATGTCGCTTCCAGTCTTTTATGCGCAGTTACGCCATGTGTTTACTATTTTCTGACAGCATTCACAGGGATGGATTTTAAGAGTGGGTCATTACGAAAAAGGAAAAATGGATGAAAATATTGTTTAACATACCTAAAAATATATGGGCAAGAGCATGTACATGTAGAAGCATAGAAATAATTATTAGCTCAACTTTATTTTGTTGTGTTTGTGGGCAAGTGCGATTTTTTTAAAAAGTACTAAATGACAGGTTAGACGACCAATTGACATACCAGTACTTCTTTTTGGTGGGGTATTCTAAAGATAAGCCCAACATTTTCTTGAATTTTGGAGAAGGGCCTTCCATTGTTTCAATCTGGTCTTCGATTCGATTTAGAGTATCTTTCTGTTGTACATACAGAAATAACCTGAAACATCAAATGATAATACTATTTTTTCTCAAATGTCAACCTAATTATGTTCTAAAGAAACGCAGTACAAGGTATACCTGGTATATACTGTAGATGTACATGTATGTCATCGTTGCTTTGTAGATAGATTTTGACCAAACTGGTCACTTTAGAGATGGGTTTGTATTTCACAAACAGCGTGTTTCTTCCTCACTGTCATGAAAGAAGGGAGTCTGGCTACCTTGGACCCTGGGACAACTCGGCCTGCTGCAAAAACAGTAAGTTTTTGCAGGTTTAGGGTTAGGGTTAGGGTTAGAGTTGGGTTAGGGTAAAATGACAAAAAACTGCAGCGGGCCGAGTTGTCCCGGATCTGATAGAAGGCATGGCCTATATGTATACCCGTAATAGGAGGTTATGCTCTTTTCAGTTTGTGCTTCATGCATTTTCGCATCCATTGCATTTATGGACTGCTGGATGCTTCGCGTGCTGGATGCTTCGCGGTTGCTCCGTTAAACGGGCCCTTCTTTTACTTTTGCAATGCATTGGCACGAACTTAGATCAAAATCTATCGGCAAATGTTGTTTTTGGAAGTTTATTTTCGTCTTCATGTCAACAATGCAAGATAAAATTGTTGGTAAGATGTGTGTAAATGTATAGTTATTGTTCCGTTCGTAGATCTAGTCCCATATGTACAAATTTGTGCTGGTTTTGACTTTTTTTTTTTTTTTTTCCCTCTTTCGCCGTAAAGGCCGCACACCGACTTTTTGATATTTTCTCTTCCAAAAATACTGCGGCCTTTACGCCGGCAAATACGGTATACTTTTCTTTTTTCTACTAGTAATTAACTCTACAAAGAGACACTAGAGGCAATTTGTCTGTAAGTGGTACTTTCCAAATTTGAGCAATCCCACAAAATGGCTGACGCTAATAGTGCAGAGTTCACTGCTAATGGTTGCGAAAACTTTGTAAATGCTGAGAGAGAGAGTAGTACATCCATCAAAGTGATGTATCCTTTGGGAGTTATCTTCAAGGTATCCCAATACTTGATTATTCCCTTCTCTCTAATCCATTTGGAACAGCATGTTCCATCTAGCTATGCTGCGCCTGGGCGTGGCTAATGGATTAGTTTCTGACAATATTTGTAAATCTTCAAGGTGCATGTATTTGTCGTCCACGTTCAGACTCTTCAGAGTCAAAACTTTTGCTGCAATATTTTGTTTTGTGAAATGGTTGGGGTGTCCAAGAGCTCTTCCAGGGAAAAAATATTTTTTTCCCTGGGCGTGGCTAATGGATTAGTTTCTGACAATATTTGTAAATCTTCAAGGTGCATGTATTTGTCATCCATGTTCAGACTCTTCAGAGTCAAAACTTTTGCAGCATTATTTTGTTTTGTAAGTGATAAATGTGGTTGTGGTGTCCAAGAGCTGTTCCAGGGAAAAATATTTTTCCCAGGGCGTGGCTAATGGATTAGTTTCTGACAATATTTGTAAATCTTCAAGGTGCATGTATTTGTCATCCATGTTCAGACTCTTCAGAGTCAAAACTTTTGCAGCAATATTTTGTTTTGTAAGTGATAAATGTGGTTGTAGTGTCCAAGAGCTCTTCCAGGGAAAAAATTATTTAACAAATTTTGGGGGCTACTTTTGCTTGCTTTCATGAAAATAACACTTTTTA